TGTCGTCTGGCTGGGCAACGAGATGCACGGCCATGGGTAGCAACACGCACGTGAGAAACACTTCCCGCTTCACACAAAGGAGGGCTGAGAAGGTTTGTTAGCCAGCCGACCGGTGTTGCGGGCTGCTCGGCGTTGCATCTCATGTGATGTGAGATTATTGGCATGATACATGATGGCGGCAGCCGGCGCCAATGAAGGACAGCAGCGTGGCCAAGTTGAAGAGAGGGTACGAGGGGAGAGGCTCAAGGACAAGACGCCAGACCCAGAGCGTCATTGTTAGTGGTCAATTGAGTGACGGAGCAAGTCGTGAGTCCTTGACGAGAGAGGGCGGCGATACGAGTGCCGACACTGGGACATACGGTCATACTGAATGGGGAATCACCGAGAACAGACAGCTGATATAAAAATTGAATTTTTTTTCTTGTGTCTTGCCGAAAATGATACTGCAGTTCGACATGACTCTTGCAACGGCTCCTGTTTCTCCAGTGCACCATGACCAGCAGTTGAACTGTGAACAGCGACGTGCAGGCGTAGCACGAGTCTAATCACAGTTGCAACATTCTCACTTGGAACCCCGGCAAGCGAGACATGGCAAAGCATGATACTACTAGCACGGCAAAGAGAAACGTCGGGGTGGACTCCGTTTCCATCCATTACAGTACTCCATCATGTAGTTACTCCGTATGGTGCAATATATTATAGTACACACGTGTGACATTACAAAAAATGGACCGGGTGGGTGTGGGACGGGTGTCGGGGTGCGACTATCATCACCGCATAGACCGACCGGCGTGGGCCTCAACCTGATAGGACAAACCGTGGTGAATACATATATTATTATATATAGCCTATGCATGGATGCGCTGTGATAAATTGTTCGTACGCGGCGACTCCAAAAAAAGCTGAGACAAATCAAAGCAAGCCGCAAGCATAGTCACCAGCAAGCGTGGGAAAAGGCCGCGAGAGACATTTACTGCTTGGGTGATGTTGATGGTGTGGACAGGTGCAGGACAAGGGTAGCAGTAGCAAGAGACAGGCAAGACATGATGATATGATATGACAGGACATGAGACGAGAGACGCCAAGTTGCTGCTTCGTGCTGTGCATGATGGCAGAAAATGATGCGGTGTTGATTAATTTTGACGGGACTTGAATCCATTTGTGTGTGCTGCTGCTGTAGAGTGACAGGGTCGCCAAGACGAAACAGAAGGGAAATGAATAGCATAGGCCAGGGGGGGGGGGAGGCAGTTTCGGGCAGAGTCCTAAGCTGCGCATAATATTCCAATCTACTAGTAGTACTCCGTACTCCGTGCCCCATGCGTACTAGGCAAACGGCTCAGCATCGTGAGGACAGGGTTGTCGAGCTCGTGGGACCGAGGCGCCTCGTTCCAGACGTTTTCTTGACGGCTTGGACATGAATGACACGCGAGCAAATTGATAATAGGCCGGGCAGTGAGAAATACATACTGCAACTCCATGCGATGTGCTGAAAGTGCGACCAGGGACCGAGGGAAAGATCCCAGTCAGGTTGCAGACTCACAGAGTCTGTCATATGAGAATGCTATCAAGTCCATGTACATGGTTGAGATCACGACATTGATGATACTTGAGTACACACTTTGCTTAAGTCAAGTATAAGCCCCCAGGGCAGGTACTCCGTAACTGGGTACTAAGAAGTATGGATGCGCAACGTCTGTCTGCTCTCTCGCTCCCTCTCTCCCTTATCAGAAAAGAGAGATCCTTCCCCCCCCGCTGTCGCCAAAGTCCTCGCCGACGTTTCATTTTCCCAAGGCCAACATCCAACGTGCATCGTCCAACAGCGTGCCATACGTGAGGGAGGCAGTAAATACGGCGCCATGGCCCATGTTGATCCCACGCCTCCGTGTCGGAGCTAGTAACAGTGCATCAGACGCTACTTGGTATAGACCAGTTGGCATTCGCCGTCATACCACCAGACAGACCAAGACATCTTCGTAGGATGAGAGCGCTTGATGAGGTATACGAAAGCAACTAAACATGGGGGACTCTGGAGACGTGTCGGCCTTTTTTTTTTTTGGCCCTCTTCGTTTGGACCGGGGACTTTCAAGATTGGTACCCAAGTACTCGGTACCTTGCACTCTCTTCCTGGCGGCAGCTTATCATGATGGGATTTCTACTCTCGGCATCCCCAAAGTCGTCGTGGAAATGCGCACTTGATTTGGACATGTACCGTCTACCCGCCGGCGCCGTAGCCCAGTACCCGGGTCCATGGGATGGCTCGTATCTACCTAGGTGCCCTGTACATTTGCCGCCATTTATTTATTATCAACACTCGGGCGCTGGGGTCGATGTTGGTGCCGTCCACCCGAGCAGAATGCCTGTTAGCCGCGCATTGAACAGCATCTGCCACAGGGTCCTTGGTATACGCACTACGCACTAGTAGTAGTATTGCCGGGCAAAGGTTAACATGCGCTTGCGCATCGTGCTTAAATTGCCGGGGGCGCTCACCCTTTCCACGCCCCCTTCAGCGAGCGATGCCTGGGTGATCGCCACAGCCAGCCTACAGCACACAGGTCAACTGACTTTGTTCAACGCTAGGCCTGGTGGGACAGCGTACTGACTTAGTATGTAGATTAACTAATTAGCAACTACAATTTTAGGCGCGGCCCGCGAGGACAGAGTTTCAGCTGCGAATAGTTATATTTTTCCTAAACAGGGAAGAGGGGGGGGGGGGGTAGATGGGTACAAGCTACAAGCGTTATGAGCATACTCGAGTACGTGGGACGCAGGAGCATGCACACGGCAATAATACTTGAGCATCTGGCAACTAGCAGGAGCCTAAGCGCTTGGGTACTTACTTACTTAAGTACGTTACTTTGCGCATCTGCTCACGAGTCACCACCGGGCATTGAAAAGAGCGACGCCCCGGGCATCTCACGAGTCACCACCGCCTCGAGGCATCTAGTCAAAGACATATCTCGCTTGCCGAGTTTGAGCAGCGCCCCAAGCTCCAAGACGGGAGTCAAGGCCAGGTCAAAAAACGCTCGAGGGCTCGGCTCTTGTCTCACCTGTTATTTCAACACTCGTCACTTCTGCCTCCTCCTTCATCCCTTGCGTGGGCGCCCGCCCTTTGCGCCGAATTTCATGTCATGCAATCTGCCTTTTTGTAAGTTGGCAAGTCGTTACTTTCCCAGTCCTAGCGTTTGCCGCGTTTGAGTTTTCACGTTTTTGCCTATTCATTCCCTCTTGGCCAGACGCGCCCGCGCACTCTGACGCACACGCACACGGAGACGCATCCTGGATATGTCTCCTCGATGGCCGCGTTCTTCTTGCCAGTCGTTGCGCAAGCTTCAAGCTCCAAGCTCCAAGCCCCATGCTCCGTTCTCCATTCTGCATTCTCCATTTCTCCGTCTTCTCGGACGGGCAATTCCCTGTCCGCCCAGCGCCACCCACTGCTGCTGGCTGGCGTCGGCGGGCTCATCAACCCAGTCCCAGGTCAACGGGCCCTGCTTGGTTCACGAATCACGGGCAGCAAGCAGCTGCTCCATCAACGTTGGATGCAAGCTCGAGCTGCTCTCCGCCGTGCCCCAAGTTCGCGAGACAGCCAGCTATAATGCGCATGACAGCCAACCTCCTTCGCATCTCAGACTCCCTCGTTTGGCATGCACGCGGCTCCCTTCCATCCCTTCCAATCTCAGAGACTGACACCTCGGAGAGATTGCGGAAATTTTACCCAGCGCCGAAATCCAAGACATTGCTTCTGGGACACGCGCCTGTCCTTTGACACTATTTCACGTATGCCTACTCCGTATGCCGCTGCTTCGTTCACACCACCGTCGCCATCCATGCCAAACCGCCATTGGGACCGCCTTGGCATCTCTGCTTGACCACGCGTGCGCACTCATTGCTTCCACCAGTTGCCGGTCCTGGTTGGCCAGCTGCACTTGCAGTCTGTTTGTCTCCGTTTGATCTGATCCGACAGCCGGCTTTCTGCGGTCTCTTTCAAGTCTGGCGCCCTCTTTCTTCCCCAACATTGTCTATTCATCACATCACATCATCAGCGAACAAACCCCTCTCCCTGGAACCTCGTTTTTTTTTTTTTTTTTTTTTTCCCTTTCGCCTTCGCCTACAAGCCGCTTCCCTCTTTCCTCCCCGTGCCCGTTTAAGCCCGGCTCTCTATTTGCCATCGTCTTGCTGTCCTGGTTCAGTCAGCTGCATGCATAGGCTGCATTGACATTGGCCGGAATCCTTGATCCAGCTTCAGGTATCAAAATCAAGTGGCAAAGCTGACGAACCAAGACCATTGGATCATATTTCCGTTGCATGGTCTTCAAACAGGATCCAAACCCTGTCTACCATTAATATCAATTATCTGCGGGTCGTCGAGCCAAGGTAAAAGCGCATTACTCTGGGGTTGGATTGGCCCTTGTTATTAATGGGTATTTGCATTGTCAAAATACAGCCCGCCGATTACCACCGCATTTATATACGCCAAAAAGGGAACATACTTGTCTGCGTCTGCGCATCAACAATACGAGCTTGTAGCGCCTTCATATCAGCCACCAACCCACAGTCGACGTGGTCGCTTTGAATCGACTCCTCCCCCACCTTTCTTTGCCATAGGGACAGACGAGGAAGTGGAAACTTCGGAACTCGATCTCTCATACACAAAGCTTCGGCCATAGATTGCGAAGGCTGCCACTTGAATAGTTTGGTTTCATGGCGGCAATGCTCTTGGCTGAAACGAATGAGACTCCATCTATGCGCTTCCGGAAATTTGTAACCAGGAAAAGGGTACGTCAAATAGGACCAATTGTGCTCGAGCGCGCTGATGGAGTGTGTCGCCTCTAACAGCGAAGTAGTAGCCAGCGAGCAACTGTTGCGCTGAGACGCGCTCGTCTGTCTTGGGACTGAAAGCACAAGAACGCTGAGCAATCCAAGGCCGTGGGAGACCCCGAGTTCTATCGCTTGGTGACAGTAGCAGAACGCCGGGGCAAGTTCGTACTTCAGCATTCACCAAAATGGAAGTAGTTGACATGCTCCCGGCTGAGGAACAGCGGTCAGTATGGGATGAAACGGAGCGGAATTTTTGGCTCAGGTTCGACGATGAGAACGATGCCAGCCATGGCGAGACCCAGCAGATGTATAGAATCAGGGCGTCAAAGACCAGAGCCGAACTCGATGCGTTGATGATGAAGCAATCACAACTCACCGAGAGACAGGAACGCCTTCTCAAGGAGCTAACGCAAGTCGAAGCGGAGCTTGCTCGAGTTGTGGAAGCGTGTGACGACAAAGCCACCAAATTGAATATTCTAGAGCAAGAATATCGCCAAAGCGAACACGAAAGACTGGAGCAACGCGCTCAGATTGCCAAAAGCATGGAAAGATTCTTCAGGATCAAACGAGGAGAGGATCCTGACGCGCTATCTGAACGGGATAGGGATCATTTGCGTGAAGTTCTCAGGAACAGTATGCGGTCCCGCCGCGTTGGGCATGAGGGACACGAAGCCGCCCGCGCCGAAGCCCTGGAGCAGGCTAATGAAGCAGCAAGAACGACTCGTGTCCTGACTCCCGTCCGTGTCTCTTCGGCTGCGCAGAGGTCGTCTAATAACGTGCTTGTCAATATCGTTGATGCAGATGGCCATGTGATTGGTCCTGTAGAGAGAACTGATCCATGGAACCAATGGGTTGAATTTATTCAAGGCTTGCCCATAAAGCGACATGTCAAGATACGCCGGGGACGCAAGTTCACTTCTGATCACTTGGGTACCATCTACGACCGCTCAGAAGCCAAAGGGGTGAGGTGGCTGGCGTGCATGATTCAAGCCACGGGGGAAATTCAACAGCGACGATGCCACTCCTGTGATAAGAACCAAGGTGCTTTTGATGACTGTATTGTTCTGGGCGGACCACTGTTTCAAAAGTGCGGCAATTGCGAATGGAATCGTCAAGGGTGCCATATGCCTTCAACTCCCAAATCCGCAAACAGAGAATTCGGGAACGAACAAATGCAGCCTCGTGACGCCGGCAAGGAATCAGAGCAGCTAGTCTATCGGATGCCGCCGGCGAGTCAATCTCATCCTCATCCGAGCCGGGAGCCACGGACATCAGGTCGATTGAACGGAAACCCTATTGTACCTGAACCGACGCAAATGCCAACACCAAAAGAAAGCCGTGACCGTCCTTTCTCCAACCCAAACCATGTTGCTTCAAATGGCTTCACGCCCGCGAATTTCCGAAGTCGACCGCCTTCTCGAGACATCCCAACTCCCTCTGTGCAGTCTGTTGAGAATTCCCCGCAGCCTGCGAAGCAGCGTCTCTCTTCGTCGGACGAGATTACGAGAAGTAACTTGATCCTCAGGCACGATGGCACCGTCTACACCTTTCCCGAGTGCGTTCAGGGCGTCCCTCTGGTGAAAATTGACGAAAACCACCCCTATTGGGATCCGCGTTGGCCGCCTGTACGGTCCATCATTGAACCACAGCTCGAGCTCTGGCGCGAAAAGTTTGTTGAATCCGTGGAGAAGAAGGCAAAAGGCGAAGGCGGCTCCGCCAGATTTCAAAATGGACGCCAGGTCAATCGTGGCATCAAAATCTTGGAATTCTTACGAGACGGTGAAATCAGCCCCTACCAGCTATTGTCGAAACAGTATACACATACTGGAAAGGGAACCATTACGGCATACGATACGTTGTTCCGAATGTGCGAAACTCTGGGGGAACTGGCCAAATATCAACTTGACATTTCGCCAGTCGAATGGCTGCGCCATCGTCTCCACGAGATCATCGCAGAAAAGGGACCAAATTTCAATTATTCCAAAATCATGCACGACTTTTATCACGATCCCAAGCTTGCCACCCTGCGCTCCAAGAACGGCTACAAGAGTATCGGACGCCCATCTGGCTACAAAGCTGGGCAAACCGCGGGAAACGGCAACAACAGCACGCCCCAAGGGGGCATGAGGAAGAGGAAAAGCATGCACTCCCAGACGGACACGCCCCGGGCGACGCCACCCTCTAGTCACTCGCCGTCCCTGGCTCAGGAAGACTACAATCGATCTCCTCTTGCCAGTAATGCAGCTCCGTATTCGACAGACGGTCCGTTTGAGGGATCAATGCAAAAGCGTCTAAAGCCATTGTCCCCTGTATCGACGCATCCAAACGACGAATTTTACACTGATGGCATTTCAGACACGGATTCTTGGAGTGGGGCCTCGATTCAAACGCTGGATTGGCGTATTTACCAAGTGAAGACGAGACTATTCACGAGCTCCACAAAGGTGACGCAGTACTGGCATTGGAAAGAGGAGAAGCGCATCTTTGAGCATCAGGTCCTCAAGGACACGAATCCTGCTAGCTGGGGCATCCTCCGATCTCCAATCGACTTTAACATCGCACTGGACGATATTGTCCAGGTTGATTGGAACATTGATGCCCTGCAGGTGCATTTTGTAATACGTCAATTTGGTTCCAGGCTTGCCAAGCAAGATAAGAAGCCCATAGGCGACGTCATGGCAGCATTCAAGCGGGAGACTACAATGCGTCGGTTCCTCAGCTACTGTCGCCAGCGCCGGCTGAAGCTGGTCAAGGTCACGGCGTAAGTGTCAAGTTGTCTCGTGTGTGTAATGATTGCTGATTTTTTTGGTCGTGTAGCGACGAAATTGAACAACGATGGGGCAATATGCAGTCTGAGAAACTGCCCAATACAGACGAAGAGGCAAGCCCAGCGTTCAGGGAATAGCTTTCCCGTCCCTGGGACTAATGTCAGCATATTCGCCGTAACTGATGTCACACAATACTCTACTGTCGATCAAGTTTTGCTCTGCAATCGTCGACGACTAATCGCCTGCCAAGCCTCTTTGTTTGGTCAGACAGCATCTGCCGTTTGGAGGCGTGCGTGAGACGCCCGCACACGGCTGTCTCTTGTTCTCCATTTAGCACACGGGAGTGGTATGGGTGGACGAGACGATGCCCAGGTAATGGCGAAGCAATATGCGCAACCATCTCTGCTTCTACGCGTTTTCCTAGCACGTACGCGACTCGGTGGCGTACCATGTGTTCGGTGTTGGATGCCTTCCACCGTGAAGGCTTTTTGATACATTCGTACAGCAATGTACTGAAGCATTTGCACGAACGGACCACAGTATATTATACCCCCTTTCAGACAGTTTTCGGTTCATTTGTTTTTCTTTCTAGACTTGCAACAGTTCACACATGCATCACGAAGTGCATTCATCACGTTTTATGTTTTAGCATCAGACAGAGACAAAGCGTACGGGTCATCGGATTCGGCTTGCGGTGGTGCATTGATGCCTTTGGCAATTTTTCTCTTGTTTTCAAACTGGCGTTTTTGGTTTGGTACGGGGACACATGGCGGTGTCCCCGGCGAAAGGGGGCGTGGTTTACGTCATGAACAACACGGTAGATCTGGCCTTGGGGGAATGAATGTAAGAAAAACCATGTTTGTGTACTACCTGACAGCCTGATAGTCGGGTCAAATTGATTCCTACTTTGTTAGCTGGCACAACTTGTCAATGACACGATAGGCTCCACGACCACATGTCCACCGGGGGGTTTAGACTAGCTGCATGACATATGCATGTGCTCCGTACAAACGCGTGTTTTCCCCCGGGCCACCGAATATACGAATATACCAAGCTGCATTCGGGCAATATTGCAACAGGGGCCATGATGGACACGCCGGCCAAGTCAACAAAAGCGGGCGATGGCGTAGTGCGCGCGCAAGAGCGCCGCGGCCCCAAGGGCACTGCAGACGGAGTCTTGGCAAGGTTCGTCAGACGGCCGAGAGACGGGAGCGATGCGGAGCGGCGGAAAGGATATAGAGAGTCCAGTTTTGCGCCTCGCCATGGGACGTGCGGCACTGCCGCGGACACGGACTGTGAGTTGCGGTGGCACGGGGGGTTCCTCGGCGCGTGTCATGTATGTGCGACGGCTGGGCTCCCGTTTGCACGACGCCTTTATGTTCCGAGCTGTTGCGTCGTGGTTTTTCTCCAAGACATTGGCTCCAAGACGAGCCGGGTCGTCATCGTCCGTTTCTCGTCGGCTTCCGCAGCGACCTCGCTCCTGCGACGGCAGTGGTTTGCGCCGCGGAGACGGCTGGCTCGTCCCTGCCCATCATTTTGTTCATCAATGCGGCCTTTACCTGCTGTGCTTCTGGATCCGCGTACTGCAACTGTGTAGAGGGGGGCTGGGTGTCTTGCTTGCACGTGGCGTCGTGGTCGTGGTCGTGGTCGTGGTCGTGGTCGACGTCGTCGTCAGCGACGCCGGCCATGGCGGCCCTCAGGCTGTCTGTTAGTTGTCGGGGAGGTGGTCCGCTGCCGTCTACACTTGCCGCGCTGCTGCCGTTGGAGGCATTGCTGATGGCGCGGCCGAGGAGCTGGCGACGGCGAGGACGGGGGAACGCTTGGACATGGCAGTTGCCGTCGAGGGGGCCCGGGATGGCCGCCGAGTCGATGAGGCTGGACAGCCTGGAAGAGAGGGCCTCTCGCTCGGCCGCTCGAGCCTGATGTTGTGCTGCTCTTGCTTTTTTTTGGTCTTGTTGCGCGGCTGTCTCGCGACTGTCTCGCGGGGGTGACGACATGCGTCGAGGCGGAGCGCATGGCCCACGGGCAGGAATGCTTGCTTCCTCGACGAAGCCACTTGGATTCGGGTCTGACTTCGTACGGGTAACAGGGGCCGTGTGCCTCGACGGCGACGGCGTCTTGTTGAGTCTCGCGCAGGATGCTTCCGTCAACGCGGCATCGTCGTCCTTGGTGGATGCGCCAGCCGGTTGGCTTCGTGCTGTGAAGAAGTCTGCCGAGGTTGCGACCTCGAGTCGAGGTATGCCCTGGGCAGGGGCTGGGTTTTGACGGACAGCGCTCTGCTCTTCGTGCGAGTCTTTGTCAAAGGCACTGGCCTCGAACCCGCCGACCATCTTTGGTCTGGACGAGGCTGGCCCCGCGGCACCGCGGGTTTGTTGTGTGGCGTTGTCTGTCCTTGCATTTGGAGGCTGCGATGGTTCTTTGATTTCCGTCGGGCCCGGAGCTGACTGAGCTGGATATCGGTCTCGGATCTCTGGAAAGATGTAGTTGCTCGGCGGCACGCTGGACCCCGTCGAAATGCATTCCCACAGCCACTCCGCAGACACGACGGGAACCCCCCAGGCCAGTGCGTATTTCAGCTTGTCTCTGCGCATTGCCCTCAATGACTTGCAAACCAAAACGCTGGTTGTCCGCCTAAACTCCTCCTCGAACTTGGCTCCTAGCTGGGAAACACTTCGCGCAACTTGGTTCAGTTCCAACCCTGTAAAAGCCGCACTGCATATGACGAGATGCGAGAAGTCGGGTATCGGGAACAGAGGGAACGGCCGTCCCAGGACGTGTTCACCGGGAGACAGGAATTGCTTGTTGTGCAAGCACCTTTCGACGTAGAACTCGGTGATAGTTTCGACGCCGTCGTAGGGCATTTTGGGGTGTGATTCAAGCCGTGACGTTTGAGGCACGACAAGAAAGCAATGCGACTGCTCCGTTTGGCGACAGCTCGCCGCCTCCCGAAGCGACGAAGCGACGGAACCCCCCAGCGTGGCAATAGTATCTTCAAGCACGGCTTGGCGTTTCTCAGTGAACCCGTGGATCGCGAATACGCAGTTTGCAAACACGCCGTTGTTGTGCTGCTGATGAGGCTGTGGAATAGTAGGCTCGGGAGTTGCTTGCTGTCGTGTCGGCTGTTCCGAACCGGCCTGCTCGCTACCAAACGAATGTTCTCCTGAGCCGGAGCGGCCGAGGATGTCGCCCCAGAGATTTTTTCTCTGCGAGCTCAGCTTCATGCTGGCGGTTTTGCGGAGCTTCCTCACCCCTCTCTCGTCTGTAGCATTCGCGTTGGACGAAGCCGGCCTGCATCTTTTGCCAAGTGACGCGCGTCTCGGGTCCTCCTTGTTCCAAGCGCCGACGCCTTGTTCCTCGACTGGGAGCAACGGATCAAACTTGGCTTCCTCCAGAATGAGACCACGCTGTATGCTCTGGTCCAGCCAGCCAAGCGTGACGGTGTTGACGCCCCAAGACTTGGCCGCGGCGTACTTCTTGCCTTCAGGCTTGCTGACGACGAGATGAGTACACCTCCTCGTCAAGTCGCCGGTGTATCGGCCGCCATTGGCCGCGATCCTTGCGGCGATTTCGTCGCGCTGCTCTCCGAATCCCGTCAGGCATATCAGCAGGGCCTGGCGACCAGTTGCGCTTCCCTCGTGCGGCGATGCTGTGTCGGCGCCGCATTTCTCCAGCGCCCTGAGCTGATGCTTCTCTTCTAGGGCTGTGAAGTCAATCTCGTCGTCGTTTTTCCAAAGTTCCGTGACGGCCTCTATCCACATGGCATCCATGGCCTTGATATCGGGCCGCTCGCGAGCAACGTGGCGGTACTTTGGCGTGTCATAGTCGCCGACGATGAGATGGGTCACGTCCGGAGTGAGATCGTACTTGTGGATGCCGCCGAGTTCAGCGACCTTTTGGGCAATGTCGGTCTATATGTAGGGCGACGAGCAAGAGTGTCAGCGGTGTTTGACGGGTATCACGGTCGGTTGGTCGTCTTTGTCGCGGAGACAAGATACTAGACCTACTCTTTGGTCTGGCGGGATGCTTGTGCAGCACACAACGACGTTCTTGAGAGGCGCTGACGGATCTGTGGGATATCTCGCATCATCTGCAGATTGCGAAGATGCCATGTCAACTCGGAGGCCGCATTTGCGCTGGTCATGCGTCGCGCGCGGGAAGGGAAGCAGAAGTCGCCTGGTGTCGCCCGGGCACGCGAACAATAAGTCACTGCCCGTCGGCGACTAGGTGGACAGGTACCTACCCTCATCTCATGCCTTGCGGTGGGACCGACTGGACTCTGACGAGACGCGTCGAGCTGTTGGACCAGGGCCGCGTTTATTATTTTGCCGACTGCGGTGCAGCAGCCGCGGGAAGCCCGCCTGTGAGTCGCTGCGGAGCACTCCGCGGCAGGGGCTCTCCAGTGCTGGTTCAGCGCCAGGACGCTGCGTCCCCGGCGTGTCGGCATCCCCGCCACAGGCGTCACAGTGATCGATTGATCGATTGATCAATCAACTGACCCCACCATCGCATTCTCGCAGCTTGCAAGCTCGCAGCCTCGCCCGTCTTTCTTTCTCGAAAAGCCCCTCTCTTCGTCCGAGAAAACGTCAGTGTCTGCGCGAGCCTCGACCCAGTCTGTCAGTTGAACTCCTCAATTTACTCCTCGAGCGCCGTCTGCGGACCGTGCACCGAGTAGGACAAGACTCGTCCTCGCATCTTACAAGCTCACGACCTTTCTGAGCCTACCCACGCCCCGTCTTGTCAGAAATCGCCATCGAGGCTCCGGCAAGGCTGCAATTCTCCATCATCGACATCGACATCCACGGCCACCACGGCCACGGCCACGGCTGCCGACTCCAGCTCGGACACCGACATCCGCCTCACCCCCTGCGGTCCGAGCTCGCTGGGCTCCCTTTGGAACTCCCAGCCGGCCGACGCTGTACTACGCTGTCATTATACGCTGTTGCGCCGTGACGCTTCTTCGCAAACGCCAAAACGAGATGCCGCCCCCGTCGTCGGCGCAGCAAAAGGTCCTGACTGCCCAGTTCCTGTCTCTCACAGGCGCTACCGAGCGGCAGGCTACCAAGGTACGTTTGTGACCAACTTCGAGCTCGGTCTCAAGGTCAGGCTCGCCTCGCCCCTCACCGGCCGGATGGCGATGCGCGGCCTGGAGGTGGTATTACATGCGGATGTGCCTCGAGGTATCTGTGTCGGCACCTGGCCCTCGACGTCTCTGCTTGTTCGCCAAAACCACGTCAAGTACGGCACAAGGCGTTTGATGAAGCCTGCGCTAATGAATGTGCCTGTGGTCCCAGTTTTTGAAATCAACCGGCTACAAGATTAACGAGGCCGTTGATGCGTAAGTCAGCGCCACCGTCTCTTTGAGTGCTTCCACCTTGAACCCGTCATCTACCAGTCATCACCCACTCGCCCCTCCGAGTCAGTTCCAACTTCCAAGCATCGCTCCTTTCCGCCTCGCCTCGCCTCGCGCTGTCGTTTTGAGCTCTGGCTCTCGGCCGGTTCGCTGCGACCTTGTTCGCACAATGTCCCGTCAATACGTGCGCCGCATCGATTGGGACGGAACTTCCATCCATGTGGGTTATCGGTGGGGTCCCACCAGCTAATAGAGGCCGTCACGGACTCACGGCCGACACACGACATATGAGTACGGCCGAGTGACGCCGTTGGCTTGGAAACAAATGTCCAGAGGGGCAAAATTCGCTTCTTCGGCCTTGTCGTTTTGATTCCCTGTCTTCCATCCCATCAGCCGTCTCCAATTCTACATTTCACGTGGCGCCTCTGCCTTGGCCAACAAGTTGCCGTCGACGCGCTCTTACAAGGGCCGACCCTGTCAAGGCCTGGCCAAGTATCTAGACTTTGCCAGTCGTCTTTGCTCCACGACATCTACATCCTCACCCGTCTTCCTGTGCCAGCACGATCCGGGGCACTGAAGTCTTGACCCGCATCTGCCCTTTGGTCGGCTTTGTCTCCCTCCTTCTCCTGGCACAATGGGATGGAAAGATGTTAAGCGCCGTCTGCCTTCTAGGGCTATTCCATTCTGGACTTCCTCCAAGTCACCTGAGGGTGGAAACACTCATCAAGGCACAAACCCTCGTTCAAGTGAGGGGGATCTCTCGTGGTAAAGGGACTTCTGAAGCCGCAGCTGGCATTATCCTACCCTTGGCCAAGTTGGCCAGCAGATCATGCCAAGTGGCTGGTATTGTCTTTTCGTTGAGCCTCTTGGTGTAACAAGTAACAAAGACTGACCGTCGCCTTCTTCCCATGCATTAGGTTCTACTCTTCCGGAAATGAAAGCAAAGGCCCATCACCAACCGAGTCTAAGCTCGACGCTCTGTTCGACACATTGCGAGGTAAAAGCCCCGTGACGCATACTGGACCAGATTCTGTTCCCGTGAGGCTTACAATCCGATAGATGAAAAGAATGATGAAAAGGACAAGCTGGAACTCGAATCGACAATGGAATACTTGAGCAGCAAGTTGAAAATTAGTCTGGAGAACGCAGAGCTTTTTGTCGCTCTAGAACTACTTCAAGCTCCTAGCGTTGGCGAGATTACGCGTCGCGGCTATGTTGATGGATGGAAAGCAGCAGGGTACGAATTAAACCGTGACACTTTTCGGGGGAAAAGCCCTCCTTTGGCATGACCTGAAGCGCTTTGACGACCAGAATGGAGCTAATTATTCGGTGCAGTACCGGCACGACTCATAAGGAGCATGCTTGTCACATACAACGCCTTTCGTCCGCACTTTCGACAAACCCTGTGGTGTTTAAGAGGGTGTACAAGTACACTTTTGTGGCTGGTCGCGAAGGCGATCAGAAAGCCCTTAGTTTGGAGAATGCCCTGATATACTGGAGTATGCTATTCTCACCTCCCGGTATGTCGTGGAAGAGCGAGAACCACGATTGGTTGGACTTGTGGAAGACGTTTCTTAACGAAAAATGGACTCGATCAGCTAACAAGGACATGTGGAATATGACGTTGGAGTTTGCATTAAAGGCAATGGCTGATGAAAGCTTATCCTTTTGGAGCGAGGATGGTGCCTGGCCCAGTGTCATCGATGACTTTGTCGACTGGTGCCACGGCAAGGGTATCGGGAAGCAAGAAACAATGGACGTTGATTCGGAGCAGTGACGGGCGAAGGGCCCCTTGATGGAGATTTTCTCGATGCTGAAACGGAGTCATGCCCGCCAACAAGTGAACACGTGCACGGTACAGCGATTTTGAGAGCCTCGCAATGAGGTCTCATACACATACATCACTAGTAGAAAGCACCATTCTGGTAGCGCAGCTAAATGCGTTACCAGGATGAGTTATGATAGACATGTAACGAACAAGTTACGAATATGAAGAAAGAAAATAGGAATATCCTCACTTGTATTTTCTCGTTATGCTCATCGTATTGGATTTCTATATTGTATGCGCTGCTGTGCTTCGTCCAGGTTTGTTCCTCATTGCAAAAAAAAAAAAGGGCAGGAAAAGCAAGCCTCAGATCCAGAGTTATCCTGGCATGCCTTCGATTCGTATCGCCGGTTGTATTCACTTGTACAAGTTCTCCTCGCCGTCCGCAACGAACCACGTTCCAGAAATATCGTACAGATGCCAAACTGCAGGCCCCCCTCCCTCTCCTTCTTCATATCCGCCCCTCAATCGTCCTTCACGTCTCGCCGCCCTGGGTCCTCCACTTTGGTGCCCCGAAGCCCGACAAGGTGCTCAGCTTGCCGTCGCCGAGCTTGATGTGCGCCGAGCGGATCATGCGCGGTTCCAGGCGCAGCGTCGTCCTCACGTCCTGGTGGACCTTGGTCGACGAGTCGTACCGCAGGACAAAGTAGTGCCCGTGTGTGTGCTTCATTTGGTGCACGGAGACGGGCTTGGGGAGCGAGAAGACGCCCCAGTTGTCGAGGCCGCGGACGACGCCGCCGTTGCGGAGGACGAGCGACCCGACTGTCTGGGCGATTCTGAAAGGCTTGGTTAGCTGGCTGCTTGGCGCTTGCGCAGGTCCCGGGGTGCGTGGGAGCTGGGAGCGCGGGAGGACCTACTCTTTAACTTCGCCGAGGTTGCCTGGTCGGACCTGCGTACTGGGGTTAGGAGGGTGCATGGGAGGGTGGAAAGGGAGGGGAGGCGCACGATTGCAATGAGCTCGTAGAGCATCTTGACGGCCGCACGGGTGCTTGGTCGAGGAGGACGAGCTGGCGGAGGGACGGACGGGCGCTTTGGAGTCTTGAAATCCGGGAGCTGCGTGCCGGGCCGAGGATTATCCGATACACGCTGCGCGTGTCCGAGACAAACTTATAATAACGTTACTACTATATAGTTAGATCCGTTGGCTAGGCTATCAAGAGTAGCGGAAAAAAAAAAAGAGCACGTACGTGTGCGGCAGCTACTGGACACATGTTGGGCAAATTTTGTAGAGTGTCAATAGTTTCGATTCGTATCATCAAGTCGACGTCTAACTTGATTTCCCCTCAAGGTAGTAAGTTACAATATTTCTTACACATATGCTACATGTCATTATAACTTCTCGGATGACAACGACTGCCAGATTCTCCAAGGCAACCGCCAACCGCCAGGCTTCACAGCAAAGGGGTCGAAATTGGCCTTCTCCAGCTTCTCCAAGTAGTGAGCGGCTGGTACGGCTTCCAGGAGCACCCCGAAACTTTGTCTGATTTCCTTGGCCGCGTCACTCTCGCCCGTGTAAATATGCTCAGCTTCTCCTTGGTGCTCAAACTCGTGACCCGGGTCTTGGCCAGCCTTTAGCCGCTTCAGCATCTCCCGAGCCGTCATCAGGTGGTCGTTTGCCCGAGTCGCGACTTTAAACACGGCATCTTGCAGCCCGGGTGCGTTTGGTCCTTGTCGGAAGACTGCTTCTTCCTTGACTCCTTCCTCGGCCATGATGTCCAGTGGTAGCAGTAGAGACGGCTCGCGGCTGGGAGGTGCATCGACGCCAGTGGGAGTTTTGACTGGCCGCCCAGGGGCGGCCAAGACTGGGATTCCCCTCAGCACAGCGATAATGCCACAGGCCTTGCCAATATGGCTTGCCAAGTGGTCAATGTGCATCGAGCGCAGGGGCATGGACGCCAGCGTCGTATACATCATGGTGGCATATGTGTTTTCGGCGTAGTCTTCTAACGCTGCCAGACTGGGATACGGCCGGCCATCCATGTATCTTTCTCTTGTCTTGACAAGCCGCGATATCCAAAATTTTATCGACTTGTTGGTCGAGCGGCCGGATCGAGTTTCTACTTCCTGGAGAGCTTGATGTAGCAAAATACATATTGGCTCTCGAGGCGGCGTTCCGGCGAAAGTCTTGTCCATGGACTCGTGCCAAAACTTGATGCGGAGAGTGCCAATGAGTGGGTTCGATACGATTTCGGGGAGGCGCACAAGCTCCAGGTTGAGCGCTCTCAGAGCTGCGTAGGTATCTCGGACAGGAGACGGTACAAACCGTCGAACTAGGTGCGCATCGTAATCGCTTGTCCTGGGGCGAGCATTAGCTATTGAGAGCACCAGCGTGAAGGCACGTCGCATACTGGAGCTGTTTCAAGCAGTATGCCCTTGCGGATTCTACGTCGGCGTCGGTCACGTATCCGCGACAGCTTGGCCTGCCATGAGCAAGCCCTCTCAGGCCAACGCGTATGGCTTGAGGGCGGCTCATAAAGAGAAGCTGAGGGAGGATATTGATCACCAATGACCCGGCTTGAGGTGATGATGGGGTGCTAGGACCAATATTTCACAGATTCCAAACCCATGGACCAATGAAGGGCGTTGGATTAGCCATCAGTGACTTCAAGGATGAATAGAGTAATTATTATGGCGATGAGCCCGAGCTGCCACAGGCCCCTGGGGAAAAGAATTCGGTTGTCCGCATTCTTCAGTCAAGGTCGACAAAATTGCTAGCTTGCTTCCCAAACGCGATCACATGACCGCTCAACACGCTCCGTCGCGCCTCCCGCCCAAGTCAAAGTCCGGCGCGTCTCCCCACTAAATTGAAATCATGCCGCCTTGAAGTTGTCATGGAGTCGACCATACACCGACGAATTCCACTCCAGCCGTGCTTGTCGACTCTTGCGTATTGCCAATGAGTGCTCTACACGATGGAGCTTGGAGCGTCGCAAGAGCCTCCTTCCAAGAAACGGAGGTTCTTCAGAGACCCGGGCGAGATTTCGTCCGATCCCATTGTCCTCAGCCCAGGACGCGGCATCTCGCCCGTGCCGCTGAAGGAGCCTGTCAATGACCATGACGATGTAAAATCGAAATCGGACACGCGGCCTGCTCTCACTGAGCCTTGGCAAAGTGGCGCGGGCCAAATCAAATCAGAGCCAGCTGGGCCAACACTTGCGCATCCCGACGAGTCTACGGCCCTGAGCTTCGACAAGGACCTGTTCGAAAGTGTTCTTGGTGACAAGGTCAGCAATGAAGTTCTCAACATCATTCGAGATACCTGTGGCAATAACCTTGAAAGAGCTGTCAACATGTTCTTTGATGGCACGTACAAGAAGTTCCAAACCCAACAACAGCCATTGTGTGGATCCGTCTGCCAGCTCTCGCCGAATTCTCGAATCGCCCAATCTGCGATCGTCAATGAATCCTCCGCAACCATCTCATCTCTCTCTAGGGGGACTTTGCCGCGGAAGCGTTATCTAGGAGCATTTGGTGTGGAGGGCTGGGCAACTCGGAGCGGAAGCAATATTTTAAGACATGGCGATGTCGTCAAGATCGAGCGTCAGAAAATTCAACCCCCGCCACCGCCCAAGATCAAGAATAAGCTTGGTGTCGTCTCCTCACCTTCTCCAAAGCCTAATACAGCTGCCTCGAGAAGAGTCGATGTGATTGTTCGCTTTACCAACCAGTCTGGAACAGAAATCGGTCGCTTGGCCAAAGACACGGCCAGTTGGGTGTCGACATTGATTGATCAAAATGTCTGTCATTTTGAGGGAAACTGTGTGTATGCACCTGAACGACTACGAACCAACGACACCGTGTATTTGCAGCTGAGGTGTTCACTATTGCACTCTGCTTTCGACCATCGCAGCTTTAAGCTTGCCGATCATCGGCCTAGCAACTTCTTTGAGCAGAGCGAAACCGCGGATGAGAAGGAATTGCGCCTGCGCCAGATCGCACTAGTGAGACTATTTCAAGAAATCAACCTGCAGCCAACCCGGTCAAACTCAGCGGCCAAGGACGGAAGAAAGGGAATCCTTCAGGCTGCTGAAATGGACGAGCAAAAGCAACGCCAGGCTACAAAGGCCGCCGTTTCCGGCAAGGAATCAGAGTCGGTGCCCAACTCATCAGACACGGAGGAAGGAGAGGAGCTTGAGCAAGACCAGTTGGATGCTTTATACAAGAAAGCGCAATCTTTCGATTTCAACACCCCCGAAGCAGAACCGGCCGACAGCTTCGCCATGACCTTGAGACCGTACCAAAAGCAATCTCTGCACTGGATGGTGGCAAAAGAAAAAGACGAGAGGAGCAATCGCGAGCCATCCATGCACCCCCTCTGGGAAGAATACGACTGGCCCATCAAGGATGTCGACGACAACCACTTGCCTGAGGTAATAGGCATGTCTAAATTCTATGCGAATCCCTACTCTGGAGATTTATCGCTAGACTTTCCAGTGCAAGAACAGCATTGTCTGGGTGGGATACTCGCCGACGAGATGGGACTGGGAAAGACTATTCAGATGCTTAGCCTTATTCATTCTCATCGATCGGAAACTGCTAGGCAGGCTCGACTCACAAATGGAAGCATCTCGAGTGTCAATCAGCTGGCTCGGTTGGGGGTAAACTCATCCAGTATCCTCCCTGCACCATGCACGACGCTTGTCGTGGCGCCAATGTCGCTTCTGGCGCAATGGAAAAGCGAGGCAGAAAAGGCCTCCAAGGAAGGCACAATGAAGATTGAGCTCTACTACGGCAATGAGAAGACGGCGAATCTGCAAGCTTCGTGTAGCGAGACGAACGCTTCTCAAGCGCCCGACCTCGTCATCACTAGTTATGGTGTGGTGCTGTCGGAATTTAGCTCACTTGCAGCCAAGAATGGTGAAAAGTCATTTCACAGCGGCTTGTTCTCGCTGAAGTTCTTTCGAGTCATCCTCGATGAAGCCCACCATATTAAAAATAGATCGTCAAAAACTGCCCGTGCCTGTTACGAGATTTCGGCAGATCACAGATGGGTGCTGACGGGAACCCCAATCGTGAACAAGCTCGAAGATCTATTCAGTTTGGTGCGATTTCTTGGCGTGGAACCCTGGAACAACTTTTCTTTCTGGAAGACATTCATTACGGTGCCCTTTGAGGCTGGCGATTTCATGAGGGCGCTGGACGTTGTGCAAACAGTATTGGAGCCGTTGGTAATGCGCAGAACAAAGGATATGGAGACGCCCGACGGCCAGCCCCTAGTCCCTCTGCCTCCCAAGCAGGTTGATATCGTTGACGTCGAGCTGTCCAAGCCTGAGCGCGATGTATATGATTATATTTTTCACAAGGCAAAGCGGACATTTTCCAAAAATGTGGAGGCGGGGACGGTTATGAAGGCATTCACCACTATTTTTGCGCAGATCTTACGGCTGCGGCAATCATGCTGCCACCCTATCCTGGTACGAAATCGAGACATAGTGGCGGATGAGCTGGAAGCCGGTGCCGCTGCTGATGCGGCGACTGGTCTGGCCGACGACATGGATCTGGAAACTCTAGTGGCACACTTTACTGCAGTGACGGACGAGGCGGCCAGAGACAACTTCACCTATGGAGCAAACGCCCTCGAGGAGATACGCAACGAGGCCGACAAGGAATGTCCACTGTGCTTTGACGAGCCGATGAACGACCAGACAGTCACCGGGTGCTGGCATTCGGCTTGCAGGAAATGCCTGCTGGATTTCATGAAGCATGAAAGCGACCGTGGCGTTGTGCCGCGGTGCTTCAACTGCCGCGAACCCCTTAACCAGAGGGACCTCTTCGAAGTTGTACGGCACGACGACGACCAAGTCAACGGGGTGCCCAAGCCTAGGATCAGCCTGCAGCGGCTGGGTGTGAATCAGTCGTCGGCCAAGGTAGCAGCCCTGATTTCCGAACTACGGGCTCTGCGCAGAGAGCACCCGCAGATGAAGTCTGTGGTGTTCTCCCAATTCACCTCGTTCCTGTCACTGATCGAGCCGGCCCTGGCCCGCGCCAGCATCAGGTTTCTTCGCCTCGACGGCTCCATGGCGCAAAAGGCGCGAGCCGCGGTGCTGGAGGCATTCACTGAAAGGACGGGCTTCATGGTCCTCCTCATCAGCCTGCGCGCCGGCGGGGTCGGTCTGAATCTCACCAGCGCAGGGAGAGTGTTCATGATGGATCCGTGGTGGAGCTTTGCTGTAGAGGCGCAGGCCATCGATCGCGTGCACAGACTCGGACAGGAAGACGAGGTCGTGGTGAAGCGGTTTATCGTAAAGGAGAGCGTGGAAGAGCGCATGTTGCGGATACAAGACCGGAAGAAATTCATGTAAGTCGCGCGCGGGCTGCGACGCTCCGAACCTGCACGTCACGCCACCCCTTTGCTAACCGAGTAACTACAAGTGCTACGTCTTTGGGAATGATGAGCGACGAGGAAAAGAAGCTGCAGCGCATCGAGGACATTACAGAGCTTCTCAGCTGAGGCGGCACAGGGTCTGGAACTGCATGGCTCGGTGGGGGTATTTGCACCATTGTAAATTTGTAATTAACGTTAGTAGGCGGTCTAGAGGACAGTGTGGTTTCATCGTTGGCGCTCGTCTCGGCACGTTGCTTGCGAGATGTGATTTTTGGGTTTGCTGTTGAGCAGTGACGGAGTCGCTAGCACTTGATAGACACGATGCACACGACTGCGCTTGTTTATAGGGGACATCCTATCCATATCTAATTCGTCACATGATGATGTCGCTCGTGTATCTGGACATGGGCATGTCGTCCGTCCGTCTCCTTTCGGGTATTATGTCATCTCCTTCACTTGCCCGGCCCGTCGCTCCATTTACTTGACGAGAACCTGCAGGGCGGCGTCCTTGTCCTTTTCGTCGTTGAAGACGTTGACGTTCCATCTCGGGTTGTCTGCGTGGCCATGGTCAGAGAGTACGCCCTCCAGCGGGACGGTAGGTACCAGGTGATTCGGGAGTCTTACAGGTAGTGGGGATGTTGAAGCGCTGAGGAGTCTCGCCGAGCTTTTCGAGGTCCTTGATAGCCTGCGTGTCAAGCTCAATCTCCTGAAAATTCTCACGGATGCGAGAAGGAGTGACGGATTTGGGGATGACGGTGTGGTTGCCGAGGACCGACCAGGCGATGATGACCTGGGCAGCGGTGACGGTCTTGCCCTGTGCAGCGCTGAGGCGATCGGCAACAGCCTTGACCTCGGGGGTGTTGACGAGCAGAGGTACGTCCCAGTTGTTGTTGCCGAAGGCGGAGTAGGCGGTGACGATGATGTCTTTCTCGGCGCAGTACTCGATCAGGGGGGCGTTGGGGAGGCGAGGGTGACGTTCGATCTGGTTAACGGCGGGGACGCAGCCCGTGGCGGCGATGACTGCCTCGAGCTGGAAGACGAGAGAGACGATGAGTGACAAGTCCAGCCCCTTCCCGTCATTGTCAAGGCATGAATCGACTTACATGCTCAATGCTGAAGTTGGAAACTCCGACGGAGCGGGTCTTGGTCTTGGGGAGCTCGGTCATGGCTATTGTTTGCACGCGAATGCGTCAGCGCGTTGTTCGACAGGGACCGGCGGGGGGTCAGTCAAGTGGTGCGTCGTCCCGTACCCTTCCACGTCTGCGAGATGGTCACGCCGCGGTCGACGTCGACGCTGCCGTCGGCGAGCTTGGGAAACTGCTCCTCGCCGGGCTTGAAGGCGACGGGCCAGTGGATGAGGTACAGCTAGCACGGCGCGAATGTCAGCGGGGCATTGGCGTCGGTGTTGTCGGCCTGGATTCCAGCTCCTCCGAGGGGTCGCGACGCATACTCCTACCCGTGAAGCATTGGCACGAGGCGGGCGAGCCGGACAGACGACTGCAGAGACCAGAACTCACATCGAGGTAGTCGAGTTGCAACTCGGCCAGAGTGTCGTCGAGGGCCTTCTCGACATGCTCGGGCCTGTGCTTGTTGTTCCACAGCTTGGAGGTGACGAAGACGTGCTCACGCTTCAGGCCGGGGACGTCGGCGAGGGCACGCCTGATGCCCTCGCCAACCTCCTTCTGGTTGCCGTAAATCTTGGCCAGGTCGAGGTGGCGGTAGCCGGCCTTGAGCGCCTCGTAAACACCGTTGCCGACCTCGCCGGGGGCGGCCTGCCAGGTACCGTATCCAACACGAGGCATGGTGTGGCCGGAGTTGAGGGTGACGGTCTTGCCAAGAGACATTTTGCTGAGGCTTTTACGGCGAATTGGGCGAACTGGGCGAATTGCAGGGTTTTCCGGTGCGCAAGAGGAGAGAGGGTAGTTTGACGCAACCGATGCAGCTGAGGAAGTGGACTTGGCATCGTTTAAATACAGGGGAGACGGGAGTGGATACGACTGACGTGCTCGCTGTTTCTGCACCTGGGTTCCGAACTATCAAATTCATGTGGAGTCGGGAATAGCGTTATCAGCGGGCGTGTCGATACGTTGTCTCCGTTTGATTCGGGTGGTTGGCGAGAATTCAAGCGATGTGCGCGTAAAGTATGCAGAACAAGAATCGAAACTATAAAAAAAAATAGTAGCTGGTCTCGGAGAAACTTTAAAGATTCTCGTGAGGGCTTGGAGGACCCTCCGCGTCAGTGCCTGCTTGCTCCATGGCAGCACGCAGACGTCGGCGAAACCGCGTTGCTCAACGAGGGGCTACGAGTTATCGCGAGTGGGATGGAGGTGGTGGGTACGGAGTCGTGGCCCGCAAGACGGGGGGTGAGGTGGGGGGTGTGGAGGCGCACGGGGGGGCGCCCCGCCGTTTGCATGGAAGGAACGATCGATGCCATGACGAGGGGACGAGGGGACGAGGGGACGACTTCGGGTCTTCGGACAAGATTCCATGCAGCTAGAAAGCCACCGCACAGAAGCCACATGGCCGCCTTCGGCCGCGGGGCCCATCCGTCGGCCGGGACGGGTCATCTCGGCGCGCCCACAGTGCACACTGCACACTGTCTGTGTGTTTTTGGTATAAATGTACAGCAGCAGCTTTGCTCAACGCTCGGTCAGCATGTCACACCTGGCGGGACGACGGAAAACGTCGCGTGGACATGGCAAATAGGCAAATAAGCAAATAGGCACGGCGGCTCCATCTCTTCAAAGCGAGCAGAGAGAGCAAGCAAACGATGCTGCTCCCATCCGTCAACTGCCGCCCGTGCACACAAAAACGGCTCGACCTGGCCAGCGTCAGCCAGTAGTCAGTAGTCATAGAGTAGGTATAAATGCCGGAAAGACAATAGGCGCAAATATTCGTCCGCGACGAAGTGTCCAGCGGCGTCGTCGTCTTCGTCATCCTCGCAAGCTGCGTGGTGGCCGTGTCAACGGGTACGTTCGCCTACTACGCGTGCCGGCGGCGCCCCGTCCGGCGGCCGAGATGCAGAGCGGAGGACGAGGTCGGTATGGCTTGGCGTCATGAGGAGACGCGACGACATGCCTCTGCACTCATCTCTGTTGGTGAGAAGTAAGGGTCCGAGTGTGAGGGATCGTGTGGGAGACAGCAAAAGACGCCGGTGGGTGGGACGAGAGAGAGAAATGCATCGAATCGTACCATGTAATGGGATACTACATGGTTGGGTATGAAAAAAAGCCAACCTCGACTCCAACCAACAGTTCCGTCGCCCAACAACGAACCGCTCCCCGTCTCCCCGTCACTCGATACGTCAAGAGTCCCATCATACACTCTTCAAACTAGCCACATTCCGAGCCCCGGCCCGGTATCAAGTCGAACAGAAGCAAACGCCCACCCGGCACGTGCACCGCGTCGACGTAAAAGAACACGAAAAGCAACTCCTCCCACCCCGTCACGTCGGCCCAACCTTCAAGGTCAAACTCCGACTCGACAAACGTGCGCACAACTCCCATCATGCCAGCTACTTGGGCGGCTCTTCCTCTGATGCGGCGGGAGGCGGCGGCGGCGGCGGCGGCGTTGACTCCGTGCTCTTTGACGAGCTCCTGGATGACTTTGCGCGACGACGGCGACGCTTCCGATACGTGAAGCGGACCGAGGATCGATACATGTACAGAAAGGCGCAGGTCGCGATGAGAAACACGCCCAGGATGATGCCCAGCGCGATGCCGATCTGGACATTAGTAGCGTCGGCCGAGTCGCCAGAGAACTGCCTCCGTTGAAAGGCAGCGCCGTCAAGCTCCGCCGCCCGTCGCGGCACGTCTTGCGACCCTCCAGAGCGCCCATGTGCCTCCGTCCCGGCCGCTTGCGCTTGGAGCTGAAGCTCCCGGGGCGGAATGTACATGCCGCTCGGTGTCCTGTTGCCGCTGGGGTCCTGTTGCTCGGATGCGGTTTAGGGAACGCTGTGAGACGAGGCTGTGGTCAACCCGAGGCCGAGGGCCATCCGCGTACAGTGGCAGCGACAAAGTAAACGAGGGCTCACAAAAGAAACAAGACATTTTCCTCGCATGTTCTACATCAAGAAAACGCCAGCCCGGGCCAGGGGTCGGCGGGAGAGGATGGCAAGCGCTCTTCTTAAAACGCGCGAGCGGGAGATGCAACGGGGGCCGTTGGGCAGCATGGAACGACCTTGTTCAACGTTCCCCGGATTTCTGATTCTTGTCCCTCGCCCTCTCGGGGAGGAGGTCATGCGCACCGGGGGAAGGGTTGTGGAACCGGCGAAGCAAGCCAATACGGCTTGCATACGCGACTTGCATGGGAAGGGCCATGCATCTTGTTCGGGTCTGGCAACCTTGATGGAACGGGCGGAGGAGATCATGCCGCATGCAGCTGGAAAGAGGCAGGTCCAGCCGGGCCTATCGTGGACGCTGTCCTTGGTCCAACATGTAACTCGCAGACGAGGGCGCGAGGCAGACCGGGGCGACGATTCGTATGACTTGTGGGCGGGCGGGCGACGGCGGGTTTGTCTAGACAAACTCGATGGATGTTGGGCATTGTCACATTGTCGCCAAGGGAGCTCGGCTTGGGGCAGCACGGACGTCTTTCTTGTTCACATGACCACGGACGAGAGATGCGTGACTTGCTCGCCCCGGTCCGAGGCCGTCGGTCCGAGGCGTGCAGTCCGTCACCAAGCCAGTTCCTTGTGCGGCGCGCCCGATCTTCCCTCTCTCCCTCTTTCCACGCCGAAGCCTACGTGAGAACGCTTGTGTCTGCGTTTGTTCTTGGGTTCGAAAAAGGAGGGCGGGGGAACGACACAGGCAATACCATGTCGTTGAGACGCCAAGGTGGTGGGAAGTTGGAAACCCTGACCTCGATGGGATGTCGACCTGCGGGTCGGGCAGCTGCTAGGAACAGGGAAGAAGAGAGAAAAGTAAAGGGAAAAAAGGTCCTGGTCGCATCAGGAACGGAAAGAAGAGAGGTTCATCGTGTGGTGGTATCTTTGCAAGATTGGGCGCCGATTGGGTACGAAGGAGAGACGAGGCGCTCGTCTGCTCGGGTGGCTTGGTGGCTCTCGATTGGCGCTTATTTCAGAGCCGAACACAGACGGTCCCTTGATTCATGAACCGCCATCCAGGACTCGACAAGTCCTGCGCACCCGGTCGGACGAGAGGGCCGAATGTCGCTGTCGCGTTGTCGTTGCGCGTGGCCACGCCCGTGGTCTGGGGAAGCCGCGCGTGGGGACCAGACAAGGACAAGGCGTCAAAGAAAAGAGAGAGAAAAGGCGGCTGCGTGAGCCCACGACACAATTTTCTGAATAATTGCATCCTCTGGCATGACCGTAGTCGCCAAACGGACCATGCGAGGCAGAACCCTCTGCCGGACTGGCTGCACTTTTCCTTCTCTTCCGGCTCTTGGGATGTCGAGCTCCCGCCATGCCAGCTCATCAGGCAGCGTCGTGAACCGTTCCCGGCTCGTTTCAACACTGCACACAATGTACATGATCACCTCCACCAAGTAGGGACGTAGCATCGCATTCCAGATGCAAGTTGGCAGCCACGACGCAGTTGACAAACGTGTAGTAGTGCGGCCCTAGCATCTCCGACCGATACCGACTCTTCATGGCACGGCAGTGCCCAAAGAACCCGAGCCCACGCCGGTATTTCAACTTGATTGGCAGATGCTCCAGTCGAGTGAGCTTCACGGGCCACGTCTACACGCGAAGCGACAACCCGGCACTGAGCTCGCAGGAGGTTCAACCCTCAGAAGATCAGTGCACTCATCCATAATGACATGTCTGCGGCGCCAATCCTCCGCCACCCTCGCCCTTGCGCAAATGCCGTGGAAGCAGCCGTGACAGCGCAAAGGCAGTGAGGAACACGGCCGAAGCAGCCCAACCCTCCTCCCACGTTGCCGCATTCCGCGCCCAACGGATGGCCTCTCGCCAAAGTGGCAGTGACCAATGTCAGCGACGACGACGACGACGACGACGACGCAAATGGGCACCCGTTGCATGCTCCCAGTGACATGGGACATGGCGTGTTTTTCTCACCGCGCCCGGCCAGTTCCGGAATACACATTCTCCAGACGCACGGAGCGGGAGGCGGCACCGCAACAAGATCCGTCCGAACCCATCTTGTTTCTTCTCATCCCGGGATCCTCGCCTCTCCGCCACTTTCTCCTTCGACCTGGCCATGGCCAGCCACTGTCCGCCTCGTCTCGTCCGTCCGTCTCGGGTCGCGTCAGGATGCTAGGAGGCAAGATTCGTCCGTCCGTCTCGTGTCGCGTCAGGATGCTAGGAGGCAAGATTCGTCCGTCCGTCTCGGGTCGCGTCAGGATGCTAGGAGGCAAGATTTGTCCGCAAGACGCCTCAGAGGCCGCCTGCTCTTCCGGTGACGCACGTCGAGAGGCGCGGCTCGAAGAAGAGGGACGTCGGGGTCCGGCTTGAGAAGCGCCGACGTTGCCGCATCGCCTACGACGTTTGACGTGAGCGTCGCCAGCACCGGTTCGCCGTCGATGGAGACGGGTCTCGACTCGACTCGCGACTCGTGGACGGGGGTAGCCACTGCCAGCCAGGGCACCCGGCGGGTCGGTCAGCGGCCGAGGGCGGGCGGGCGCACAGCGTCGTCGTGCTGGGCAGGCGCCGCTGCCGCTGATCCGCCGGGAATAGCTGGCAACGCAAACAACAAGGATCACGTCGCAGCACCTGCTTGGCGTTTCGGCAGCCTCGGCGACTGGGGCCGCGGCTCGGTCCGCAGGTTCAGCAACGTAAACTTTGACTGGATACAGAGTGCACGTAATGTGTGTCGTCTCCTCTCTTCTCTACGTATCGAGGCGGCATGGCAAACGGTCCACCCTCGAGCAGTCACTTCCCACAAGGCCAAGGCGCAGGCGCAGGCGCAGGCGCAGGGCATCGGCATCGGCATCGAGACGGTCAACGACCAGTATTATATTCAACGTCTACAGATGGCATGCTCTCGGGGAGGAGGGAAGCCCCGATGGCACCAGCCTCGCATCTACTTAGCCCAGGAAACCTCCTCCGTCCGCGGCGTGGTGACGGCCCCGTGGCGCTCCTTTGCAAGCACACCGTGACAGGTCCAGCTGCGCCTAGGCAATCTGTAGCACGAAGCTAGGGCCAGCCAGCTGTCCCGGGAACTGGCTCATCTCGATGCTCGCCACAGGCTTCTCAGCCAGGGCCCCGTCGGCGCCTCGCTTCAAGGCCACGAGACCCAGCGCGCCGTCCTGGTTTCCGACAAACAAATACTTGCCATCAGCCGAGGCGCTGAACATGCGAGGCAGCTTTCCTCCCGTGGACGTCAAGCCCACAAACTGCACCTTCAAAGTGCCGTCTTTCCGGAGGAGGCGGAAGTGAGCAATGCTGTCCGTCTCGCCGCCCGTCAGGCGGTTCGAGACGTAGAGGCTCTGGTTGTCCGGAGCGAGGACGACTTCTCCCGCGGCGGCCTTGGCGGGTGCGTCCGCCTCAGACTTGAAGGTCGAAACGGTCTGCACCGGCTCAAGCTCGATGCCCTTGTCATCCGTGTACTTGACGGAGTAGACGACGACGAGGTTCTTGATCTCGCACAGCACAATGAAGTACTCGGCCTTGCTGGCACCGGCGGGGAAGAAGGCGCCGTGCCGGGGGCCGCAGCCGCCGGGCTTGACAGGGACGTGGTTGACAATCTCAAAATCCTTTTGGGTGTTGAGGATGAGGACGTTGTCGGTGCCGAGGTCCATGACGGCGACATAACGTCCCGAGGGGTCCAAGAGGGACTGGTGAGGGTGCGGCTTGGCCTGGCGCTCCTTGTTGGGGCCGACCGTGTCGTTGGAGGCAATCGCCTTGGAGAACTTCAAGCCGCCGCCGGACGTGTCAAAGATGTCGATGTTGCCGCTGCCGTAGCCCGCACCAACCATGCGCGACTTGTCCTTTGTGAGCTCGAGATGAACAACACCAGTGCTACCCTTGGCGGTGCTCACGGGGTTAATGGTGTTCTTTTCGAGGTCAAGCTTGAGGAGGCTGGTGGTGTCGCCGTTTTCGTCGACGGCGTACAAGAGGTTTGGCGGTGCGAAGGCAGCCCATGTCGGGTTGCCGGTCGCGGTCGCGTTGCCTTTGGTGACGAACTTGCTGCCGTCAAAGTCGACAATGGCGATCTTGCCCGGGGTGTTGACGATGAGCTTGGCCGGGCCCTGGGTCTGGGCGGAGTCTGCAGGCTTGCTCATGCTGCCGCTGCCGGTGGTGTCGTTGTTGTTGTTGTTTTTGTGCTTGTTGCAGGAGGCTGCGGCTGCCACGGCGGCGACGAAGAAAAGTCTCGGAAGCATGGTGGCGGTGGCGGTGGTGGTAGGGGGGGTTTCGATGATGATCAGCAGAAGAGGAACAAGTTGACTTATATACTTGTATAATAAAAAAAGAGGGAGCAAAAGGAAAAGAAAGAGCCAAGATGGAAATGAAAAAATGGGATTTTCGAGGGAATGAAATAGTTTTCTGGCCGGATAAAGAGCAGGTCAGTGAATGAGATGCTCGGAGACCTCGGCCTCCAAGTAAGCCTGGACAAAAGAAGAGCAACAGGACGTCTCGCGTCGCAGGCCAAGTTATAGGCATACCTGAACAAAAGATGCGCGGCCCTTGGCGCATTAATCTGACGATGCGAATATGTGACGAGGAAAATGTGGCGCTTTGTACGAGGCTTCAGCTCCAACACGCAAAGAAGTCTACAACAAAAAGAGAGAGAGAGAGAGAGAGAGAGAAGAAGAAGAAGAGGACAAGAAGAAGACGGCTCTTTATTTTTGGGCAGAACAAAGCCAAGTGGTGGCAAAGGCCGCGATGTAGGACGGCATAGACGCGCCCAAGGGGGGGGGCAAGGGAATGCCGAGTACGTAAGTATAAATCTCCGCGTCGAGTTGCAGACTTTCCCAGCAGAGTGACGGGGCGAGTAGGTGTTTGAGCATGCTGGAGAGAGGGTGCCGGGGACGCCGGGCACTGGACACTGGGCGTCTGGCGGTGACTCCTGGAGACTCTTGTCTGCTTCCGGTTGGCGTCGAGATGCCTGGGCGCCATGCGTCTCACCAGCCAGCATCAGGCTAGCCGGGCACGCAGTAGCGAGCAGTGTATTGGTCCAGGACGGCCCCGGTGCAGGCCGTGCAACCGGGTCTTGTCGCCCGTGCAAAGACCGGTCATTGTTCGAAGTGCGTAGAATGAAGTTTGAAGTTGAACGTTTTCACTGGGTGCTTGGTGCTGGGACTGACTGAAGAAGGAGAAGGAGAAGAAGAACACAATGAATGAATGAATGAATGAATGAATGGCACCACCTGACTTGATTCGCTGGACAAAAAAACGGGGCGCTGCTCGGTACCAGAAAGACGGCAGCACCCCTGAGTCCTCGCCAATCCACATGCACGTCACCTTGAAACAATGAGGGCGCGGTTCAGTTCACAAAATCCAAGGCCAATCTTTTGGACCCGGATTTCTGACCAAGAAACAAGGGCAGGAGTGACTGGAAATGGCGCAAGCGTGCCCTTTTCAGGCGTCTGTCTGTCTACGCGCCGCCTGCGGCTCGATACGTGGCGGATAGGGATAGACAAGGGCGTGTGCAAGTCGTGGTAGCTCTACTTGTGTATATCTGCCTGAATTGACGCCAAAAAGATTGACCCCGACGTTGCGAATCACACCCTAAAACGACGACAGAGTAGCGCGAGTAGTGAGAGAAGAAGAAAAGACGTGACACTGCGCCTCCCATGTCCCTCGGCCCCCTTTTCCCTTGTTCTGCCCGCCTGCGCCTGCTGTAGTACGAGCCTGCGATGCTACCGAATCCACGGGCTGCAAACCCCGGGCGGGCGGGCGGGCGGGCGGCTACCGAAACAGGGGCTGGCTGTGGGGGGCCAGCTGGGGTCTGGCCCGTAGCAGACCTGCACGTCCGTGGCATGTCCACTGGTCGCCGGGACCAATGCAGACTCCGGACCCCGGACCCCGGACCCCGGACCCCAGACGGAGCACCGGAGCCGTCGCGCCTACCACGTCAGGCCCACGGCCTTGCGCTCGTACCTGTTGGCCCGATCGGCGCGCTGCAGCAGGTTCTCAAACATCCAGCGGCCCACGTCCTCCCGGCTGATGAAGTAGCCGACCTCCCTGTGCTCGACGCCCCCGTCGCCCTCGACGTGCACGCGGACGGGCCTGTCCGGCCTCTCCCCGTTCTGCAGCAGGCTCGGCCGCACCAGCACGAACCGCTCGCCGCTGCCGTTGAGCGTCTGCTCGGCGACCCTCTTGTCGGCGTGCGGCGCCCTGAGGCCGACGTGGTACAGCGGCGCGAACAGCAGCGGCACGTCGCGCCCGTGCCGCGAGATGCCCGTCGTGCTGACCACGGCGAGCAGCGGCCTCCCGGCGACGCCCCGCGCCCGCAGCGTGCCCAGCGCCTCCAGCAGCGCCGCCACGCCCTTCTTGCACACGTCCGGGTCGTCCATGGTCAGGTTGGCGTTGACGCTGCCGCCGATGCTGAAGTTGACCGCGTCCACCATGGCCCCTGCCCCGGACGGCCGGACCAGCACCTGGGCCACCGCGCCGGCGTCGTGCGCGTCGCCCTGCCTGACCACGAGATTGCCCGGCTTGTCGGGGAAGTGCGCGTCCAGCTTGGCCGGCGTGCGGCAGAGCGCGATGCACGTGTGGCCCGCCGCCACGGAGCGCTTGAGCGCCGACAGCCCGCACCCGCCCGTGGCGCCGATAAAGGCAATCGTCTGGGTCGCCATGGGTTGGCTTCGTTCGAGTCGTGGGGCAGCAACGGTCCGAGGTCGGTCGTGCTGCTTGTCCTTTGTTCCACCGAGTAAGTGTGCTCGTCGTCGTCAGTCGTCGTCAGTCGCCGCCGCTGCTGCTGCTGATGATGATGATGATGGTGATGATGACGATGATGATTTAAAAGACGAATAACAAGAATCACAGCGGCAACGACCCGACACGTATTTATCTACCTCCCCTCCAACCTCCGTCACAAGCCCTGGACATTCGGCCTTCCGTCCCCCGTCGGCACGCCTCGTCACGCCTCCCTCGCCTGTGCATCCATCCGCTCGCCGTCCTGCTTACGCAGCACAACTGCTGATTGGCCCGCCCCGCCCCGCTCGCGCCTTCGCCCTCTCTCGTCCCCTCGCGCCCGCCGCCCGCGCTCCGTCGCCCGCTCGCGCCCAGAAACCCTCGACGCCTTGTTTCCGTGTCCCCCCGAGCCTCAACTCAACTCGACGCATTCCATACATTCCTCCTGCACTGCAGTGGCGCCGCATTGTCCCCCAGGGCCCGACGCGACGCGGACTGCGTGGCACTGTCGCATTCAAGCCCCGACCCCGAACCCCCCAGTCTCCGCCGGCACCAACGTCAAAGGGCAGCCCGGCCCACCTCTGCCCACAACCACGTACTCCGTCACCCACAAGAGAATCTGTCAGACTCGCCATCCTGCTTCGGACGGCGCCTCGTTTTCAGGCCCGAGTTGAATGCGAGAGAGAACCAAAACCCGCGCGGGTCCCGCTGACGGGATGGAGGAAGACGTGCCGCTTGGACACCACCCCACATACTTGAGGAGTACTAACTATATAACATCAAGTTTTTTAAGGTTCAGGATACCGGCCCCCCAACAGTTCGTTCCCGCTCCGAATGGCAGCAGAGTTGCCGGGCCGCTGCCGAGCAAAACACTCATCTTGATGAAACCCGTCGAGAATCCTCATAAAGCTATGCTGCAAGGTGCTAGAGCGACGCTCTTGGCAAATCTTGGATACTATTTCTTATTTCTTTAATTAACCGTATTAGTGGCACTTTTTTTTAAATTGCCAAGGAGCGGACGACCAAAAGTCATTAAAGATCCGGCCTGAATACCGCGTGAGCCTTCTTCACCTCTCCGGAAACCAAAATCGAACTAAAAAGGGGGGGGGAAAGTCAAACTCGTACCAATCCCATACATACAGTGTGTGTTCTAGTGAATAGTGCTCGTAGATACAACAACTTCGTGGCAGAGCCATGCCAATACTGAAAGTAGAATGACGCGTGGGTGAGAAAGCATTTTTGGTGCACCGAACAGGAAGAAATTGGAGACCAGAAGCAATCCAAGGAGCATAGCCATGAATGCCGCGTAGAAAGAAGCCTTCCAAACCATACCGCGCCGCTTCTCCCAAGAAACAGAGGGCCATCAAGTCAGATCAAACGTCATCGGGGCACATGTGCGCGCTTACAGCCAGAAAAGGGCACATCCAGCAATGATCATGGCCAACGCACTAGCGCTCGCCCTGGTACCGCTGTTCTTGCCATTGCCACGCTGCTCGCTGTTGCCACTGCCACAATCCTGATTGAAAGTCTTGGAATCGCAGCCGCTGCTGCTGCTGCCGCCGCCGCCGCTGCCGCCACTGCCAGCTGAGCCACCGGATCCTGAATTGCCGCTCGGGCCGCCCGATTTGCCACCAGAGTTGCTGCCGCTATCGTTACTGTGGTCTTGGCCAGTGCCGCTAGTGCCGCCGCCGGGGATGGATGCCGCCGTGTTCTTGGGCTTGCCGGCGCTCTGCGAAGCAGAAGACTTGTCCTTCATCATGTTCAATCCGGTACCCTCGAGCGACCCAAGGACGGTGTCGTCGTCTCCATCAACGACGGTGTTGTTGGTTCCTGCAACGCTGTCGTAGATGTAGCTCTTCTTGTCGTTGGTGCCCGGAGCGCTCTTGGCATCGTAGCACTCCATGGTGACCTCGGAGAAAGTGGCATAGAAATAACCGACATTCTTGACGTCTTCAGCGTTCCAGTCGATAGGACCACCGGCCCAGTCGACGGTTCCCTTGGCATTGGTAGAAGCGCCGCCCGGCCAAATGGACAGCTGGACACGGCTCGGAGTCTGCGGGAACATCCAGCTTTGCGACGTCTCGTTCCAGGTGTCCTTGCGCAGTTTGGATCGGCCCACCTGGCCGTCAACGAGCCAGTCAATTCTGTCGGGAGTCCAGCGGATTTCGTAGTCGTGATAGTTGTGGAAGGTATCAGACAAGCTAATGTTTCCAGAGTTGTGGTAGTCGGGAATACCCTGGAAGTAATAGTTGGTCTGGGCAGTTCCGAGGTCGACACCGACAACTTCATAGTCGATTTCGTCCTTGACGTCGGAGAGCAGGATGAAGGCGGTCACGACACCCTGGCCACGGCCGGTCTTGAACCTGGCCTTGACGTTGCCATACCACATGTAGGTGGTGGAGGCCAGAACAGTTCCAACGCTATTCTTGGGCATGGTCAGCAGAACATTTCCGTCCATGTAAGCAGGCTCCCCCTGGGATACCCAGTCCTTCTTGCTAGCGTCTCCACGGTATTTGCTGATGTCGATGACGCTATCGAGGTTTGTGAACTTGGTAGTCTTGTCCTTGCAAACTGGTGCGGGGACACAGGCTTTGGTGCTGTAAGACATGCGAGGATCGCAGCCACCCAGGCAGTAGGCGCCGACACCACACTGGCCATACTCTGCAGGTGGCAAGGTGACACGGGTTAGCAACCAAGTGTCTGTTGGCCTGATGCCGCATGTATACCCAGAGACGCAAGCAGCAAGAGTCGAGCGAGGAAGGAAAACTTACGGGAACAGCAAGGTGCCTCTTCAGGACACTTCTGCGTAAGAGAGCACGTGGCCGCCAGAGCGGAGCAGGCGCCCAAGAGGGCGGCGAGTGCAGCGGAACGCAGCATGCTAGAGTTGTTGAAAACTTTGGTAGCGAGCGGCAGCAAATGAATCGTTCCGCCAGCCGACGAAGGCCGGACGAGTTGCGGCTGATGGAAACGGGATTGATGGACGGACAGTCGGGCGAACGGACAGCAAAAAGACGGGCGCGGGCGGCAACAGGCGACGACAAAGAAATTATTATGCCAAGGGTCGCGATGGGAAGGAACAGACGCGAGAGACGGGGCGGAAATACGCGGACGCAGGCGACGGCAAGCACGAAATGAAACGAGGACGAGGACGAGGCAAAGCGAATGTGGTGTAGTCGGCCGCAAACGAAGGAAACGGCCGTAGTTGGAGATGCTCAACCTACACGAGGCCCCTTGTTTATCATGTCGAGCGCGTGAGGAACGAAAGATGGCACCTGCGAGGACGGAAAAGCCGGAGTGGCAAAGGCGGATGGAGCTAGAGACCAGTGAGACGAGACATGATGACACCAGACAGCAGACACAACACACAGCAAGGCAAACAGGGGGGGGGACCAGCACAGGGGATATAGCCAGGCGACCAGGGCACCAGGGCAAACGAATTCCAACAATGAGCCAAGTGCTGGCTGGGGCACTTGAGTACGGGGTGGTAGTTGGTCCATGTACGGAGTACTTGAGTGAGCAAGTACTTGGTTGACGGGTGCGAGTCCCGTTTACGACTACGTAGTACGTACTACTGCTCAACTGGGCGGTGGCGCCAGACGACTCGAGTGCCTAGCGGTGCCGGTGGCCGGTGGCAAGGTGGACGGACTGCTGGCTGTTGGTGTGCGACTTTTGTCTGTCTGGTCGACTGTTGAAGTATTTGTCCAGAGTGCTCTGTACGGATGCTGGTACAGACTCCGGAGGCATGGTTTATGTCTGCAGCGGCGCGTGGCGAGATGCCCAATGCCACCCTCACATCAATAAATGCTCCGCGTGGAGGGCGCCGTACGTCGTACCCCGTGTTTTGTAACTCTCAATGGCACCTGCCTACTCCGTACCCAAGCCTACCCAAGTAGGATCCCGACAAGGCAAACTTGAGCCGCTGGCTGGGACCAGTGAAATCCCTGAAATCCGCACATTTGTGCGACCTCGGTCGCTTTCCAACACTCGTACAATCTCGATGGCAGCGTGGAACGGCAGCAAACCTTTTTTTTTTCTGTTTCCTTTTGTTTTTGACGTCGGCAACCTGCATATGCACAATGCAGGGACCTGCCCAATACCGCCCCCTTTTTTTAATTAAAAAAAGGAAGAAAAAAAAGGCTGTGGCGTGCCTTTGAGTTTTAGGTGACGTGTGTCACCCACCGGGACCAAAACAGCTGTCAAAAGGCAACGATCCATCCGTCGCGGCAGCTGCAACATCACCACCACCACCAATGTGCATGGATAGATGGTAAAAGGCTAGGCATGCGCAGGAAACGGGATACCATCAGACCGTCTGTCTTCTTGGATGGAATGTGCAACGTGCGGCGTGTTGACGGACAAGCGACGCCTCGGCTCGTATTCCTCGCGACAAGCAGCTTCCGAGAAGGGTCTAGTGTCATTGGTTCCAAGCGCGAAAAAATGTGGATGAGATACATACGTACGCCGCGGCATTGTGGGGGCTGGTCAGGGGTACAGCCCAGACGAGTGGGGTGGGGCCAGGGGCCAGATGGGACCTCGACCTCGACACCCCCGTTGCGCCCCGACAGGTCGGACTCACCATCAGCCGCGCTGCTGGGCACCTGGCAGCACAGATGGCAACTTATCTGCCTGCATGAGCAACTGAACAGCAAACCGCAGCCCACGTACGGATTCATGGCCCATTGCAACACGGTGAACCATCAACCGTAGACAAGTCGGCCCCTCACCAAAGGCATGGTCAAAACAGTTCGACCCGTGACGGAAATTTCCATCCGAATATTTGGGTCATGTCGTGGTGGAGCAGTCTTCTTCTGGAACATGTTCCATGAACACTCCGACAATCCGCCAGCAGTCTTGCTCGATAGACAATAACTATGCAGTCGCCGGCTTGGCAAGACGACAAGACTACGGATGGCGTAGTCGTAAAGCGGCGCGTTGGTACTGCTGCTGCTGGCCAGCACGTAGCACGTTGACCTCGTCTGTGGTGCCTGTGATCCCAGGCGGTACGAGCAGAGGGCAGCCCTGTGATGGCGTGGAACGACGAAGATACCAGACCAGGCCCGCTGGTCGCAAACACAACTGCAAATCTTTTCACCTCTTCTCCGTACGGAGCGAGGACTCCAAAGAAGCAAAGGCCGCCCCTGATTCGTGGGGCGTGGGCCGTGGCAGAACAGATGGACGGAAGATGTCTCCAGGGCACAAGATGAAAGTCACCTGACATTCCGGCCTTTCCGTCCCCAATGCTTCTCGGCTGGACATGAGCAGCTGTGTTTGCCCCACAGGCGGAAATGGAGAATGAAATTTCGTCTCGTCGGCATGAATTCGAGCACGACTCCCCCTTGCGACATTTCCAGCACACGGGTGCGACGATGGATTGATGTCCACTGCAAACAGTGAGATTCGGACTCTGGAGGTGCAAAAGTAGACGGCTCTCCGTCCAGGTTGTCCACGAGAAGTCCATCCATGGCATACTTTTGCTTCTTGAAAACACTCGTCGTTCGTCCTGGACTCCTGGCGCCTGTTACATGCCGCATGGGACGTACATACACTTGCCGGTACGGAGTATCAAACCCGGCGGCGGCGTGGCACGGCGCACAAGGTAAAGAAAGACAATGCAAGCCAGGCCGGCACCTCGCACGGGAGTGGCTGGGGTGCTGGATCACGAATGGAAGTGACGGTGCCCAGAACCGCAACCTGACACCGACGAGACATCAGCTTCACGAGTGCGGTGCGACATGTCGCCTAGGCACGCCGCCGGAGGACTGTTATTGGCAGCGGCCCCCATCTCCGTCAGCTTGAATCACATGAATCCGTCAATGATTAGCTACCTAGGTACTCCGTACTCCGTACGTTGTTCCCAATCGCCGTCGTGCCTACAGAGTAGATGTGAGACTCGAGTCTTAGACCTCGACACCGTACCTTACTTCGTTTTTCGCCTTGCCTTGAATGTCTTGAGAGGATCGCTTTTCCTAGCGCCAACCCTGAACCCGCCCCGTTTTGTGCCTTTGCCCTTTCCTTTTCCTTTTCCATGGCCACGTAGCTTGCCGGGCTTTCTCAGCGGAACAAAACCAATATCGTCTTCTGTCAGGCCCCTCTTGCCGTCCTTCGGTAACAAGTATTCCGGAACGTGCTTCAGATGGGCTTGCTGTCTCGCCGTTCTCAATTCGCCGTCGTGACGGAGGTGATTGATTTCCGACGGGTTCTCTTCAAAGTATCTGCATCGACGTTAGAGCCGGCTTGTCGCGACGTCCTGCTGGGGTCCACGCAGTCTCACCTCTTGAGTTTTTCGCTCTTCATCAACTCTTGACGTAATTCCCGGGTTCGCGCCTCGCGGACTGCAACCTTGGTGACAGCGCGCAGAGCATCGTTCATGCGATATCGAAAGGCCTCAACTTGCTTCTGGTTGAAATTGTAGGGCTTGATTTCCTTGCCCTTCTTGGCCTGCTGCCTCGTGATCCTCGCCAGAACCTTTTCATCATTCTCTGCACTCAGGATCGATGTCGGCATGTGTTTCCGAAACTGTTCCTTGGGAATCACAAACGACAAGGCCATCCCGGCCTTGCCGGCTCGTGCGGTCCGTCCAATACGGTGCGTGTATGACGAAGCGGATGTTGGGAGATCAAAGTTGATGACGGCAGCCACGTTCTTGAAGTCAATACCTGTGTGCCGTGCTGGTAAGTATGAGTCTGAATATAATGTTGGTGGAACTCCTCCAGACTGAAAACCTACCTCGAGAAACCCCGTATTCCTTGTCTCGTCGTGATGCCTTGCGCTTCTTCTGGGGTCGTCGTTCTTGTCTCTCTACGGAATCCTCTTCCTCCCCGCCTTCATTGGCATCTTCCTCGTCCGCTCTTTCTTCGTTTCCGAGGACCTCCTTCTCGTCTGAAGCAATAATAATGTCATAAACATTGCGGTTGAACTCTTCCACGACATGGATTCTCGAGTTTATGGGTAGTTCCGAGTTGAGAATACAGCTTCTAATGCCAAACTGCTCAAAAAAAAGCTTTAATCGGTAGCATCGGTCGATGTCGGCGACAAAAATTATGCATTTGCCCTTGACCAGCTGCAGCTTGAAAATGATGTAGGCCAGTAGGAACTTTTCGTCCTCGGCACACCTGTTAATGCCAACGGGTTAGCGACGGCGATTCACTTCTGTAGCGCCTTGAAGAAAATGGAGACTTACTTTGTGACCAGCTGCGCTATCCCCTCGCCTTCAGCGTCTGGTTCTTCAAGGTCAAGCAAGGTTGGCGCGTTGTCGCGGTAGAAAATCTTCTTGAGCGAATTAATTTCCGCCGTAAGGGTGGCACTCATCATGATGGTTTGTATCCCTTTTGGTATGGACCAAGAAAGGTTCTCCAGGTCCTCGTCATATCCAAACGATAACAGCAGATCAGCCTCGTCCAATACGAGGTGGGAAAGTTTGTCGAGAGAGAGGGGGGACTGGTTCGACTTCACGTTATACCATGCTCGTGCGGGAGTGGATATGACAATGTCGGGACTCGTGGATAGTAGAGACCTCTGTACGGCGTCGGACAGCTTATCTGTCAACTTGACAGCGCGAACATCCTTGGCACAGAAGGACGCGAATTGCTCAATGGCTTTGTGGACTTGGTCGGCAAGTTCTCGAGTCGGTACCAGTATCAGTGCAGACGTCGAGGCAACAATGTCGGTCTAGCACCGCGTTACAAAGAGCTCAAGCATGAACGTTGTGATCAGACCAGGACGACGTACGGTTTTTCTCTTGAGGATGGCATCCAGGACTGGAAGAACATAAGCTGCAGTCTTTCCTGAACCAGTCTTGGACTTGCAAAGAACATCTTTCCCATTAAGTGCCAGCGGAATAGCTTCGCGTTGGACGAGAGTAGGTTTGAGGAAGCTCTGCGCGGCAACGGCTTGGACAAGGCGAGGGTCCAGCCCAAGATCCGCGAATGTGAGCTCTGCATCAGCCGCCAACTCTGATTTTGGGCGTCCTTTGTTTTCAGGCCCGGGTGACGGCACACCGTTCTGGTCGAGCTTACGCTTCATGGTTGTTGTGTGTCAGAAAGGTAGTTCCTGGGGACGGCAGAATGGTGGCTGGGTTGAGGCGAGGAGTTGCTAGAAATCGTTATCAGATATCAATCGCTGGAGGGAAAAAAAAAAAAAAAGGCCTCCGCTGGACTGGTGCACGCCGGTCCCCACTGGCGGGTGGCCCTACCCTATACCCCTACGCAGCCTCCTTTCAACATTGCACACGAAATTCGAGATTTGTCGTACCTTTTCTGTCGCACCTACCTGTGTCGCAAATGGACCGCCAGAGAATGACTAGTTGTGTGTGTTTCGATCTCGCATATATATGGCTGCAGACATGTCTCGGGTGAAGCGGACAACGCAAACGGGAATGGATATTCAAGTCCCGTCTTCTCGTCTCATCACTCTTTCGGGACGGGTAATGTCTCCCCACTCAAGTCGCCCTCCAATATGCCGACTGAAAGGCGTCGACAACATTGGAATGTGCCTAGGTACCTAGGTAGTTAAGTTGCATTCTATAACCTGACAAGCCTAGATAGAAGCTTCAAGGGTGGATCGCTTCCCGCTTCCCGCCTTCCGCTCGAGTAACTGGTACCTCGTCACGGACTGCCCTACGAGGTTTCATGTACCCCTTATGGTGGGGCACAGGATCGCGGCAAGATGCATGGCGTGGTTGGAGGAGTACTTCGATGAGAAGTCCACATTCTGTTGGATATAGACCCGTCAACGGAGTAATTACCTACCTGTGTATCCATGTACCTACCAGCATATTTTAACTAGGTAGGTACTTCCCAGTTGCATGGCCACAGGCAGATACTTTAGATAAAAGCGCAGCGCACCATGCTGACGACTTCCACATCAACAGCAATATACTCAAGTACCTGAGTACGAATAACTTGAATTGGGGGTATAACTAAGCAAATTGGCTCTAGTTTTCCGGACAGAAAATATCAGAATCATCTCCTCTCCAAGTATCCACCATGGATGTCAAGCCTTTGAAGGCGTTGCCGTGTCCATCCTGCTTCTTATCCTCAGGAATAGAAATGAAGCTACCGTAACCATGATACGGTCTATTTTTTTTTTCCTTTTCAAATCCCACCGTCGCCAATAGCCAAGAACACCACAATTGTGCTCGTCGCGTCGAGTTGTTGGGAACTCAATACCAAAATCCCCCCCACACACGAGGCGGCCGCCATTATTTGAAGCCGTACTTATATCCCAGCACCCAGGCCGCCAGACTGTGAAGCCATTCTCTGCTGCCCCCTCTTCTCCCCCTCCAAGCGAAAGCAGAATCCCACCCGAAAGCCCTGGCCGATTCCAGACTCAACTTGAAAACACACACAAACAAACATCTAGGTACAGGAGCAGCATACCAATGTTGAGCAACGCGACCATTACATAGGAGAGTGAACAATGTCGACACCAAGAGATACACAGGAAATAAAACCCACTTCGGACGAGAAATACGCCAGTGTCTCTTGGTCATATTTGTCCCGCCTTTTCCAACCCCAGTCATCATCGCAACGGTTTCATGTCGCAGCTGCACAGATCATTCATGTGGTAGTGAGTGTATCAGACTACCCACTACCACCATCTCCCGACGGGCTCTCGGCAGATTAACCACGAATTAGAGACTCGCGAGAGTCTATTGTCGTATACCGTTTGGCGTTGCAAAACGATTGTGTTCGACCAGAATACACGGAACAAGTAAAACACCAAAATTAGCCGCTAAGAAGAAGAATTGCCCAAACTGGATTCAGCCAGCACTAGATTAATTGACCCCGACCAGAAGGGAAGTTAGGGGCGAGGCTACCTGCCCTTGCTGTTCGCGAAGAGATCTGTAATAGTGTTAGATGAATGGGCTGCGACACTACAAACAGCCACGACAAGCGACTGTGGCCGTATCACCTACCAGGGAAATGTTCTTTTGCATATTGTTCACAGGCCTTGTTTGATCTGTTAGCAAGGCTACCCTCATGTCATGTGTTCACTCTCTATTTCGTACCTTTGCCGGCTTGCCAACCTTCTGGCCAATCACTTTCCACTTGTTGTTTTCGTATTCCTTTATTGCATTTAACAAGGCTTGACTCTTTTTCTCAGGTCAGTTCAAGTTACGACATGTACTCGGGCCACGGGAAACCCACTTCATCTTCCGCGAACTCGGCGTAGTGCATATCCTGGCCAAAAAATTAGCATACCAATATACCATCCGTTTCTCGTTGGACCAGGAAGAAACAAACCTTGTACCAATGCTTCTTGACCGAACCTTCTGTTCTGGTGGGGAAGGTCTACACATACAAAAAAGAAGACCGTGAGCTTGAATTCCTCGGTCAAAAGGACAGAGCGACATACCTTGGCTATCTCTGCCCAGCTGTTACCCGAGTCTCGCATCATTTTGAGCCGCAGTTCTTCTTGCGGCGTCCATGGGGTGTTGGTGCGACTCTTTTTGGCCGGAGGCGGCTGCGAAGGCGTTGCATCTTCTGCGGCAGCCTGTGGCTGAGATGTCGAAGTAGCAGTCTGGGGTGTGGAAGGAGTGGCAGCCGGCGCTGGTACTTGGCTCCCCGCAACAGGAGCAGCAGGCGCTCCGGCAGCCGAAGATGGAGTAGTACTTGGGGCAGGTCGCTTTCGCTGGCGACTTTGTTGTGCTGGGGTTGGGGTTGGGGTCTGCTGCTGAGCAGCCGAGGCACTTGGAGGTTGAGGGACATTCATCGGCGGCTGGACCGGAGTAGGATGATGCTGCTGCTGCTGCTGCTGCTGGGGTTGTATGCCCGACTGGGGAGTTCCATATTGAAACTCTATGCGCTGCTCGGTTCGGCGTGCCATGTCAGGTTGGTAGGGATGATTGCTATTTTGCGAATTCTGGTCAGCAATTTCTCACAGGACAAGGCCACCACTACTGAGATGGCATATCGACGACGGTTTCCACCCATCCTACTCAAGCAGGAAGGGAGGGGTTAGGGCTATGAGGGTCGAGAAAGGGATACAAGAAAAAGAAGGAGAGCACAAGCGCAGCGTCACGACATTGCGATGGAAGTCATGTCGTGTTGGAAAGACGACAGCGAGGGTCGCGTTCCACGGCCGGGCAAAAGTGACTCGCCACCAGACACCGGGCACGGCACGTCTGAAGAAGAAGAACAGAGGGCAGATTTCGGGCCAGAGCCAGAAGCCGGTGGGATGGCTGATGCAAGTGAAGGTGACGGCGACGGCGACAACGGCAGAGGCAACGGCAACGGCAATGACGGTGACAATGACAATGACAATGAGGCGCCAGGCACTGGTTGGAAGTACCGTGGACAAGGAGACAAGGGAACAAAGGCTATGATGTCGGTACAGAGTACTTACTGCATGTCGTTGGGCGGATGAGTGGAGTTGGCGTAAACATACTCCGGCACAGGGCCGACCTGCCACTGCTGCATGATCTGGATGCGACAGGAACAAATATCGTCAGCGTCAATTTGGCACCAGAGGTAGCGAGAATTAAAAGGGCCAGAGAGAGGCGAATGCGAGCGCGACGCAGGACAGGTTCTTTGTTTGCGAGAGGTGGCCATTCTGGCAACAGGCATGGGTCCGGCTGCAGCGACGCGGCTGGTGTAGCCCAGCTTTGGAGAGGCTTGCCGACGCGCTCAAGCACGGTAGGCGGCATTGAGACGAGCGACGGGTAAAGCCATGCTGACACTGCTGACGGGGCGCAAGTCTCGCCGCAGAAAGGACGGGCCGCGTGCGCACACGGTAGACTGGGCATGCAGAGAAGAAAATGAGAGAAGACAAAAAAAAAACCAAGACAGAGGCAGCGCGATACTCACAGGCAATGGGTTGTCCAGCTAAAGGCTGGTAAAAGAGCCCTCGATGTTGATGAAACGTCTCCGGCGGTACACGTCTCCTGGCCAGATCGCGCAGAGAAAAAGGTCGACTGGTCCTTGTGTGAAGCAAGTCGGAGTCGCACAGGTGGTCCGAGGCTCGGGACTGGGTGGTTAGAGGCAGAGCCACGGGTGGGTTTGCGTAATACAAGTTCTGCGCCTCGAGAAGCTGGGCAGGCCAAGGTAGTTGACGGATTCGGGGTCCGCCGTCTGGAGGAATTTAGTGGTGGAGGCTGGTTAGACGGACGAGGGACGAGGCGGGCCAGACAACCAGGGGGCGGACCACAGCAGTGAGTGGCCTGATGGGGCGGGCGAGGTGAAAGAGTGGGCTCAACAAGTTGCTTGGGATGTGTGTGCGTGTGTGTGCGTGTGAGACGTGTGATGGATGAGTGATGAGTGTGGTGAGTGAAATTTGACTGTGTGCGTGTGTGTGCGTGCCTGCTGCGTGTGAAGCGGGATGGCTAGTCGTCGGCGTAATCTGCGAGATCAGCGATTCTTCTCGTTCTCCAGTGTAGCCGGCAAGTCTGGAAAAAGTATGGACGGTGTACGGAGTAATGGCAAGTATAGTAAAGGCACCAGCGACCGCGGCGGCGACGGAGTCGAGGTTGTCTTGATGAGAAGGTGATGGATACACCGCAGCTGACGGGGCGACAAATGGGCCCGTGGTGGCAATGCTGCTGCTGGCTGGCGTTGGTTGCCCGAGAGAAAGTTGCTCTGCGCAGAGCTCAGGCGCAGGCGGGCGACGCGGTTGAGGACAGCGTCGGCACGACAGGACACGGCTGGACACGACTCCGGTCGACGAGTTTTTTCCCCTCGCCCCTTTGCGCAACCTTGGTGTCGAAGCAGCCGATCAGCGCTGGAGGAGAGATATCTCGAATTGATCCAAACAGTGGATCCGGTAACCGTAGGCCGGGTGCCGACGGGAGTGAGGACAGGACGACGAGAAGAATCTGGTACTTCGAGCCAAAGTAACTCCTTGGTTGGGGCTTCTGGGGGAGGTGGTCGATGTTTTGGACTGGCTGGTCGGTGCTTTTTGGTGGAAGGGGAGGAACATTGAAAGGCGAGAGGAAACCTTGGGGCCTATCGGCACGAATGAAAGGCTGGGAGGGCGTGTGCGCGAGCGACCGGCGGGCGTCACCGTGTGGCTCCGACGCGCCAACTGTGCACACACTGCATTCCTCGGTGCTTCGCTGCGTGCGAATTCTGCCTGCGAAACCGTGGTATGATGTGCAACCAGGACTTACATAAGTGTGGCCTGCCGTGCATGCCTCACAAAATGCACCAGTCAAAGGCCTTCTCCCACGTGAACGCCCCGGGGTGTCCTCGTCTGCGCCAATCCGGGCGACAGACTAGTAGTAGTAGTCATTTCACACCGCGCTAGCCGAAGTACCAAGGCTGACTAGCCAAGAGCACAGAGTGCGGAGCACAATTTTCCATTTGTGCAGAGGACGAACAGCAAGAGCCCTGGGTTGCTGCACATCCTCGCGGCTTTTTATTATTTACTGCGCACGCTCTATTGGAGACGGTATGAATTTTCGCAAAATCGGAATGAAACCCTTTCGATCGGTGCGGAGCACGGGGATCGCTTTGGCGGGGGGGCATGCTTTGCGTGATGCAGAGAGATTTCTTTGATTCAATCGTCGTTACCAACCCTCGGACTCTTGCCAGCGCAGCACTCCGTACTTCCGTATTCATTTAATCAATTCTACAATGTTCCGTCTGATGTTGGGACCTGACTGGACGAGCATGTCTGCCTGAGGTTTTAATATGATTACGACAGACGAAACTTGTTCACGTGAAAAGAAAAAGCAAAAAGTTCCTCAACACTACCTAGGTACGGAGCATATATATATATATTAGTGTGAGGCTCAATGTCGTCAATGCTTTGGCCAAGGCGGCTCTTCACGATTAGCTCTTTTTTCTTCGTCGGCAACTGTTCCGAACGCTGTTTCGATCAAAGTACAGTACTTAAGTACATTGCGGGCTTTCATGCTTCGCGTGTCCCATGTACCAGCTACATGCAACGTGCGAAGGCCAAGTGATCTCCATCTCCAGACGCGCGGGAGCCACATCCGCATCTCTACTCTTCCCAAGCTCCACCTCATGCATCAGCAATGGGCTGGCGGCCTAGACCAGGATGGCTACTTTTTGGAGTAGTAGTTAGGGAGTACCTGGCCCTCGAGTTCCTACCACGGCGCCCGCGGACACATGTGTGAGCCCATCCTCTCCAGGCAAGGTTTTCCGATGCGTCTAGGGATCGACTAAGATTTCAGAATAGGCTTGCAGGCATTTGGACTCCTGCGGACTGCTGCTCTTAAAACGATTCGACGCCATGGCATCGGTGGTGATTGCCCAAGTTACCATCGGCCGGTTTCCCACCCGATTCTACCTACAGGTGCATTGTGCTTCCAAACGCGGCCGAATTAGGTGCTCTACTGAAGTACTACGCCTTTGTCGGGCACTGGCGAGCTCAACAAACTCTCCATCAGCTTCGTGGGAACATACTCGTACCGGTCAATTATTTTCGCCTTGTTCAATTGCGCGCTGAGTGCAGGCGATTGATGGGCCGCCAGGAAATCGGTTTCCTTCCAAGATCGAGGACCAGACATTCGATATATTTCAGCGCCCCTCCCCAGCTTGTTAACGACCCGGCATTTGGCGGGCTTGTTTGTATTGCGATAGTATCATCAGCAACACCATTGCATACGGGGACGGTGCTCGTGGTTTCTCCATTGATTCTCATCCTTCTTGTTTCCCTCACCAGCAGCGACGTCGAACAAACCACACCATCCCATCGTCCAGTCTACAAAGAAAAGTCGAGTACAAAACACCCTGAAGAGGAAGGGATGAAAGAATGAATCGTGGCATAAAAGGCGCCAAAGTAGGGCAGCCTTCGCAGAAAGGGTCGACTTGATCAATCGGGCCAGAGCCATCTAGTGAAGATCGACATGGACGAAGAGGGAATTGACTGGTCGCAAACTGTCGTGTGTTTCATGCAAAGGGCATCAGGCTGGCAACAATAAAGTGGGAGCGCTAGGCGACGTTTATGCTCGAGCAAGCAAAGCCCTTTGGCCATAATCATTCATGCGCGGATCTTGAAACAGATCGGGTCCCATCATCAAGCGGAGCAGAACTCAAGGTTTTTCGCAAATTCGCAGATCCGTCTGCTGGTCGACTTGAATAATCCAAAAGTCAAGTAGATGACGATGGACGATGACAATGAGTGAGTTGTGGTTGCGGACAACCGAGTATGTGCTAATATATCAGAGCGCACAATAGTATGTTGGGACGCGACCAGGCTAGCACATCTGTTTTTCAGTCCGGGGACATTTTGCCTGCTCAAGTACGGAGTAGTGAGTCTTATAGCCAGCCACTGCCGACAATCCGAAAGCACGCTTGGTGGATGGCTCGTCTGTGTACTCCGTACGGAGGGAGTACCGGGGCGGAGAAAGCTCACAAGTCAGATGGATGATTGAAAATGACATTCTGTCACCGCATTCTCCCTGTTACCCGGTTTCAGTTGTTCTGTCCATGTACTCATGGCAAGGATTCACAGTCCTCTGTCGCAGGTGCCGTTGAAACCCTCACAACATCTGCCCGCCGACCGGACCAGACGGTTCAGACGTCCGAAGGAGAGAAAAAAAAAAACAAAAACAACAAAATACACCGAAACGACGTTTCGAACGTTGGGATGACATGACACCAAGCCCTGTGGAAGCTCCTCTGTGCGTTGATCAGTTTTACAATCTGCATCCGTACTGAGACCAACTTGAGATTGCAACTCTACATGACCGAGTTTCAAGGGATCGCCGAACCGGCCCCGCCGTCGCTGGAGTTCCAGGGATGCGTGCGCCATGAGGGCTTGGCAACGCCACAAATAGTTCCCATGATGCTTGTGGCCAGTTCTTCCCCTCAGAAGAAGTTTGCAAAAAAGTCGCACAGACCAAACAATGCCCGCCAGCAATTACGGCTTCCCAGTGACTACAGTTTTATTCAGTGGCCGTTCCATGCTGCGGAGCGGTTCGCGATGCGACACTAGGTCAGCTACGGACTTCTACGGACTTCTGCGGACTTCTAGATGCATTCAATTCCCTCTGTCCCGCCCGCCTCTCCTGGCCTCCCTTTCATTTTTTCTGCCCTCTCCATGACACGAACGACTGACCAGTTACGTGGGTATTCTTTGCAATGTTCGGCCCCATGACTGACAACTGAGCCCTGAGTGCCGTCTGTCTGATGAAATCGGCCAGGACTCCCTGGAACCGAGGGGCATTGGCTGGACGGGCATAAGAAACGGCATCTACGTTTCAATGCGGCGACTTCAAACCAAACGCCTCGGCGGTCTCGCATTATTCTGGCGAAACTCCTAAACTGCCACAACAATGGATACCGATGCAGGAACATGGGGACGGCGGTGTGGCTTGGCGACTGAAGGGGGGGCCCAACTGGACCAGGGGTTGTTGCTTAATAGTTGGTTCAACCTGGTTGCTCCCAGTCCGACGCACATACAACGTATGTGTTGAACATGCCAGCTATCAACGTTACCTTTTCGGCTTGCCTAGGAGCTTATGCGAACCGTTTTGTCCTCACAGGCGCCTGTCACACCGAGTCTCTGCTATACTACTCCGTAGTTCGGATGCCAAGCTGAGTTATTGCAGCCTGTCGGATCCCGGCACCTCGAGACTCGAGTCTTTGTAGCCTCTTCGTCATCGCATCGGCGGACCTGGCGTTGCTTGTCATGACATGAGTCTGCTGCGGAGTCTGCACAAGGTTTCCTCTGCCTGAAAAAGATGACGTCTTTGTCGACACAGCCTTGATGCTGGAACAGGCAGAAGGCTGCTGCTCTACCTGGCATGATTTTTTAGCGTCATGAGCGGACACATTGCATTAAGAAGACGCAAATAAAGGCGACTGGCATGATGTGACCCAACATGTATGCGATTCGAGCGTTCTGCGCAGCGCCCAGGGTAGAGCTGGGCTCACGCGACTGCATCACGGCCGCTCGTTTCTCGGCTGACACGGTGGAAACGTTGGCCATGTTGTACAGAGTTTCAGGCGCTGACGACGCAGAAAGAAGAGAGGCTCACAAGTCACAACCTCCCAATAAAGAGCACAGGTAACCTGGAAGTCGGGGTGTCGACTCTCGAGTAGTGGCAGCGCAGCTCCATACTCGCTTCAGATTTTGTGGCGAACCCCCACTGGCTGCATTCAAGCCGATGAATCGCCCAGTGGAATTTTCATGTCGTCGTGAGGATCAGGCCAAACCTTTATGCCCAAGTTCGAATCTGCCGCAGAGTGGATGGTCGAACTGAGATGTAACCGGTCTAGATCTCAAGAGTGACAGGGTCCCTGGTCAAAACCGTCCTGGGAACGTCACCGTCAACTTGTTTCGTAGGAGGGGGGGCCTCAAGTCATGACAGACCCGTTGGGCCGGGGCCGTACCATTGATCAACAAGCCCTCTCCCGACATCGTTTGGTTCTTGGTCTCTTCTTTTTTTCCTTTCTCGTGAAGTTCTATTTTGTCTCGTATCAAAACGTTGACAGGCTCTGGTTTTCTTTGCCAACATCCGCAGCCGGCAACTTACTTTCCTTAATTACCGAATTAGCTCAGCTGCTGCCACTCCTTTTTGGCTATATTCGACATAAAATTCGTTGACTTTGTGCAAGGCAACCTCTTTCATTTCTTTTGTTTCGTGCTTCACCCACCTTATATTCCGTCGTATCATCCTTGTCTTGATAAGGTCAATATCTTGTTAGGGCCCTTGATTCCGCATAGTTGTGATAAACTAGGCGTCAAAACTGGCCTTTGGCATTCAGCCCAGTGCTTACACAGCCAACACTCAACGACCTTGAAGGGCCTGGTCTGCCATCTCGGTTTACAGCAACGGGACACTGTTCTCATCCATCCGCCCGCGATACAAGGAAGCAAGCTCAGCCTATCGGCTTGACTTTGGCAAGACACGCCGACAACAAGATACCACGTCTCCCACCACTCTCCTTGGGAATAAAGAAAGAAACAAGACGGCAGCCACAAGCGTTTAGCATCATGTCTCGAACCCAGGCGCTACAGCTTCAATCTGTGTACACACCCATCAAGGACGCCATGCAACGACGCGAAAATGGCGTTACGAAGAACAGGAAGACACCACTGACTGGTAGTGGCAGAGCATGGAGGGAAGATGAGGTAATTACAAGTGACCACCCAAGATATCGCTTAAAAGAGCCTGGAAACCGAAATGTGCTGACGTGTTGTTTGCTCTCTGCCGTACAGGAAGCCTACCTTGTTCAGACCCGGCTGCAGAAAATGCCATACAAACATATCGCTGCGCACCTGAACAAGACGGAACTCGCGTGTCGCCTGCATTATCATCAGTTGTCCCATGGCAGCACTCGACGCAAGCGAACTGCGTCTTGCTCTTCTGGATCTTCGGACCCTTCCCCCAGCCGGCCAGCAACATACTCAAGCCCCGGGCTTCGCGGCGAGGCTCGTTCGCTGTCTCCTCCGATGGCCGCGGCCAGCTACCTCCCCAAGCTGCTCAACAGTGACATGAAGCTGTCACGCATCATGTCCGGGGAGACGTCACCGCGGCTGCCTGCCATTTTGCCCAAGCCAGAAGGTGTTCCGCACCCTCATGGCGGTGAAGTGTTGCCTCGACACGCGATTATGACTCCCGAACAACACAACGAGCCCCTGCCGTCCGTCATGAACATGCGCCACTACAGGAGTCCGCCGTACGGGCCTCCTGTTCCGCCTCTCCGACTCGATACGGGCCGTTTGTCGCCGCCGTCGGCGTCAGTCCCCGTCCACACGGCTGCTCATGTGGACCTCGGGCGACTCCGCGCAATCTACGAAGCACGCAAGTCTGCTTTTTGGGCCTCCATAGTTGAGGAGTACGGAATGAATGCATCCGCAGCTGCGCTGGAGCAGGCCTGGAAAACAGGAGCTTGCTGCCAGCACAGCGAGAGCAGCCCCATGACGCCGGTGGCGAGCCCAGACAAGGACGGTAGCGCGGGATACCGGATGAAGGGTCAAGACAAGACAAGGATATCATCCATTTTAGACGACGACACCGACCGACGGTTTCGTTGACCGGGGAAAGGCTTGCGAGAGGGGGTCCAGGGTGGGAGACTGGGTTCGACGATGACGGCCAAGTGGTGATGACGACGACGATGACGATGGATGCGACATGGTGCACGTATCCAGACAACAACAGACAACAACAGACAACAACACGGCATGGTTCGGTTGGTGAGAGTGATTTCCCATAGTTTTATCTTCATTCCCTTTTTCTCCCTTCCCATTTTTTCCTTTTGTTCCCTTTTTTTTTCTTTTTTCCTTTGTAGGTTCAGATCGAATGTATCACAGGAGCAACCGACGGCAAAAGCCCAGCACGGTCAAATGGGAGTCAGGATTTAGGTTTATGGTTCGGGGGTTTTTTTTTTACTTTAGAAATACATGCTAAGTTATGATTTCAATTGCCGCTCTAGACAATGAGAATGCCGCCTCCTCCGTTCAACAGCCGACAGGTACGGCGTACTTGTAAGTTGTGGCGGTGCCGAACGGGTCGGCGCAAAATGGCCCGAAGCCGGAAGGCGCAGCTCACTCGGACTTTGGTAATGCGAGCACGGTGATTTGGCCGGTGGATCTTGATTCTCGACCCATGGTGACGTGACCCCCACGTACTTAACGGAGTACCCTTTACCCCGAGAGAACTACGGAGTACGGAGTACGGAGTATGTACTGCAAGTTGCGTGGCCACCCCACATTCAAATTCGAACCAAATGTGGGGGAAGACGTAGTATGTACGTCGTCGCCAGCAATAATAGCAAGTAAGTACCCTGTCACCTGTGCAAGGCACAGCTACAGCTGGTCGACGCCATTTCTCCCGTCCATGGACTTCTCTGGCCCTCGTCAACATCGCCCATCGACCGACGACAGCACAGGCATCGCAGCATCCGACCTGGACTTGGTCTCCGGCTATCCGGTCTTCTGTCCGCGTCTCTTGCTTGACCTCTCCATGTCTCGCTCGCCATCGCCATTCTAGAGCCCCCTCGCATAATCTCCCTCCTTCTTTCCCACCAAAGGCTCGCCTTCTCCCTCGATCGACTTCGAGTCATCACCGACACCCTGCTTGGGCTTGGGCTTGGAGGCTTTCGCTAAACATGGCTGACACCGGCGGCGAATCCAAGATGCCTGCGATCCCGGGCCATGACCCTAAATCCTCGGCCGACTATATCCAGTTCAACTGTCTTCCACCGGGGGGGCCCCTGAACAGATGGTCTACCACCTTGACCAGAGAGCACGACTTTCCCGGAGCCCAGGTATGTGCCTCACTCACTGCGGCCGTTTGACGTACACGCTCTTACGTGATGGTAGGCAATGCTGTACGGCGCTGGTGTGCCCGACGAAAAGACCATGAAGAATGCGCCGCAGGTTGGCATCGCTAGTGTCTGGTGGGAGGGCAATCCGTGCAAGTAAGTCCTCGTCTGCTCGTCATGATGCTCAAGCCAAAGCTGACTCTTCGTAGTACGCACCGTAAGTTGCAGAAGAACATGGTGCCATGACCGTCAAGCAGACACTCACAATGCCCAGTGCTCGAATTCGGAAAAATCGTCAAAAACGCCGTCGAGCGGGAGGGCATGTTGGGCTGGCAGTTCAACACCGTCGGCGTATCTGACGCCATCACCATGGGCGGAGACGGTATGTCGCCTCATCTTTGACCGTGGGTCGCGCCCCAGCGGCGGCGGACGAAGCACATATAAGTCGAGGGAGCCACCTTCTTGACCATCAACCCAACTAACGCAGAAAATCAAAATCAAAAACGCAAAAGGCATGAGATTCTCTCTTCAGACCCGAGAGCTTATAGCCGACTCCATCGAGTCCGTCACATCAGCCCAGCACCACGACGCCAACATCGCCATCCCGGGCTGCGACAAGAACATGCCCGGCGTAGTCATGGCCGCGGCCCGCCACAACAGGCCGTTCATCATGATATACGGAGGAACGATCCGCAAGGGCCACTCGGCCCTCCTCGGGCGCAATGTCAACATCAGCACCTGCTACGAAGCCGCCGGCGCCCACGCCTATGGCCGCCTGCAGGCCGAGACGGACGCCGGCAAGCACGGCCGACAGAGCACAGACGTCTTGTCCGATATTGAGAGACACGCCTGCCCGGGCGCCGGCGCCTGCGGCGGCATGTACACGGCCAACACCATGGCCACCGCCATCGAGGCCATGGGCCTCACGCTGCCCGGCTCGTCGTCGTACCCGGCCACGTCGCCCGAGAAGAGCCGCGAGTGCGAACGAGCCGGCCGAGTCATCAAGACCACGATGCAACGCGACATCCGGCCCCGCGACCTGCTCACCCGCGCGGCCTTCGAAAACGCCCTGGTGCTCACCATGATCCTGGGCGGCTCGACCAACGGCGTACTGCACTTCCTCGCCATGGCCAACACGGCCGGCGTGCCCCTCACCATCGACGACGTCCAGCGCGCGAGCGACCGCACGCCGTTCCTGGCCGACCTCGCCCCCAGCGGGAAATACCTCATGGAGGACATCTACAAAGTCGGCGGCACACCGTCCGTCCTGAAAATGCTCATCGCCAAGGGTCTCATCGACGGGTCCATCATGACCGTCACCGGCGACACCCTCGCCGAAAACGTGTCGTCGTGGCCGTCCCTCGACCCCGGCCAGCAAATCATCCGGCCCCTCGACGACCCCATCAAGCCCACGGGCCACATCCGCATCCTGCGAGGCAACATGGCCCCCGGGGGAGCCGTCGCCAAGATCACCGGCAAGGAGGGCCTCTCCTTCTCGGGAAGAGCAAGGGTATACGACTGCGAGCGCGACCTCAACGCCGCCCTGTCGAGCGGCAACATCAGCCACCAGGACGGCAACCTGGTCCTCGTCGTGCGCTACGAGGGCCCCAAGGGCGGGCCCGGCATGCCGGAGCAACTGCGCGCCAGCGCGGCCATCATGGGCGCCGGCCTCACCACCGTCGCCCTCGTCACCGACGGCCGGTACAGCGGCGCCTCCCACGGGTTCATCGTCGGCCACGTCGTCCCCGAGGCCGCCGTCGGGGGGCCGATCGCCCTCGTCAGGGACGGCGACCAGGTCACCATTGACGCCGTCAAGAACCGCATCGACATGGCAGTGTCGGACGAGGAAATGGCCCTCAGGAGAGCGTCCTGGAAGCCGCCCCCTCCACGTGTCAGGAGGGGCGTCTTGGCAAAGTACGCCAAGCTCGTGGGCGACGCGAGCCACGGTGCCGTGACGGACGGGTGGTAGGTGGCAGCAACATAAAAAGTAACACGCAGGTTCGAGAACAGTATAAGATGTCAATTTCAAAAAAAAGACTAGGGAAAAAAAAAAGAAAAAAAAAGAGCACATTGTTAAGCCGGTCAACATTCGCTATCTTGGTGACAAAGTCCTACGTAACAAGGCGCAACAAAGACGAGGGGGGGTATCGCGTATGCTCGGGACAGGTCCATCCATCCTCCTTTCCGCCTCGCCCTCACTCTCGACTCTGACTCTACTCAAAGAGACCGGGTTCCTGCCGTACATGTACAAAGTGTCGTCTTCTCTTCTCCCGGGCTGGCAGACACACCGTCCCAGGACGCGCGGGAGGGGGGGGGCACAAGGGCCTCAATCCCCGAGAGGCATGCCCTCCAGCTCATCCAGCAGGCGTCGCCAGTTGTCGGCCAGCATCTCGGCGTACTTGACCCGCTCGCCGGCCCAGTCCTGGTTCCAGCGGCTGACGTGGTACTGCGTCGACTGGAACGTGACGAGCTCGTCGCGGATGCACTCCTTTACGAAAACGGACCGCTTGTGCTGCTGCACGATCGACTCCTTGTCCTGCGAGGTTTGCGTGAGTTACAGTTGCAGTCATGACGACAAAGCAGAAGAGAGCGTGTTTGAGAGAGGCAAGAAACTGAAACTGCGGACGTGAACGAACCTTGATGATGGCCTCGGCTACCTTTTCAATCTCGCCGGGCTTGACCGTGCCTTCCGGCTTGGCCCGCAGAGCAGCCAACTTGGTCTCGTTGGCCTGTATCCTCCTCTCCAGGTACGGGATGTTGTCCTTGTCGAGCCTGTCCCGGCGGTCAAACAGCTCGCGCACGCTGACGAGGGAGTCTCTCTGTCGCTTGAGGTCCTCCAGCACCCCTTCGTCCCAGCCGCGACTTTCGTCCTCCAGCAGGGTCTGGCAGGTCCGGAGGTGCTTGCTCATTGCCACCAGCCCGTCGTTGAGCAGCGGGATCTCGTTGGTGTCTGTGGCATACGTGTCGGCCGACGTTTCCGTAAGCGAAGTGAGCGACATGGCGACGCGGGCGTGGTCCGCCGCCACGCCTTCGGTCCTCTTCACGAGCCGGTCCATGATGTTGCAAACGTTGATGTACAGCTCCGCGGAGCGGCGGACACCCGACTTGGTGCGGCTGAACAGCTCCTCCAGGGTGGGTGGGAGAGAGTCCTCGAGTCCAGGCGGCAAGGCACGGTCGGCAAACTCGTCCTGCACGGAGATGGTGGCTTGCTTCCGCCACACAGCCAGCTCCTACAGTCCCAAATTAGACTCATGCAACAACGAAAAATGTACCAACGATTCAGAAGGAAGAAAAGGGGGGTGGGATATACCGTAGGGACGGTGAGGAACATAACTACCAGCTGTTCCTGGCCCAGAACTGGATGTCGAACGAGAGCATTCAAGAACCTAGCTAATCCTCGCCGCCGTTTCTCTATAAAGGCGCCGTCGTTGGATAGGTGGTTGCCGTTCACAGCGACTCTCTTGGGTGGTAAGAGAGGCAGTACCCTGAAAGGATAGCGCTTGTGTAGACAGTCTAGAAGCCAAACAAAATCGCTGTACCTGCGGATGACCTTGCTTCCTCGACGTTGGCTGGCAACCTCGTAGTTGTGGTGCTGGAACAGAAACACGCCCTCCTTGCCGGGCATCAGGGTCACGACAATGTTCTCCTCGACACTGGAACCCGTGCGTCCGGCCGTGGCTCGACTCGCGTTTGCAGGCGGTTCACGCCCGGGAGAGCGGTCTATGCCGCCGCCGTCTCCTCCAAAGGAATGCGAAGTGTTCGACGCGCTCGGCGTGATGCTGTGCGAGTTGTCAGCGAAGCCTCCACCGCTTCTCGAGGCATTGGAGCCCCCATAGAAACCCCAGCCACCTTGGCCCTGGACGGCGTCATTTCCTGATCTGTTGCCGTGTACCGAAGAGGATATTGGTTCTGCAGAGGCATATTGGCTCAAGCTCTGGTCCGCGATAGTTGTGGCTGGCGACGACGGGTCGAAGCTGGATTGCCCGTTGACAATTGCATGGCTGCTGCTGCCATTGAGCTTGGAGTGGTCATGGCCCTTGTGAACCTCGGGAGTATTCCACGGGTCGTCCTCTGGATCATCCATGGCTGGGCGAAGGCCTTTGGGCTGCGGCGGTGTGTCTGCCTGCACCTGCACCAATGCTCGACGCTGGCGACTGGCTTCACCCTCTTGATTCAGCGCTGGGCGGACCTCGCCTTGGCCCAGGCTCTCGTTCGGCGTCTGTGGCGGCTTCGCGGCGAGCTCGGCAACGGGTGGCAGCACTGGCTCGGCGGTGAGGCCAGGGAGCTTGGGTTGCGGCAGGTCTGCGTAGAAAATAAAAGACAATTAATTAGTTGCGTTGCCCCCCACCGTCGACGTGACAGGGTCAGAGAATATTGACGTGTGATGACGAGTTGTCGGTCGAGTGAGCAGCCAATCAGCCCATCAACGACCCGTTTTGTATTAGGCAATGGAGATTTGAGTGACATTGGCAAAGCACCCATGAAGGTGCAAGAAGATACAAGTGCAAAACAAGAACAAAACCCATGAGTGCAATCAAGTATTCATGGAGTAAAGGAAGGAAGCAGTCAAAATCCCCGTCTGGGACAGTGCACAAGGAGGCACTCGCTCACTCGATGGGAAACGACGCGGGATTAGATTTAAACACAATCAAAAGCGCCGTGACTTACTTCGTCGTCTCTCATCCACACCGTCGAGGCTGATAATGTCTCCCTCCTGAGCCAAGCCGACCAAGGCTAGCAGCACGTTGAACTCGTTCCGCCCAAGCGACACATCGGAGCCGTCTCCCGGTGCGACAAGGGACATGATGCGCGTCTGGGCCTCGGGACCAAGACGAGCATTGGCGAACAAGTTGGCAATGCCGGCAGCCGTTGCGCGGCCGGAGAAGCCATGATCGCGAACAACGACGTCAAAGGCGGCGATGTAGCTGTCGGGAACGTCGGACGCGGGCAGCAAGTTTCGGACCATGTCGGCGCGAGTTTTTTGCCCACGGGGCGTGGGCATGTCCCAGGGCGAGGAATCGTCGCCGGCGCTTTGGCCGTCGTCGAACAGACTGTTGGAGGCCACCTTGTGTGAGGGCGACTCGTCGAAGAGCCCGCCGCCGCGGCGTCGCGATCCTGGACTTTGACGGGTCGGCGTGGACGGCTCGTTATGCTCCTCGGGAGGCGAGGATCCGAAGAGCGACATGGTGAAAGGGAAGCGTGTGTCGACGTCTGTGCCTCGAAGGCTCTCGACGGCTACCCAGGCAAGGCAGATGATTGTCTGTGGCAGAGAATCAGGAGGGAGGGACCCGCAGGAATGAACGCTGCGACGGTGAGGATGCGAAGGCGGCGCGAGGTTGTGAGGTCGGTTGCGGAGGGATGTGGTCGTCAATGATTTCGTAGCCACGGGCTGCAAAGTACAAGGCAAGCCGAGTTGAACGTCAGGCAACTGACTGGCCGGCGCACGCACTTGACGGCTCGCAGTTGTGCTCAGGAGAATCAGGAGAAGCAGGAGAAGCAGGAGAGGCAGAAGCGGCAGAAGAGGCAAAGGACAATGCAAACGATGCAATGGTAAGTTACGATACGATACAATGCACAACTTGGAGGAGGACGGATTGGCACGTCGATGACATGCAGTCGACTGCAGCCAGAATCCGCTCAGCGGACAGTACGGAGTGCCCCGGCCACCAGGCCCCCCCAATCAGGCTCAGCAAAGCTTGGGGTCAACTGGAGCACCTACTGTCACACCAAAAAACGGGCGTGGCCACGCCACGTTAGTTGGTGTACTTAATGCCCCCTATATACTGCGACACCTACGGAGTCACTGTCGTCTGTGGGTACCCAGCTCCCCAAGCTCGCCGCCTCAGACCGCCCCGCCACCACCAACCAGTTGCCCCAGCTGGTGTCAACTGGTGGCATGCATTGAAATGATGCTCGGTGCAAAAGTGCCATTGCTTCAGAATTGTCCCCGTGAGCGGGAGTCGCGCCCGTCATTGCACCAGCGACGTCTTTCCCTCTATCGTCTCTCGGCATGTACACAATGCTAGTCGAGTACAGTCCACGCCATAATAGTAGCACAGAGCAAGTCCTATCTCTGCTTCTCTGTCCACCCACCCGCCCATCCATCTGTCCATCCATGCTCTACAGACTACCACAAAGTCTCCTCAGTTGCCCTCTTCTCCGCCTTGGCTGCGTTCTTCACCTTGCGCTCCCCAGGCACCTTGAAGTACAAGCTGGGCGATTGTCCAGGAGCCAGCTGATAACTCAGATACCCCCTGTGCGCTGGGTCTCGGTAGTACTCAATGTCCCGCCGGCTCGTCGGGTCAGGCAGTCTGTACCGGAACGGCGCCCTCCTGGCCTCTGCGAGCACCCTCTCGACATGCTCCTCGCCCACGGGAAGGGGCACATCCGTGTTGACAGACTCGCCTCGCAGCAGCCGCTGGATCGCCAACTTGGTGTAGTACCTCGTAGTTACTTTCCCGCCAGCCGCCTCAATCGCCGCGATCGCGCCCGCCGAGGCCCGCGAAACCATGACGTCGATGGGCTGCTTCAGGCACTCGGATCCGCGCGAGAGAATCTTGACGCCGTCCTTGACGCTGCCCACCAGTCTGCTCTGGATGAGCTCCTTGGGCGTGATCTGCTTCGTCGGGTCCAGCCGGCCCTGGTTGATCCATTCTTGGATCTGATCGAGGTTTACTTGGGACATTTCGGGCGCTCGCCTAGGTAAATCAAGCATCGTGTTAGCTCCGCAGTCCCCCCCTTCCCCGTCTCTACTGAAATTCCCTCTCCGGTGATGCTCCCTTACAGATTCGTAAAGCCCATACGTCCATGCTTCACAACCAAGGGCGTCTGACCGCCCTGAAACCAGGCATTCACCTTGCCGTGCTGCCTTTGACCCTTGTGACCCCGTCCGGATGTCTTGCCGTGGCCAGACGAAGGCCCTCGACCTACTCGCTTCTTGACGTGGACCGCGCCCTTGTTGTTCGCGAGACTGCCGAGGATGGACGCATGGCGAGTTTGCTGAATCGCCAGGCCCGCCAGGCAGGCAGTCAGAGAGCTCAAGCGCGCCGTAGATGTGGTTCTGCAGCAGACGGAAGTGCTGGGTGGTAATAGTCGGGGAGACATGGCTGTGCAATTGAGTTTGATGGGAAGCAATCGGTGGACAGACATATGCTCCTGATTCTGTTTTTTTTTTTTCGGACTCGTTCGCACCCGCGGTAGAGATCGGTTGACGCCCCAATATTATCTGCCTGAGGCGAGAGTGGTCTCCACCTCCCCAGTGCACCCACATATAACTATATACCTAGGTACCTAGTATCACATTCACCTCACGATTGAATCATCTCATCGTGGATGAGTTGCTCTGCGCCGTCACATGCATCTTTAAATAATTGTAGTCCCCGCATCAGTGCCTTCTGAAGGAATTGTACCTGCCATCATCTACAATCAAATTCATCGTCTCGTTTACTTGGAATTCCACACGGTCGTACTTGGGATCCCAACAGAAAGAAAAAGAAAGAGAGACAGAGAGCGACATTAAAACGTTGTTACTAGAAAATAAAAAAAACTGTTCGCTAGTCCGACATGTCCAAAAAAGCACCACGTCCCACCCACATCCGTAGAACACGACACGTCTGTTCTCGCTCTTGTAAAATACAAATGCATATTCCACCTCTAAGAATTGGCGACCAAATATAAACCCTGTGCCTGAGCACCTATTGATCCAGGCAGAATCGACATGCTGGCAGCACCACCTCCTGATCGTCACCACGTGAGATATGCTCGCCGATGCTTCCTCCCGCTGTGAATATGGAGCAAAACGCCGTCTCCTCTTTTCGCCATCCAATGATTTCGTTGCTTAAGCGTGTCGTCATCGACTTCCTTCCCTCGCCATCGATGACACCGGGTAAACCTAGAGTGCTTGCAAAGTTGGGCGTATTGAACTGCAAGCTGCCACACTCCTGTCGTCCAGTCCGCACCCGTCCAAGACGGCGCAAATGAAACGTGTGCTGTTGGCATGGTCAACACACTCGAAAAGTAAATCCCCCAAGCCGATTTGCAATGCTTCAATTAAGGAGCCCAGCCGCCAGCAACATCTACCCATTCAGCGAGGCAGGAGCCCTCCTTGCCTTCGACGTCTACTATGTCAGTGTCGCAACGGCATCGGCACCCAACTCCGTTTTCCTTGACCTCATCCCAGTCTTCCCAGTACTTGTCCTCTTCTATCCGTTTCTTTTCGTCGAGCGTTGCCATTTCCAGATATGGTGTGCGAGGAAGCTGTCGTGACGGGGCATTGGCGGGACAGTGTTGAATAGTGGTATGCCTGTAGCCGATATCTCGGAAGTAATGAATGTCCTTGACGCCCAGCAGGGCACCGGCAGCAAGCGAATGGATGGGAGCATCACCCCACTGAAAACAAAATCAGTACATGATAGGGCTACGTGTCATGTTCAGCCATGGGTAGGTAATATCTTACTCTTTCCATCCAGAAACCACCACTGCGGTCCATCATCTCGAAGAAATCATTGTACTCCTTGCTTCTGAACCAACTGAGCTTTGCAATTTCAAAGTTGGACCAGAAGTGGCACATGTTGTATTTCTCGCCCTCCATCGCTTCGGGGTCAATTGTGGGGGGAGCATTATTCGCAGGATCGTTCTTCAAAATCTCATCGGGAAGCGGTTTTTTGTTCTTTACCTCCTCAGCTGGATCCCTGGGCTCAACAAACATTTCCCAAAGACCTTGTGACGTCAGATTGTTCAGTCGCTTGTAAGCTGAGGCGTAGCGGAAGATGTTGGGAACGGTTTCACGGAGTTCTTTCACAGCGATTGTGAACCCGTACGTCTTGTTATGCTCCATCATTTTCCTGAATGGGTCGCTAATCATTGTTAGCCATCATGATACAAGGGATGACTTGGCAGCGAACATACTATGTGATGTCGCAGAAGTAAGTAATCTCAGGCTCCACTCGCCAGTACCATTCGTACTTCAGAAGAAGTGGATGGTTGTAGAAAAAGCTGCGCCCGGACCGTCAGTACTGTGTGGCTATTTTCGTCTTGGTCAATAAACAAGGAACGTACCCCGAGTAGAAACGGCACATGAAATGGTAGCTTTCCAGCCCACCATACATGACGGCAGCATCTCCTTGTTTTGCGATGCCCTCCTTGGCGACTCTATGATCAACCCAGTCGGGGAAGCCCCACATGTCGGGACCAACTTTGCCAAACTCGACGGGGCCAGATGTGTGGTTACGGACGGTCTCCTTGAAATGGTCGTCGAATTCGCCATCGTTGAGAAAAACATAGGGATAGTGGAACCATCGGTTGAAGTGGCGCTCCATGGATTTGAGTGACTGAACAACGCCATCCAATTCCTTGTTTCTGGCCAGTACAACGAAGGTAGCGTTGGCACGAGGCTGGGAGGTATCGGGTTCCAAACAGCCCGTGACGAACACCTTGTCGTGCTTTTCACTGATTTTTCTGGGAGAGGGTAGTGCCGATCAGTGACATGTACCACAGCGATACTTGCAGGGAACTGTTTGAAACTCACCGAATGGCAGGCGGCGCGCCAGCAGGCATTAGGACCCTCCCAGGAGAGTTGGGATGTCGAACAAAAAGCACCAAGATAAGGACGACAACCAGTAAGGGGAAGATCAGAACAACACCAAGCGGCACAGAGACAGTCGAGTTGCCCCGTAACCGTAATGGCCGGCGGAAAAATGCCAACGTTGATGCCAACGTATGCTTTGTTGCCGGTCCGCTCTGTTCCTCGTGGGCCGGAAGGTCTAGCTTTGGTGTGGCAGGCACCATTCTCGAGGCTCTTCGAAACAGATCCATTTGGAAGGGGATGCCGCCGTAAATGACGGAAAGATCAATATGTACGCGAGCCTAGTGATGAAACAGAGCGGCTCGTCGAAAGCGGAATCGCGAGTAACCCGTAGCGGCACGACCGATTGAAGGGGTTGTCGAGGGTTAGACGAAAGGCATATGCAGCAAAACGAAGTGGCTAAGCATGACAATATAGACCGTATGACGTTGAAACCTTTCCGATCTATTCGTCAACCGCGCAGCACGAGGAAAATCGACCGCGCCAACAAGAGATGGAGTTTAAAATGGTGGTTGAACGAGTGACAAGGTGTCCCGGATCCCAAGGCGAAACAGAAGGGTCCAACAGCAAACGCGTCGAGGGTCAGCGCAGCGGAGTGCAGTGCAGAGAGCCACGGCGTCACGATGCGCACTTGGAACAGTCAATGCACACTCTCGCGTCGCGAAAGTCGAGATGGCGATGATCCGAGTCCCCTGCGAAAAGATGGACGAATTGTCGAGAGATGGGATAGGAGAGATTGCGAATTGGCTGCTGACAATTTGGCTACTGCGCTGGAGCCCGGCTGTGTTGCCTCACAGCGCCTCATTGGACAGGGCCGGGGCGAGCCTTTTTTTCTCGCACTCAGACTTCAGTGCTGCCTCTGTCTGTCGCTCATGCCGGTCTGGGCAGCCACCAGTGACCAGTGACCAGTTGACGCCCAGCGGCCACGACTGCGGCCGTGCATTCCTGCTTGCCCAATCAGCAGGCAGCACGCAATGGCGCCGGAGATAGAGGTTGCAGATTTCTCTTGCGGGGCAGACATTGACCTGTCGTGCGTTTTGTGGTTCGCGTACGGAGTAGAGCAGAACGCTACACACACCACCATGCCCGACAAAATCACCTCCAAGAACCTCTCCTACACCTCTTCTCTGCCGCCGTTTCTCGCACGTCTTCATGCACAATCCGCAGGAGTTACTGGTCCAGACCCCCTGTTAGCGGCGCAGAAGCGGTCTACCAAAAAGAGGTCGAGCAGCGAAGAGGCGGAGGATGCGCCCTTGGTTGTCGATGAGCGCGGGAACGCGGTGAGCCTTCGTCTTGACAAGGACGGCACGGTCAGAGGAGAGACGAGGAGTGATGAAGACGAAGCCAGAGTCGCACAGTTGGATGACAAGGCCGAGAAATGGGATGCCGATGCCCCAGTGTCTGTCGGAGGCCGAAAGCGCAAGGCCGGCAGAGTAGTTGGTGAGGGTGCGAATCATGGCCTAGACAAAGATGGCCAGCGTGAACAGAGGGGCGAGCTCGGAAACGTGGAAACAACTGCTGATAAAAAGGTCAAGAAGAAGGCTAAGAAGATCAAGCTGAGCTTTGACGAGGACCAGAGCTGAGCGGCAGAGGCGTTGGATGGCACTGCTCAGATCACGGGCGGGAGCAGACTTTGTTTGCAGGGCGCGTGAGATAACATGTGTCATGACAGAAGCGACACCGGCACTATCGCCAATGACTTGGTAGAAACATCACATCATACCGGCAAGGTGAACGAGGAGATGCCGGTCGGGTACCGCTGCGTAACTCTTCTAATTACTAGTTACACCGGGTTGGCCTCGAGCCAGCGTGTGTATCGTTCACTGCAAACGGGCGCCGTTTGCCCCCCACTCCGCGCCGGCATCAGCATCAAGAATGCGGGAATCTTACTACGCATCGGACATGTCGAGTTGGATTTCGACACATTTTCATAACTCATAAGCGACACCTCGCCTCAAACCAAAGGGCTACGGGCGGAGCTGTATCTAACAGCGACAGTGCCATACAAAGCGAGCACGTCTTGGATGAAGCATAGCTGTCAAAAGACAAAATAGAACTGACTTCTCTGTAAATCTACACAGCCGCTGCTCTCTTCCAGTGGAATATTTCGCCTTCCCGTTGACCTTGATACACGATTTTTCTACCAACCCCCACCGCATTACAATAGAATCAATCTACCGATATCGGAACTCAGGCTTGATGAAATCGGCAAAGGTCTTGGGCTCCTCGAACTCTTGGGCGTGGTGGTGGTGGTGGTCGTCCGCAGGACCGACGTAATCCATCTTGTAGACACTGCCACATTCGGGGCATCGCTCGATGGGACGCTCCTTGGAAAGCTGAATAATTAAGTTAAGAGAAGTCAGTTCCCGCAGTCCTCAATACATTGGCATAGCCATGGCAATCGACTGTCACTTACGCCAAGCCAAGTGACGACGTGAGAGTCGGCAGGGGAGCCAGTGCAGCCGGCATACTGTTCGTCGCCTGCCGATCGGACCATTATAGGGTTGTCCATGGTTCCCCTGCGGCTGGCATCAAGAGGGCGCATGTCGAAGATGTCAACGCCCTCCATCTTGCCGAGAATTTCCAAACGCTCCAGACCGGTAGCTTGCTCGAGATCGGTGGGGACGGTACCGGGCTTGGCACCAGGCCCAAAAAGATCATCTTCACTCTTGATATCTGCATTCAGATTGGACATATCAGCCGACTTGCATTTTGGTTTCCAATCACTCCCAACCGAGGTTGACGAAACGCAGCTCCCTGATGCCTATCCCAATCGCGCCAGACATACCACTCAGAACCTTGTAGTCGCCAACTTTCTTCTGGGCAGTGCCGGCAAGGGCAGCAGCCTGCTCGTTGGGAGTGGAAGGGCCCTTGGCAGCTTCACCTGTTGTACATTGTCAGACAACGACGGGCAATAGTGGGACAACACGAGCGTCGTGTTCGGACAGCCAAGGAGATTTGCGTACGGCGGACAAGGGAGTTGGTGAAGGAGCGAGCGATGACTGGAGAGACGGCGGCGCGGCGAGCCGCGGCGATGGCAGAGCGTTGCAAAAACATATTGTCGTTGCCGTCAATGCGAGCGGGTTGACGATTAGTTCGAAATGTGTCGAGGGAATTGTGAAACGGGCTGACTTTGGAGACAAAGTTGGCCGACCCAAAAGCTACCCCCCCATCTGAACGTGATTGACCAATCACTGGTGAGCGAATCGCAAGCGACCGAATATTACCCGCTCGTCGGCCATAGCCGAGCCTCCATCTCTTGCTGTTGACTTCATATACTTCTATATGGACGATCCTTTGAAATATCTTCAACAATTCTCAATTAGTCAAACTTTCGTGTTCTGTGCAATAAATCGACGATCTTTCCTCCCGCGGCACAACAACCTTGTCATATAACCAGAGCAAAGTGCCAAACTGAAGCGCGGTGTACCTCTGCAAGAGCCCGCGTATTCTACCTGTACCAACGTGCCCAAGATACTCCTGCAAATATTCTCCTAAGCTTTTGAAGTGAACACCTCTACTTAAGGACCTATTAGACTTTCTGCATATTTCCGAACGCATTCACACCCTGATAACTTCCCGACTGCGCAGCCAGCCGGGCTCGACGCTGGTGCCGCTTCTCGGCTCGCTGTGCTGGACCACGACTGGCGCGTTGTCTGCCGGCTTCACGCGTGCATCCATGTGGCAGGGCCGATTTCACAGGCCCCGCCGCGGATTTATCAGCTTTAGTGCCATCAATTTTAAACCTAGACATGCGGCCTTGATATTGAGCAGAGACGAGCACCGCCTGCCGCATGACCGAGTCCACATATCCAGCAGAGTCAAATTTTGGTTCGTCGCATAACTTGTAGATGATAGTCCGGACAAAATTCCGTGCGGTCTCGCACTGGTGGCCTAGTCTCTCCTCGAGCTTCCGTCCAATACGCCAGCGAATAAAATGCCAGGCATCCATGGCCAAGACTCCCCTGTCATTTAGAACCTTCAGATCAGAAATCTTGCATGCAACACGGTACATGAGCTCTTTTTGACACAAGCCTTCAGAGGGAAGGTGTTTCTTGGCCACCAGCTGATTCGGGTGGTATGGGCTATGGAGTCCGAATACTTCTCGAATCTTGACGTGCTTGCTCATGTTGTCTTGATGGAATTTAGCTGTCTTCCGTATGGCCACGTTATTAGGCTCGGCATTCTTCATGGCCTGATACTGCTCTTTCAGACTTCTTTCCTTGTCTTCTTGGGCGATGAATTCATCCAAGGAGTCCCAAGAACTTTCCCAGTACGAGGAATTCTCGTTGATCTTTTCGATTGGGACCGCTTTTAGAGAATTGGGTGCAGTGTACACGAGCGCGTCTTCGTCGTGAGAGTAGACGCTGTCATAACTTGTCCGAATAGTCTCCCAGAAACCCGGACCTGGACTGCTTGCTGTAGTAATGCCCGCCGTCCCATGCTCAGACTTTATTGGCGCCACCGACATAGGCGACACGCCTTGATGCAACTGCAACGCCATAGTAGAGTAATAGTTGCAGCCCAAAGAAGAAAAGCCAAGCTGTTAATGTCTAGTTAGTCGAATGACCTTGTATAGAAGTAATAAGAGATAAAAAATTCTCTCTTACTGCATGCTGGAAGCGAGAAATACTTGCTTACGATATTATAATTACGAAGCAACAACAGTCAGAGCAATAGCAGAACAAGTGAAGAGGAAGCAAAAACAAAGGATCTCAGAAAAGCGTATGTGCGGCTGGAAGAAATAACTTGATTACTTGTCAACTGATGTCGTCGTACTTTAGGGAGTAGCAGTCTTTGACTATCTCGGCAGAGAGGCAGTAAGAGTAATCTGGGCAACGAAAAGAGAGGGATGACGAGGAAGTCGATAAGAAGGTGGAAATACGCAATCGGGTGTTGTGTTGTTGATTTTATTTCTATTTTCATTTCCCTTTGCGCGCAGCCAGCTGGACGCACTGGTCTGACAGCTGGCAGCATGGTGCCCGATGAACGGCAATCAGTGCCACAACCTGCCAATCCACAAGAATACTTTTTGATCTGTCAGTTAGACTGCCGGTCTATATTCACTTTGTGGAATAATAGCGACAATCGTGATTCTGGTCGCTAGTCGCTGCCTTACTCTCTTGTAGACACTCGATGCATCTGGCCGGTCTATTTGCAAAATTGCACGAGAAGCATGATGAAAAGAGCAGAGAAACCCCAATCTAGGAACCCTACAGCTTGGGTTCTTTCACCTTCGCCGGCTCCCTTGCTGGTGCGAGTATGCCGTCTTGGTAGGCACTGGCAATGTGCTTTCCCTCAGGACTCCAAGTTTTGCTTTCCATCATACATCTATTTGCACTGACTCGAGGCCAGCTGATTTCCTGAATCCACCATTCCTCACCATCCATGACCGCTTCACCGGGGTTGGTGTGGATATAAAACGAATAGCTGAGACTGGCCGCCAGGCCCATGCTGAATCCGTATCCCATGTGATTAGCAAGCATGACTAGACCGTTCCTGTCGGCCGCAAAAGCATGGCATACAATGTGCCCGTTGACATCGTCTTTGGGAACGGGCTTCATGGGTCGATATAACATTAACTGGACACGGTCTGGGACCTCCTTATCGCTGTTGTATTCGGACATGTCGACCTTGTACATGTCCAGCAGCGGAAAGCCCCCATGTCCTTTGAACCCTTTGAAGAGAGAGGTGATGGCCTCAATATCGGATTGTGGCGCAGGTTCCCATTGGGCTGGGGCTCTCTGAGACAGTATATCAGCATACCGTTTCTGGGCGGATATGGGGGATTGAACGTCGTCCACTCCCTCAACTGGCCGCTTGAAAGTAGTGATACAGCTGAAGCAAACATCATGGAGAGGGAGTTTGGCATCCGAGCCGGGGAAAGGGCCAGCCGGATGTGAGGACGGTTGTTTGGGCTGGCGAACAGTGACTTGGCGGCCGAAGAACGAGCGGCCAGAGATTATATCAGTGACGTCGAATACGAACGGGCGATCGGGCAGCCCCGGGGTCGTGAAGATGCCTTGTATTGACTAGAGGTACGTGTCAAACACTATATAGTGGTGGTGCAGATGTTGCAAGGCAGGCAAAGGAATCTCGCGAGACTTACGTGAATACCGGGCACAGGCTTGACGACACCTGTGGCAGCAGTCTGTTGCCTTTCCTCTTCCTCGACGGCTCTCGCGGCAGCCAAGGGCGCTTGCGCATAGACGCAGCCTCCGAAAACGCCTGGTCCACTGTGCCGTGGTCGTGGGCCCTTCCAATTCTGGAGTACTGCGTCCCATGGCAGCTCACTTCCAGGCATCCAAGCCGGTTGACGACTCATGTATCGTTTCACGCCTGCGCCGTGTCTGTGGGTCTCACTGGGAACCTGGACAAGTTCCATGAATGCGTCGAAATCCATCCGTGGCCACTCGCGATGTGACACCAGGACACGTTGCTGGATCTCCTCGAGGGCTTCTTCGAACTCTGCCATGGCGCCCTTTCTGTCGGTCATCGTGAAACTTATATAAGCGATTGCACCGAGGACGATCCCGACTCAGGCCGAGGCAAAAAATACAAGCTGCAAATCCCACAGAAGGTCTGTCTGATCATACAACGAACGAGATGGAGAAAGATGCTCGGTGCCTTGGTGTGTATAATCCGTCATGTCTGCAAGCTCGCTGCTCGTCAGGGTCGTCTGGAACAGTAACCTCGGCAAAGCTGGACAAAAGCTTCCGGCGGGCTGTTACGTGCAAGGCTCCACTGCGCGTCCCGGATCTTTCAGCGGCTTCAGTGGCCGACTAGGCGGGCCACGGTCCACGCTAGTTGACCGTTTCTGCACGGCCTGGCATATGACTGACTGGTGTCTGGTTTCTTTGTTTGCATGTGCCGAATGTACAGACACGAGCCTTGCAGGGGATAATCTTCCGTTGAGGGCTCCTTGAGATGACCCCGCTTGACAATTGATGCTTCCCATCAATGTTTCAATGCATGTCGCTTTTACAGGTGCCAACCAAACCCAATATTCTGACAGCTTGCCTGGGACAGAAAAAAAGGTAGGGCTACGGAGTATATTAGCATTCAAAGATATCGGAATATGCCGGTCTTTCTTATTTGCATTCAAATGAAATGAAGTGCCGGTGTCATGTAGTCTTGTAGACTTAGTACAGCCAACAATGGTCTAAACTGTCTCTCAAGCCAACAGCTTGGATGCCCTGTCCTTTGCAATGTCACACATGGCCTGCTGGATATTAGAACACTGCTACAAACTCGATACAATTATTTGCATAATGGAGAGTCGCTCACCTGAAGCGCCGCGTCAACTTCTTTGGCAAAGTCCCCACGGTCAATGCGTGCCCTCATATCATTCATAATTTCAGATCGCCCTCTGCCGTTTACAAAGACGACGAATCGCAAGCCGGGAAATCTTTCTTCATACTCCCGATTGAGTTCTGCAAGCTGCTCTCCATCCCCTTGAAGATTGGCTTGCTCTGCAGCTGATTGTGCTGAGTCGACTCTTTTGGAGCCCAGGCGTGGGTGAGACCCAACAACGGACAACAAGGCGGGATTCGGTTTAGATGGAGCAGAATTGCTTGCGAGATCGAACAGCGCAGTCCGGCACTCATCTATTAGTTCCGAGTAAGACGAGTATTTGGCGTTTCGCACCACCGGCAAGAGGGTCGACTGAATAGCCGGACTAGGCTCAAAGAGAAGATCCAATGCTGTTGTCTGAGAAGATTTTGACAGAGTTTGCAACTCGCTGATCTGAGGGAGCTTGTGTGCCATGTTGGAGATTTGACGGTCGGGGGCCGTTTTTTTTTTTTTTTTTTTTTTTTTTTTTTTTTTTGGGAGGAAACAAGATTCGTGGCGGAGATGTCAGTTTTCGCAGTTGAGCTCTCTGGAATAGACGCAAATTTGCCAGCCCAGCTAGTTATTCGTGACTATCACGGAGCATGGCGATCGTTGCTGTGTTTTAGGGTCAGCCTGGAGCTCGCTCTCCGGTACGGGACAAGGTGGATAGGCTTGTCAGCGGAAAGTTCTAGACGAGTGCATCATGTTGCATTTAACTGAAGGCACATTCGAATTGCTAATCGACTATCCCCGTCCTTGGTGTTTGCATGGAGTTGAACGGTTGTTACACCAGGGTCCAGGATAACATTCGCAGTCATCAGGACTCGGGAGACGCGGCAATCCGCACTCCGCACAGAGCACGTGATCCGTCCGTCAGTCGCAACCCAGCATTCCGAAAGTGGTCCGTGCTGTCTGCTTCGCGAAACGGAAAATCTCAATCGCGACCTACGGACAGGACAGTACCTGGCATCGCAGGTGCAGGGTCGGTCCAAGACTGACGACTCGAAAAGTTACATTGGAAGCTGGGATAGCTTTCAACACCAGTCAGCATGCTGTGCGGAAGTAAGCGAGGTCGCTCAGACATTCAAGTGAGTATTTTCGTGCTGACGCGATGATGTAGTTTCCGGCGAAGCTCCCCAAGAGCCTGTCGTGTCAAAGAAGTCTGGTAGGCAACAATGTTTGGCCATGCCATACCGATTCTGTCCTAATATCCTTCCAGGAGTTGTCTACGAGAAGAGACTTATCGAACAGTACATCAAAGATAATGGCACTGAACCCGGCACTGGCGAGACTCTCACCGCCGATGATCTTCTTTCTATCCAGTCCTCGCGAATCGTCCGCCCTCGCCCTCCCACACTAACATCAATACCCGCGCTTTTAGCGACCTTTCAAAACGAGTGGGACAATTTCGCTCTCGAAACATATAACATGAAAGAGCAACTTGCCCGAACCAGGGAGGAATTGGCCACTGCGCTTTACCAACATGACGCCGCTGTTCGCGTCATTGCGCGCTTGAGCAAAGAGAGAGACGAAGCCAGAGAAGCTCTTAGCAAGGTAACAGTTGCCGAGGGGGCTACCAATGGCGAAGACATGGTTGTGGATAGTGTTGAAGGCCTCCCTGAGGCGCTTGCCGAGAAGGTGGATGAAGTTCATGCGTCGTATGTGCTCAACTTCAGCCCTCCAAGATTCTGCGTTATCATGCTAACAATGCGACTTCCAGCTTGTCGAAGGGGCGAAAGAAGCGTCCCATTCCCGAGGGCTGGGTTACGCCCGGTGACATATCCGCATTTGATACCACGGCCTCTACTGCCCTACCCGTACCTGAGACGACCTCGATCGATCTTGAAGGAGGATTTGCCGCTCTAGGTGGTCTGAAAGGCGAGGCTGCTATTTACTCTATTGAAGCCGACAAACTAGAGAGGCAGCTCCCTGTCAATGAGGCGGTAACAAGCACCTTGTGGACTGGAGCTAAGCTCTTCTTCGCCACTGGCCAAGGCAACGTCAAGGTGTACGAAGCGGGCAATGAAGTTGCCTCCGTTCCAGAGCATTCTGGCCCCGTCACCGGTCTCAGTGTTCATCCTGGAGCAGATATACTTGGCTCTGTGGGAACCGACAAGAGCATCGTATTCTACGATTTGGCAACCATGAAGCGTGTTAGCCGTGCATATGCGGATGCCTGTAAGTTTTCCCGTCTCCACCATGCCGAAAGTCTCCCGGCTTACGGTTGACCGACTGCCTCAGCTCTTACGACGTGCGCATTCCACCCCGATGGACATCTTTTCGCTGCAGGCACTGTAAGCGGAGACATCAAGCTCTACATGACCAAGAACTTGGATCAAGCTGCCATATTCAAGCTTGGTGCACCCGTTCAAGCCCTCGTCTTCTCCGAGAATGGTTTCTGGCTGGCCGCTACAGCAAAGGGCCAGACAACCGTGACGGTCTTTGATCTTCGCAAGGAGGGGGATGCAGCAACGGCCAAGATCCTGGAGACTGGCGGATCCGTACAATCTTTAGCTTGGGACTACACCGGCCAATACCTAGCAACAGGCGGTGCATCTGGCGTGACGATTCAACAGTACATCAAGTCAAGCAAGAAATGGAGTGAACCGTTCAGAAATTCTACCCCAGTCATTGGAGTCAGATGGGGAGAGTCGGCGAGAAGGCTGGTTGCAGTTAACGGAGAAGGGGTGGTGAGCGTATTTGGCGTCAAGGAGTAAAACACGGGATTTAGACTGGTTGATCTACCACGGTCTACATGTTTGTAAACAAGGAAATTTGGGAAGTGGCGAGGGTTTTGTTCAAATAGTTGCATCACCTAAGTAGGGATTCACGGGTTTTAAAAAACAGTAAACTATGCCTGGGACCGTACTTGAACTAATTGGCGACTGGCCGCTTCACCCGACATTATTTGACGATTGCATAAAGTTAATTGTTTATGTTCATTTATGAAAGGCCATTTCAGTGGAGAAGGGGGCCAGTCCGGACTGGACTATCCTATCCGCCCGCGCCGGGCTGTGCGCATGCGGTGGTCCGCTAATAAAGAGGGACTCTAGTCCGGAGGGGCAATCACATTCAATGTTCAAAGCAATCCGTGGCAAACACCAACTCGACATGCTCACCTGCTAATATCTCGGCCAGCGCAGCCATCTCCTATGTCCACCGATGCCATCATACACCACAGCGGCATTTTATCGTCTACCCCAGTCACGCATCAGGCTAGGCTGCCCGCTGCAGCCTTCACCCTAGAGTAGAGCCCTTGGACTGATTACCAAGCCGCGGCGCCGTCCTTCCTTGGGGAATTCCTCCCGAACGCCCATCTTTGTGGCCTGGTGTTCGAGCCTTGCCACCGACCGGACGCGACGGATCGAGTGCAGCCTACCCAGAGCGGCCCGGCCTCGCGAGGCGGATGCTAACGTAACACGGTCCTGTTTCTCACGCTGCCGAGCCAAGACGACAGCCAGAGTTGTGTCTCCCCATCCGAACACGCTGCCCTGTCATTCGCACCATACGGACGTTGGGGCCCTCGAAATGGCGGAAGTGGAGGACGCATTGCTCGAACTCCTGAGCGAAGATGATCTCGTCGAAATTCCCTCGTCGCCCCCCCATCTATCCTTTGATCCACTCCAAAGTTTGCCGATTCCCATGCAGCAGATTCCAGCTCAACCCTTGATGCTGCGCCCCAGTCGAAGGAGTGACCGCCGTCCATCGCCTCCCGTCCCGATGCCCCAACGACAGTCACAGCCGCAGCAAAGGCAGAGCACCGCATTCATTGATCTCACCGAAGAACCAGATTCGCCCGCCGAAATACGGCAGTCGCAACCACAGAGTCAAATAGGGAGGAACCCGAGGCGGACAAACTCACAACGGATAACGCCGCCTTCTTTGTCGAGAAGTGACAGTAATTTCATAGGGCCCGGGGCTAGTGTGATCGACCTGACGGCAGATTCACCAGAAGATGAAGGCGGTCCTGAGCCGAGAGTGACTAGAAGCCAGCGGCACCACCATCATCACCATCACCACCACCTCCTCCACCACCACCATCGAAGAGCAACGTTTGCACAGGATCAGTTGATTGAACTGGAGTTCATAAATGCCAACAGCGGTAGTATTTATTCCAACCTTTCAAATAACGTGCGTCGATTAGCGGGTATTTTTGCTCGGGGTTTCACGGCAACCCCAATCGAGTTTCCGCCAACCCTGACTCCCAGAGATGCCAGTCCCAAACCACCAATGGAGCCGACTCCGCCAACACGCCATGGGTTTACGCGAGACACGTCGTTGACAGATGAGAGGGTGGTGGTATGCCCGGCGTGTGGTGACGAGCTCGCCTACGACCCGACAGGAGCAGCGCCGCAACAAGGTCCGGCTTCTACGAGCGGCAAGAAGAGAAAACGAGCGCCTGGAGAGCATCACTTCTGGGCGCTCAAGAAATGTGGACACGTAGGCATGACGAATACGAAGCACGTGTTGACGCCCGAAGCCCACTGACAGTGTCCTCTTAAACAGGTTTACTGCGCGGATTGTTTTGAGAATCGGAAGCCCACCAAAGCCAACCCTCTGGGCGTCGGTTTCCGCGTACCCTTGGGTAAAGCACCCGGCACCCCGCCCAACGACATCCGATGCGCCGTGGAGAGTTGCGACTCAAAGGTCTCCCTTAAGACGGAATGGGTGGGCATCTATCTGTGATGGAAATCTGTACAAAAAAGAAAGAAAAAAGAAACAATCTACTGGAACCCGCCGTGGATCAAACGGGGTCTGGTACCAGGCGGTGCTTACTTGATGATGAACTTGCATGGCGGAGCGGGCTTTAGATACTTGGGCGTTTTAGGTATGTGGGACTCTTGTCTTGTAACAAGCCACAAGGAGCATGATATTACATTCGCGGAGCTGCCAACGACCGGTCTCTCCCGTCGTTGTCTTTTTATCTTCTTGGAACAAAGAGGGGCACTGTAGCGGCGGCGTTGGGAGTAGTCCTGAAGCATACTCAGCTGGGCCTTGCAAGAATACATTTCCATGTGGCTGATTCACGTGAAGTGTGGCAGCAGAGGTGGTTGGCACCGCATATCGACCGACTTGTGTGTGTGCGTATCCCTATTATCCCTATTGACGCGCCGACCATCCTGTGCCTCCCTACGTGGTGATGACGACAAACCGGTGCGTAACCCTGTACTGTGCCCCGTGGTGTCATATGCCATGCCATGCTTATTCCCACGTACGCTATCATGCTTCCGTCCCGTCGTGACCGCTAAAAGACGACGTCCAACGCCAGGTCGTCCATCCAGTCCCCTCCGTATTCCGTCTCTTGTGAGTCGCTGATGCCGGACGCATGAGCGGGCGACTCCATCTGAATGTTCTCCTTGTCCCCGCCGAGCGAGGGCCCTGGTTTTGAGATGCTGGCAGCGCGCTTCGGTGGCACAGTGGTATGTACTTTGGAATTGTCGGGTCGGTTACAGGCTTCCCTCTCCCCGCTGGTATGGTGCGCCTGCGCCTGCGCCTGCGCTGTTCCTTGGTCCTCTCGTCCTTCTGCAGCCGCGGTGCGCCTACTCTGCCGTACGGCTAGAGGCACGACTTCATCCGAGCCAGATGATGATGTGAGGAGCCGCCGCGGCCGGCGCCGCTGCCGAGGTAGAGATTCCACATCGCCGAGCGAACCGTCGAGCCCGCCGTCGAGAGTCTCGTCCTGAAGCTCAAGAGCCTGCTGGGACGGCGAGGGGAAGAAGTCGTCCAAGCTGCCGAGGATGGCCTGCGTGCTCATGGGCGGCTGCTGGATGACCGGCGGCGGCGAGCAGACGGGCTGCTGTGGTCTCGCCCGGCACGGACGCGGGGGGGGCTTCATCTCTCCCCCGAGCCCCGAGGGGCTCTTGGCCTCGCAGCGCGGCTCGCCGCGCGGTGCTGTCTTCGGGGTGTGGTGCAGCGGTGGGCTTCCGTCCTCGGCGCGAGCTCCTCTCCCGTCTCGCACGTCCCTTTCGGCTGCTCCGTTTTCCATCGTGTCCAGCATCTCGTCCAGTTCGCTCCCGTAGTCGTCCGGCAGCAAGTCCAGCTCGGGCCTGGCGTGGTTCGACGTGCCGGCCGCGGGCGCCGCCTCCTCCCTGCCCCCGACGTCCCCCAGAGGCCTGCCCCCGGAATCTCTCTTCTTGCCGGACCCGTTCCCCCTGACGAACCTCGCAATCGTGTCTTGGCTGGGGCGCACGGCCACCAGCGGCATGCCCAGCTTCTTCTTGTGTTCCCGCTCGGCCAGGTCCTTCTCGCGCTTCTTTTCTCGGGCGATCTTGGCTCTCGCCGCCGACTTTTCCTTTTCGAACTCTCTCCTTATCCTATCCTGTTCGGCCCTCTCCTGCTTCATCCGCTCGGCGCGCGACATGGGCGGCGTCTTTGTCGATGCCTTGTAGGCCTTTCGCACTTGTTTTGTTGTCATGGGCCGGACATGGTGGGCTGGACGGGGGGAGGGGGCGTTTGGTACGAGCGTGAATGTCCTTTGCATGGCTGGCGACCCGGGACGCGTCCATGTCCCGTTGAGCTGAATGCGCGTGTTGTGCGTGGTCGGGTGTTTGAAGCCCGTCAGGTTGATGGCCTGGGCGGTATTGGGCCTTGGCATGAGTCTCGAGTCCGGACGTGGAAGCACCAACGCCCGGCGTTCCTCCGCGTTTAGTGTGGCGTCTTGTGCTTTGCTTGGCTCTTATGTAACTTATGCCCCAGCCTCACGGCCTCACAGCCACCTTTTGTTATGCGCTTTAATATTTGCATATACCAGTACGGAGTACTCCGTACAAGGAGACTGGACCTACTCAAACACTCCTACATCAATCGACAAGAGCTCCCCCGACTACAGGAGCATCACTAACGACACGGCCAACCCGCGCAGAGCAGGCTGCGACGCCAGTCGGCTCCTCCGTGGCCTTCCCGCAGCGCCGCGCCCCTGGGGATGTGCTCGCAAAACACGACGGCACTCGTGGGGCTTTGGTACCACAGCCGTAAGCTTCTTGGTCAATGGAGATGGAGATGGACCTTACAAGGACAGTCGCCGGATCGACGTCCCTGGAAATGTATACCAGCAACATACCTGCACGGGCACCGTTGCAGGCGATTTGCCCGGCGACGTAGTAAATGCCCTTCACCTCAAGTGACCTCGAACTGTGTGGGAACACAGCATGACCCGAATCCAGCCGTGCAGCCTGAGCGGCCTGAGAGGTTCAGCAGCCTTATACTTGCCCCTTGTCCCCCTGTGAACAGTCGAATAGTCGAATAGCCGTCAGACCACTTGGAGCCTTTCCGTCATACGGATTCCGCCAGACGGTCTCGTCGGCTTCCACAAGTCTGCCAAAACCAAGTCGAGGATCCTTGTAGGGGTCAGGCCGAGTCCTGGTGGATCGAAAACCGATATGCGCGATGTGTCCACGGCCAACGTCTCTGCTGGATTCATGAAGCTATGATCCGCCAAAAGGGCATCTAGCACCTGGATGGTTGTTTTATATTCACATCTGAAACATATTTCGGCTGTGTTTGATTACATGATTGGAAGCCGCTTTGCAAAATTGAGCCAAGTTACTTGTCAAGCGGCTCAACCGTCGGGTCCCAAGCGCAAGGGCTGTAGTCCTGTGTCACCAGGGCCTCCACCTCTTCGTCCGTCAACTCGAAATCGAAAACAGCCGCATTCTCCGCGATCCGGGAGGGCGTTACGCTCTTCACCAGCGGCACGTAGCCCCTCTGCAGACTCCACCGCAGCAGAATCTGAGCCTCCGTCTTGCCATACTTGTCCGCCAGCGCCTTGACCTTGGGCTCGCCCCAGCGCTCGCCACGTACAATGGGGCAGTAGGCTTGAACGGCAACGTTCCTCTCTTTGCACCAGGCCACGATGTCCGGGCGCGTCAGCCAGGGGTGCAGCTCCCACTGGCCGACGGAGATGACGCCGCCCTTGCCCGGGCCGCCGCGCTCCCGCTCGAGTACCTTGATGTAGGCCTCCAGCTCGTCGAGGTGGTGGACGCCGTAGTTGGACACGCCAATGGACCGGATCTTGCCGGCGTCGACGAGCTCGACGAGGGCTCTCCAGGCCCCGCGGCGGTTTGCGCTGCCGCCGTAGGGAGAGTGGATGAGCACGAGATCCAGGTACCCGAGGCCCGTGGCCTCGAGAGCAGCGTCGACCAGGAAGTAGGTGTTGTCGTAGGACAGCGGCCTGCCGCTCATGGGCACCTTTGTGGTGAAGAAGACTTCGGACCGCGGGACGCCCGAGGCGAGGATCGACTTCGCGGAGGGTCCCTGGTTGCGGTAGGAGGACGCCGAGTCGATCTTCCCCCCTCCCCCTGTCGTGTCAAGATGGCTGAAGTTGAAGTTGCCGTGGTGTGGCAGTGCTTTGTCGGGCCAAACTCACATGGCGGTATCCAAGGCGGAGAGCTTGGGCGCACACCTCGGTGGCCGTCTCCATGGGCCTACACTGCGGTCAGCCAGACGAGGCGGATTGGATCAAGCTCAAGTGTCGAGTTTCGTACGTTTGATAGACCTTGGGAAAGCGTCAGCAAGGTGCCTGCAAACGTGGGGGCGGGAGACATGCGCCAAAGCCGAGCACGGGGAGACTGTAGCCCGAATTGAGCTTGATGGCGGAGTTGATGGTCAGTTTGGACGCCATTTTGTCCAGCGTGTAGCAGGATGATGGGTGACGTTGAAACGGGACCGAATTGGAGTTGTTGATGGCCTGGTAATCAACTACCTACTTGGGTAGGTGTGCCTGGTCGTGGCTCCGACTCGTGGGATTAAAGCCTACAAGTCGTGTTATTACTAAGTAGTTACTTAGTTACCCGAGGGGAAGTCGGCTTTCAGCAAAGTATCCCACCAACCCTAACCCTGACCGGTGCTGCGTCGTTGAACAACCCGCGTACTGGCCTTTTATAACTGTAGATGGAACCTTGCTGGCTTGTGGCTTGTAGAGCTGCATGAGTAGGAACATGTATATTGATGTATGTCAAGAAAAAAATCCATTTCCTGCCAAGTGACGCGTGTCAAGAGAAGCAGAGCAGGCAACTACCCAGGCACCTAGGCAGACATAAAGAACCTTTTCTTCATGTCCACCAAGTCCAGATTCATTACGCACGTGTCCACCTTGTAGTGCCTGCTGCCGGCTGCAGAACCACGTAGCTGTTCGTGGGGTCCTCACGATGCCAGGCTGGTGGAAACAATTCTTCTCATTCTCCTCACCAAGATCAACGGCACACGTCCTTTGCGGGCCAGTCGACGGAGAGCTGTCGGCGAGAGAAGGCCCCCTGCTGCAGAAGCTGCCTGGGGAACAAAAGCCTTCGAGAGAGCTTCTGCAACATTCCTTTGCTGGGGCCTCTCAAGGACTGAGCCACGTAAGATGATTCATGGACGACTCGACCGTGATCAAATTTGACAAGGTCGGATGGTAGCTGGACATGCGTGCTGCCTAACTGCCTCCCGGAATATCCTGGGCTTGTACGCGCCGGCGGATGCATAGGTTCGTCAGGAGGACACAGACCAGCTTTGCCAGCAAGCTCGTTTGCGCAAAGACGGACTGTTTGCATGGTTTCACTCTTGTCTCATTTGAACTCGCTCCCCGCAACCCGGTTCTAAATGACGCTGTCTAGCATTCCGTAATCATCTTCGTGATTTCGCTCCGGCACGGCCGCCCGTGACTCTTCCCCCTCCTCCGCCGCCTCCTTGTCATCGTCGTCGTCATCGAGATCCATCATGGGGTAATTCAAGATGGCCGCGATATCGCCCATCATCTTCAGTCTCTGCCCGCTCTCATGGTCACTGCTTAGTATCCGCGCCTCGCCTCCGTCGTTCTTCACCTTGTCAACCAGCGCGACGTACTTTTTGCGCGTTGCCAAGTCCTGGCTTCGGAATAGTGAATTGTTGACGAGCAGTACGCCGCCGCCAGGACCGACTGCCCCGTCGGCGACGGCCTTTTCGACGGCCTTGGTGCCGTACCACGCTCGTCCGTCGTCCAATTTCAGCAAGTCGAAGAAATTGTCAATGTATTGCGCCTCCTTGACGTAGCTCATGTCCTTCATCTTGGCCACTACCTCGGGGCTCTTGAGGACTTCATTGAGGCCGTACACGTGCCCAGAGTTGGCGTGAATGACTGTAGCTTGCTTAGAAATGGCGGTGAGCACCTTGTCCGACTTGTCCCGACCCTGCCTCGCAATGTATTCCTTAAAGTCTTGGGCCACAAAGCCGGGACTTGCGAGCAAGAGCGGCCGTGAGCCTGAAAAGTCGACGGCTCGTAGGAGCGAGGAGAGGGTCTTGTCGAAGAATCGCCTGAGGCCGGCATCTTGTTCGGCGGCGGTATCGCGCTTTTTGGGGACAACACTCTCTACACGGGTCTTGAGAACGGTCCGGAACTGGGTCACCAGGCAGATGTTGGCCAGGCCTTCCTGCATGACTACCGCTGCCATGGCTCCGTTCTTGTCATCGGAAAGCGCTTGCGACAGAGTGGCTTTGGAAACGGAATCCCAGCCGTCGGGCTTGATGACGGTGAAGGATCGGTTCACTTCGATGTCGAGAGTGTGATGTGATCCCATGGCGACGTGTTCGTTTTCAGATGCCACGACGCCCGAGACTCGCAGGGAGGATATAACGGGGTCGAAGAATGTCGACTTGACCTTGACAGTCAGGTCTGTGTGGACTCGTTCGGCGGCTGCCGCGCCAGTGCCGGAGTTGACCGTGACAACTTTCCGCAGCGCATGGGCGTGCACCAGATCGCCAGGGACGATGAGGTTGTAAGCATGCCACTGTTCGCGACTTGTTAGATTCCACAGGCTCACGGTAGGGTGGTGAGAAGATGGCTTCCGGATCAGAACACACCATGTCCTCGGCGTCTTCCGGCAGCAGCGAAACCTGGTCCTCCTCTACACCCTTGAGGCCCCTCTTGTGGACCAACTTCATTCTTGCCGACAGAGTATGAGATGTATAGATCGACAGGTGAAGCAAGCACTGCAAGGGAAGAGACCCGGTGTATTTTGGGGAGTCGGTTCCCGTGTCAGGCACATTTTGTTTGCAGCCAAACGAAGCGGGAGCACATACATGCTTGAAAGTGCCCAGGATTGAGTTGAATCATTAGGTGGCGGGGAGGCAGTCTCTGTCTGGTGGGGGTGGCGTCGTGGCTAGAGGCCGACGAGACCTGTGGCTGCAAAGTCCCATGACGAATAGCCTTGCTTCGCGCTCGTGGTAGCAAGTTAAAGTAGTACGTAGCCTTTATTGCGCTGCCTCGATTGGGAAAGTCCGGGCTCTGATGTAGGCTTGGATCTCAACTTGGTACGGTCCTTTACTTTTGCTGTTGACAGCACCAAGGATGGGTGTCGCCAAGGTTAACTAACTCACTCGTCAGTACGGAGTTTCGTACCGTATTTACGGCGCAAAGTGTGACCGTCGTTCTGGCGTGCCTGCCGCAACCACAGCTCCAGAGTTTGGGCCCGGGCAGATGACATCTTTTCGGAACCGTTGATAGCTCAAGTCGAATACGCGTATTGACCGAGAACCTTCCGGTTTTTACAAGGGCTCCTTGTCCTTGTTGGTCCCCGTGGCCCATGGCAAATGCGAAATCACCCGACCCTTTCTTTGAGCGGCCTCGACGCCGAACGCAATGGCTCCGCGAGGTCTGGTAGAATATCACGCAGTTGACAAATAGCTCAAGTCTCCCTGGTCATACCACCCGTACCCAGTTAACAAGTCACGCTGTAGGAGCCTGCCGGATGCCGAGTCTGATTTCACCGAGACATGACGGCTGTTGGAGGGATCTGGACGTCATCTCTTCCCCCAAGCCAATAGCCGCAGAACTAAGGGGCGCCAAGCGATGGAGTTGAAACCTTTCGGAGTGCGGACTGCAGTCTCTGCAGACACCGAAGGCCGACCCTCGAGCTGCGGTAAAAAGCGGGTGGCGCCAAGGGTCTGCGTCTGCGCGCTCTGGCGACGTCATGCTCTGACCGACGCCCTGGTTCGGTGCAGGATGGGGATGGATCGATGATGACTTTGACTTGCCGGGTTCAAATTGGACAGGATGAAGCAAAGAAGCAAAGGCGCCCCCCAGTACTCCGTATCAACTACTACTAGCCATTGCCACAACAAGCCCACCAGAAAATTGGCTGCAGGGTTATTCCGGGAGCTTCTAGGCAGGGCCCTGCTGGAGGCATCAAAGGCATACATGGATAGATAATACCATCTGAACTCGCCGTCGCTCGGATGAGTGATTTAGTTTTCAAACTGATGTTGATGCGAGTTCAGTTCTGGAACCAATTATGGAATGCACCGTCACCAGTCGAATCGCCTTTCCCGCACAGGGGATGCCGGTATATAACGCATGCTAATAATATTGCACCAGCTTGAAGGCGTGCTGGGCTCTGTCCCCGTACGGTCGGTGCAGCCAAAACGGCCCACGAATGCGAATGCCCGGGATCCGACCCACGGCGGAGGGAAATGCCAATGCGAGATATTTTTTCCTTGGCCGGAACCTCGTCGGACGAATCGAGCCTTTTTTCTTTTTTTAGGTTCCCCCCCGGGCCACTTGCTCCTTCTCGCTCTGGCCCCGCCACCTGTGTGACCAGGAGTCGTCGCTGGTCCGGGCCATGGGCTTCGTCCGTCGTGTGTGTTGGTTGTTGGTTGTCCCCCGTGGGTTGTCGTGGACTCGTGGAACGAGATGGCCGATGGCCGATGGCCGATGGCTGATGGAAAGGACCAAACTGATGGTGGGTCAAGGACGGCAGGCCAATCGGCAAGGCAGCATCACGGATGATCAGTTGCACCAATGGCGCGCATTACGTAGCCGTCCTCTTTGCATCATCTCGGACGGAACATCTTGGTTCGGACTGGTGCAGTGCCAAGGCCCAAGAGGGCTTCGACCCCCGGCTCCGGCTTCGACGCCCGGGTCGCCCAACCTTGCAGGCTGCAGCGGCGGGACAGGGAGGGCATTAATTTGCTTCCAACTTCAACCACCGCTTGCTTGACGCTGCTGGACAATTACCGTCATGTCGTCAGTTGCAGCTGCGGAACAGTGACCCGCAGTCCATCAGCCTGGAGGGAGTGGAGTATCAGGCGTGTCTCTTTTTGCGACTCTGGTCGGCCTCGGTGTGGCTTGTGACGGATAAGCGCTACAATAGCTGCGGCTTCCCGTCATTCAAGCCTCAATCTTACCGTCAGCCCTGCAAGGCGCACAAATCCATCCCCAACCACTTTTGAACCTCGCCAGCTTGACTCTGTTCGACGTCGACGGCCGCCGGATAGCCCGGGGGCGGATTGAGGGTTGTCACTGTTAACTATTCTCCGGAGCATCTGGAGCACCTGCATCGTCTCGACTCCTTCTGGGATCCTGCCTGCACGCCCATGTTTCACGAATCTCGACGACTTGCGACGACAGTAATTCCCAGCCACAAGCTACAAGTGCCGCGGAGTAGAAGCTGTCAACTCCGACGAGCAGGCTGCCCATGCGACCAGCCGCCTGCACGCATTACTGGGGTCGCAATCCAGGACGGAGGCTCCTGAGCTATCCTCTGGTCTTTCTTCGCAAACCCCTTTGCGGCATGGACAATGGCCACTCAGCTATCCTCGCCTGCCATCTCGCGCCATGGGGAGGCTGCTTCCGACTCGGCTTCTGGGACCTCCGGACTGCCCGATGCTTCAGGTATGTCAGTTGGGATTGTCCCACGGGCGAACGTCGGGGCTTGCGAGGCCGCATAGGATGCCGAAATATGGCCTTGTGACGGAAATCCCACTTGAATCCACGCTGGGCCCTGAGCTCACATGTCAACAAGCAGGAACAAATTATAATGGCGCATCGCAGCCTGCCCCGCCGAATCGTTCTTTGCATTCTCGACTTCCCCGGACCAATACGCTTCAAAATGTGAGGGACAAGGAACAAAAGACATTGTCCAAGACCCCATCTGGCACAAACGCAGCCAGTACTGGGCTGGACCCATTAAGCACCGTAAGCTTTCGTCCCTTGGTTGCCGTCCGAATGGGAAGATCCAAATGCAGTCGTGCTGACTTTTCCCGTCTTTTGACTTCAGCAAATATATTTGCGGACCAATAGCAACACGGAGCCCACCATTGCTCAGCGATTGTTGTATTCTGCTCGCGCAGAAAGTCCTCCTCGAGACAGTCAGCACCGACAAAGCATTGATAGTCAAGGCAAAACCCTTGGTGCTGCCGCTGAATCAAATCGAGACCGAAAGTGCGCATGTTGAATCAATTTTGGCGAAAAGAACGTGCCATGTGCTAACGCAACCTTCAATCTTCAAGGAAAGGTTCATCATTCCTAAGCCGCCTTGCCATTCGGGGTGCTTGGAAAAAAGACGATGACATGAACGACTCCGATTCCGAATTGGGTGAGCTTCGGACCGACGGCTTCAATGCCAAGGCTTTGACAACTGTGGTAGGGGCTGGCGGCGGTTACATACCATTTCACAAAGAGCCGCCTCGTTATATCCGGGTCACGCCGTGCAACAAGAAAACTTCCGACTTCAATCACCTTTTCCTTGCGCAAGAGCTCTTGGGAACCAAGAGAGCATCTGAAGACGAAGCACGTGGGCGAGAACCGGCAACAGCCGTGGGATCGAAAATCTTGAAAGCCGGTGACGCTATATGGGCTACTGAGTTTAGCCTAGACGGCCAATACCTAGCCGTTGCGGGCAAAGACCAGACTGTCAGGGTCTTTTCCGTCATATCTACGCCGGAAGAACGCAGGGCATGCGAAGAGGAGGAGGAGAGCCACGGTCGTGGAGTCGGCGAGAAGCTGAGCGCGCCAGTCTTCCGGTCCAAACCCGCTCGCGAGTTCCAAGGTCACACTGGCGAAGTGTTGGATCTCAGCTGGAGCAAGAACAATTTCCTCCTCTCCTCATCCATGGATAAGACTGTAAGGCTGTGGCATATGAGTCGACCAGAGTGTCTGTGTACGTTCAAGCACAATGACCTGGTGACATCGATTGCCTTCCACCCCACCGACGACAGATTCTTTTTGGCGGGCTCCTTGGATGCCCAGCTACGCCTGTGGAGCATCCCCGACAAGGCAGTTGCGTTTTCGGCAACTGCAAACGACTTCATCACAGCAGTGGCATTTACGCCAGACGGAAAAATGGCAATCTGTGGCCTCTTGAGCGGGCTCTGTTTGTTCTATGAAACGGAGGGCCTCAAACTCGACTCCCAAATCCACGTTCGCTCATCACGAGGAAAGAATGCAAAGGGGAGTAAAATCACTGGCATCAGGACAGCCTTTGTGCCACCCGAGGACGGAGAGGAGATCAAGGTTCTTATCAGCTCAAATGATTCTCGCGTCAGGATATACAACCTGCGGACCAAGATGTTGGAGGTCAAGTTCCGTGGCCTGGAGAACCAGTCGAGTCAGATTCACGCCTCTTTCAGTGACGACGGGGCATACATTATTTCCGGCAGCGAAGACCGTCGAGCCTACATCTGGAGTGCGAGCAGCGCCGACAACGACTTGAAAGATAAGCAGCCGTACGAGTGCTTTGATGCACACCCCGAGGTTGTCACGACTGCCTTGATGGCACCAACCAAAATGAGGCAGCTTCTGAGTGCGTCCGGGGACCCCATCTTTGACCTCTGCAACCCACCGCCTGTCATGTTACTTAGCCTAGAAGAAAGAAATGCCAGCCAGACCAAATTTTCCGAGGGGGGCCAGACTGACGGCGCGGCGAGCGTCCGGAAGCCGGAGGAGAGCCCTGCCTATCTTGAGCGGTCGAAACACTTGGACGGAAACATCATTATAACGACAGACCGAACCGGCACCATCAAGGTCTTTCGACAAGACTGTGCCTATGCAAAACGGCAACAGAGCCAGTGGGAGACCGGGTCCAAATTCTCCGGGCGACGTGCTGGCGGCGTCGGACGGTCGGGCAGTACTGCTACACGAACAAGTACCGGCAGCCGAGTCCATTCCCGGGGCGGCTCGCTGAATCTCGGGACGGCGAGCCAGCTCGCGCAGCCGGCATCCGACAGGATCATGAGCTGGCGTCAGGGCGTCGAGGGAAGGCCCAGCATGGGCCTCGCAACAAGTCGGAGTGACAGGTCGTTGTCCCCACTGAAGTCGAGCCGGACGCCCCTCAACAGTTCGGCTGCCAACCTCGCGTCGGAAGCGAGGAAGCTGCCATACGCATCTAGCTTGGCGAGCAGGACAAACATTCCCGGCAGCCCAACAAGCAGTGGCCACACGGGACGGGATTCAGCGCGGATGCGCAAGGACAGAGCAGACAGCGGCGGCATACCCCTCACGCCCAGCTTCAGCCTCATCAGTGCGTCAGAATCGGAGCAAAATGAAAGCAAGGGCGAAGGGAGCTTCTGGAATCTCGGCAAGTGGAAGCCTAGCATCACCGGCCTCAGATATTCGCTGAACGCGAGTCCTCTTGGAAGTGGGAGCGGCAACACAGCCGTGAATCATTCCAAAGTCGGCGGCGGCGACAGCTTGAAAGTTGGGGACAGAGGACCCGGCCGCCGCAGCTTGGGCGTCCACGACACACGCAGGTCAAAGACGAAGGAGGATGCCGACAGACGCCTCTCCTCCGGGCCGACGGCAGCGTCGAAGCCACGGTCTAGCGAGTCCGACTCTCTTGGGGGCAGCATCGAGGAAGAAGTCGAGGTTTCCGACAATGTCGCGCCCAAAAAGGAGCGGACGGACTCGGGTGTCGCCGAAGTAGGCGCGGACTCTACAGACGACAGCGAGACAGCGACATGCCGGGAATGCGGAGGCCGAAGCTTCAAGGTGAAGCGAATCGCAAAAGGCAAAACAGTGCTGTCCTGCCAAAAGTGCGGAACAATGACAGAATCATGATGGCCGCGAGTTGCTGGACAGCGGCGGGACTACTTTACATGTTGTATATGCGCGCAGATATGAAGCCGAGGGCATGCTGAGCGGGTTGTTTCATCAAACGTTTGGGGGGGGGGATCTGTGCAAGGAGTTTGGAGTCTTGTTGGAGCGGTTTTCATCTAGTCACCTTGATTTACAGGATCCTATCTTTGTATACCCAGAGAGCCGAAACGGCCGACGACTACTCGGGACGGCAACAAATGTCTTGCAGGATATTCAGGCCCAACTATTTCTCACGGCAGTTTCGGGGGAGAGATCAAACTGGTTCACAGGTCGCCCTGCGACGTGCACTTGACGACGACAGCAAGTTGCAGACAGCAAGGAGACGTCTCGATTCCCGTCTCTAGTAAATGTATGTAACAATAGATGTATGTCCCAAAACAGGTTCTGCCGTAGCGGCAAGCTGGTCACGCCACGACGTGCATTGCACCCATTGGCGACTCTTGGAGTCTGCAAAAAGATTCCCCCACGGTCACAGATGCGCTGTTGGACGGGCCCGACACATGTCACGCATTGCTCATGCAGGTCGTTTCCAAGCCTCGCGCACATCCGGCCGCGCCGCGTCTTGGAAGCTGTCGGCAGCCCGGGGGTAAACTAGCAAGAAGGTTTGGTCATTCCGTCTCGGAAAAGGAACCCCTCGTCCTCGTCACTCCCAAGCGCAAGCGCCGCAACCACGTCCAACTGCTCGGCGGGTTGACGCGGACGTCGGACGGGCCGTTCTAGTTGCCGGCGGCAGCGGCCTTGGCCCGTTCGGAGACCTCGGCGACGGTCTTGTTCAGCGCGGGCGGGTTGGCGCCGACGACACTGCTGTCGGTCTTGTTGCCGTTTTCGAAGAAGAAGAAGGTGGGGAGGGAGCGGACGCCGAGCTCGCCGGTGAGGTCGGGGACGTCGTCTGTGTCGAACTTGGCGAAGGCGAAGTGGTTGTCGGCGCCGAGGGTGTCGGAGTGCTTGGCGAAAAGGGGCGAGATGGCCCTGCAGGGACCGCACCAGGATGCGCTGGCTTGGACGGCGACGAAGGGCGTCTTTGCGACGAGCTCGTCGAACTGGGCCTTGGATGTGATGGTGACGACGGGCATTTTGGGCGGGCGAGCGTGCGGGAGGGGGTGTCGTGGTCTTTTGGCCCGGGGCGCGGCGGCGTACTCGGGAGCAGTTGGATGCGGATGGAGGCGAGGAGGTTGAAGGTTGAATTGAATGAGTTGGCAGTTGGCAGAGGGAAGGGAAGAGGGAGGGTGGCTTTTGGGCTGCGGGCGGGGGGAGACTTTATGGCATGGGCAGAGAGAGGGCAGACAGAGGGCAGATGGGCAGGCTCAGTCAGGGCCGATGGCGGGGCTCTTCAGCACGGTGCCGCGCCGAGTCGTCCGTAGAGGGTGCTGCAGAATCAAAGGGAGAAACAAGGAGCAATTAGCAATTCGAACCAGAAGCGTCGCGTCCACGGTCAACGACTCTGCACCCAGTCGTTGGTCTATATGATCCCTCGATGGCGCCATGTGCTCGCTTGATTTGCAAAGATGACAAATGGGCCCCGGCTTGTCACGTCGGTGCTCGGAATGTCGCAAGCGCCGAGGCTGACGGAGGTGGCCGACGTAGCATGCAACCCACCTGAGAGTTGTGCATGGAGACGAGCACACAACGGAGTCCTGACTCCATGACAAATGACAAAACTGTGGAATATTAGATACTGGGACGATTGAGTGCTCTTTTTCTTTCGGCGTTGCACCCTACTTATCCGCCAGTCTGACCTGCTTTGAAGAGTACAAAGAATCGCACCGCCACAACACAGTAGCACTTCAGCCACATGCCACTCACACACGCGAATTTTTGACAGAGGGACCCGGAAAAAAAAAAAGGGCGTGCGAGACCCGATAAGGGCCTTATCGGCCGGAAAAGGTGTGGTTGTGTGCCTGATCTTTCCGCCATGTCAACTGAGCAAGTGAAGAAAAAAACATTCAGAGACTTATAGCAATCAATTCGGTAGCACGGCTCCAGCGGCACATCTACACCTCATACTGGCATAATGTCGAAGCGTGTCGCCGACGAGAATGGCGACCGCCCGCTCAAGAGTGGCAACCGCCCCGAGGCCATGGATATCGACGACAAAGAAATGGGCGATTTTGAGGACGAATTCGAGGACGAGTTTGAGAGCGAGGACGAGATCTTCGAGGCCGGTGTTGACGGTCGACCTGATGCCGAGCGCGAAGCTGAAGAAAAGGCCGGTGAGAGTTCCCCTGCGCAGAAATCTTCTTCAACTTGACCCCTCTGTCGATTGCACCCCGCCGTCCATTTGCATGTCCTAGCAAGTAAACTGACACGAAAATCTCTAGGCGCCATGGACGTTGACCAAGACACCTTCATTGTCGGACGGAACAAGCTGGAACCTGGCCAGACCCTGGCACCGGACCTGTCCACCTACGAGATGCTTCACAACCTCAGCACACCCTGGCCCTGCTTGTCCTTCGACATTGTCCGAGACGCTCTCGGAGACGACCGAAAGGCTTACCCTGCCACCATGTACATGGTAGCTGGTACGCAGGCCGAGACGGGCAAAGCCTCGGACAATCAGCTCATGGTGAACAAATTCAGTGGCCTCAGCAGAATGGAGCGGCAAGACGAAGAGGACTCCGACGACGAAGACGACGACGAAGATTCCGATCCCGTCTTGGAGAGCAGGTCCATTCCTCTCAACTCCACCACCAACCGCATTCGCGCACATCAGGTTCCCAGTAGCGAGCCGGGACGTCCCCCCATGACTTTGACCGCCACCATGACAGAGTCGACCAATGTGTTTATTCACGATGTTACGCCTCATCTGGCCTCATTTGATAACCCCGGAACTACCATCACGGCTCAACAGAACAAACCCATTTCCACCATTCGCGCGCACAAGTCTGAGGGCTACGCTGTCGACTGGTCTCCCATGATCCCCGGCGGCAAACTTTTGTCCGGCGACAATGACGGTCTCATCTACGTGACGACCCGTACCGACGGCGGCGGCTGGGTCACCGACAACAGGCCTTTCCAGGGCCATACCAGCAGTGTTGAGGAGATCCAGTGGTCACCGTCGGAGCAGTCGGTGTTTGCTTCGGCTTCCAGTGACGGCAGCATTCGTATCTGGGACGTCCGATCAAAATCCCGAAAGCCGGCCATTACCGTCCAAGTCTCCAAGTACGATGTCAACGTCATGTCTTGGTCTCGGCAGACCAGCCACTTGCTCGCCTCCGGAGCCGATGACGGCACCTGGGGTGTCTGGGACTTGAGGCAGTGGAAGGCCGGCGCCGACAAGCCCCAGCCACTTGCCAGCTTCGACTTCCACAAGGAGCAGATTACCAGCCTGGAATGGCACCCCACCGATGACTCCATCATGGCAGTCGCTGCCGGAGATAGCACTGTCACTTTGTGGGACTTGGCAGTCGAACTGGATGACGAGGAGAGCAAGGACACTGCCGGCGTCAAAGACGTGCCTCCCCAGCTGTTGTTCGTGCACTATCTCAAGGACGCCAAGGAGGTTCACTGGCACCCCCAGGTTTCTGGAAGCCTCGCAGCCACGGGTGAGGAGTTTAGCATATTCCGAACAATTAGTGTGTGAGGCGCTGGTGATGACGACACGACACGTGGTGACGAAGTGGATTTTGTATATATGACATTTACAGGGAAAAGATGCTCCCTTTGGCGACTGGGCAGTTGGGCCTCCCAATTTGAGCTGTGTTGAATGACTTTCCTTTCTGCGGCAGAACGGGGACCGGAATTCTATCCCCAATAGATCTGGGAAGGAAACCAGCACTACTACAGCGGAAGCACCAGACGTGGCGAGACGGATGACCCAGCATGCGGCAACTGTCCCGTCTCTGGGGGACGGCAGGCAGAGAAGCCAGGAGCGAACAAAGCTTCCAAGTCCCGACGAGGTCAATAGTCACCGCACACTCTTGCACACCTTCAACGTTCATCACAGGCACAAGGCCCGTCGCCTCGGAAGCGACTGTACATCAACAGAGAGCGCCCATATTCTTTTTCGCTGGTATGAAATCACAATGAGGCTTCTAAATATCACCAGGCTCCGATTGGAGCTGTTTACCGCGGCGCCGCCCAAGTACGCCGTCGTCTCCCACAGATGGACAGAGAAAGAAGTCACACTCGAGGACATGAGAAACCGGACTGGACTACCTACGCAACCTGAATTCTCCAAGATATTGCACGCCGGGCTGAATGCCAAGACGGTTGGCCTCGAACACATGTGGATTGACACATGCTGCATCGACAGAAATAGCCACGCGGAGCTCTCGGATGCGATCAACTCCATGTTTCAATGGTACTGCGGTGCAGAAATATGCCTCGTATACCTGGAAGATGTCTCCTCACTCGAGGACCTCGGGAGGAGCGAGTGGTTTCGGAGAGGCTGGACGCTACTGGAGCTCGTTGCACCAAAGAAGGTGGTTTTCTTCGACCGCTAGTGGCAGCTCCTCGGTGACAAGTGCGAGCTGGGCGGGCAGCTGAGCGCCATCACTGGGATTTCAGAAGAGGTTCTCCTGGGGCAGGTGGCGATAGATTCGGTCCCCGCGAGTGAGAAGATGTTTTGGGCAGCCAAGAGAGCCACGACGCGGCCCGAGGATGCGGCGTACTGCCTGATGGGCCTCCTCAACGTCAACATGCCAGTCCTGTACGGTGAGGGCGCAGAAAGGGCCTTTCGTCGACTGCAGGAAGAGTACATCAAGGTGTCGGATGACGAGACCATCTTCGCGTGGACGGCGGACGCGTCCGAGGTTCAAGAGAGGCCGTACTGGGGCCTTTTGGCGCCCTCGCCTCGACATTTCCAAAACTCGGGGGGGTACTCGATTCCTCGATTCATGACGCACAGGCACGGGAGACGTACGGAAATCACAAATGACGGATTGGACATGATGCTCGACTTGTACCCGTGGAACAAGGACCCCTCCAGTACGCTGTTCTTCTCGCCGCTCAACTGCACAAGTGACGCGAATGATGCCGACGTGTTCAGAAACCTATTTACAATTGTGCTGCAGAAGCTGTCTGCTTTCGAGAACCAGTACGCTCGCATCCGTCCGGACAAGGTCAATGCGCCCGCGTTTTTTCAATGGCCCGTCCTGAATTCGCAGCCTCACTGGGGCTACTCCCAATTACTCGTCAGAACGAAACCCAGAGTGAGCGATGACGTGGCCGGCTTCTGCATGGCGCGCGTACAGTCCGTCGCGTTTCGGATCGTGAAAGGGTATGCGCCCGAGTTCGAAGTCATTCCCGCTCGCGTCGACATATTTTGTGAGGGGAATAGCGAGGAAAGCGCTGTAGGGCCTGCTCCGAAGGCATTTTGCGTCTTCGACGTCAGGTCTGCGGAGAAGACGGGCGGCATGTCGTTGGATTTGCAAAGCGTCAAGGGGAGAATGATTGTGGGATGCGCCAAGATGAAACTCGTCGTCAAGCTCGGTGGCGTGTCAGCCATTGACTTCATGCCGGCCTGTCAATCCAACTTTCTATACTTTATCTTCGGGCTGGAAAGCCTGCCGGACAACTGTTTCGGAACGGCAGCAGCATACTTGAAGCCCTGGTGCGTCGTCAGCAAAACGTGCGATGCGAGTGCGTTGGCGAACGCGATGGCTGGGGAGAAGGCCACGACATTCCGGGTGCTTCCAGACGGTGCATTTTTGAGGGTCGTGTTCGGCGTGGTCAAGTACGAGTTCAAAATGTACTATCAGATGCAGGTGCTGAATGTGATGGACAAATAGGGCCACCAGCACGCACTGCCACGCACGACGGGGACGTGGACACGGGAAGAGCACACAGCAAGTAGGGTATTCAATTGAAAACAGCGCCAGGCAGTACATGTAACAAGAGCGGAAGAGCGGGCGTGCGTGCGTGCGTGCGTGATGCGTGACGACGGGGGAACAGGCCCAACTAATTCTTGTCCCAGGCGTCACGGGGCGTCTCCGAGTCGGCGGGCGCGTTGGTGTCGGCGACGGCGCCGGTGACGACGAGCTCGTCGGTGGCGAGGATCGGGGGCCCGTGGAAGTTGCGGCGCGCATGGGCAAAGTACCAGGCGACGGCGACGGCGGCGAAGCCGGCAAAGACGACGGAGGCGTAGTTCATGGAGCCCGGGTCGACGGGCAGGGAGACGGGCATGCAGAAGATGACGACGGCGAAGACGGTCCAGACGACGCAGACGAGGTTGACGGCGTAGCCGAAGCGGCCAAGGGAGAAGGGCGAGGCGCGGACGGGGCGGCGGCGGCGCAGCAGCAGCACGAGGACCGGGACGCCGTAGGACATGGAGAGGCAGATGGTGGCGACGCCGGTGAAGGAGTTGAAGGCGGCCGAGGAGCCGAGGTAGATGCAGCCGAGGAGGCAGTCGACGAGGGTGGACAGGCCGAGCGCCCACAGCGGCAGGCCGAGCCGGGGGTGGACGCGGCTCCAGAGGCGGTGGCCCGGGACGGCGCCGTCGCGCGCAAAGGCGTAGGTGCAGCGCGAGGCGGCGGTCAGGGCGCCGACGCCGGCGAACAGCAGGATGCCGAGGATGAGGAGGAGCAGGCCGAGGCCGGCGCCGGCCGAGCCCGCGACCGTCTTGAAGAGCGGGCCGATGGGCTGGGCGTGCCGCAGGAGCGCCGCCACGTCGGGCATCACGAAGAGCAGCGGCACCAGGTACACGACGCCCGTGAGGCCGGCGGCCACGACGGACAGCACCATGGCGCGCGGCACCTGGCGCTCCGGGTTCTGCACCTCCTCGCACATGGCGGCCACCATGCCGTAGCCGGTGAGCGTGTAGGCGGCTGCAAGCGACGTCAGCTACGGAGTACCCTCCCCCTCCGAGAGTCCGGAACGCGACGCGACGGGACCCGACTCACGCTGCAAGAGGCCGACGAAAAAGGACCACGCCCACGGCCAGCCGCTCGCCGACGCGTCGTAGTGGCCGAAGACGAAGGCGGGCGAGCGGCGCGCGGGGGCCCTGACGAGCAGCGTGACGACGATGACGACGACGCTCGCGCCCGTCCACCACACGCACAGCCTGTTGACGGCGCCGAGGTGGCGCGAGGCGAGGGCGTTGACGGCGGCGCAGGCCAGCATGACGGCCCAGAAGCACAGCACCGTCTGCCACGGCGTGGCGGCGAAGTCCGGGTCGAACAGGGACACGGCGCTGAGCACCAGCTGCGCGCCCGAGAAGTTGATGCTCAGCGTGACGGTCCAGTTGCCCACGAGCGTCAGCCACCCGCCGACGAAGCTCACGAGCGGCGCGGCGCGGCGCGTGCTCAGCATCGCCGACCAGTAGTACACCCCGCCGGCGGTGGGATACACGGCGCACATCTCGGCCAGCGACGCCGCGATGCACACCGAGATGAGCGACACGAGCACCCAGCCCCAGAGGACCGCCACCGACTGCCCGTTGTACAGCGTGATGTAGAGCGTCGTCGAGAGCCCAAAGGGCACCGCCATGATGGCAAACGACAGGCCGAGGATGCTCGTCATGCCCAGGTTCCGCGGCAGCTCGGCCTTGTAGCCGAGCCCGGCGAGCGCGGCGTCGGCGTCGGCGGCGGCTCGGGAGGCGTGCTGTGGTGTCGTCGCTGGCCTCGGCTCCATGGTTGCGGACAGGCCCTGGTGAGTGGTGGTGATGTTGCCGTTGGATTTTATTTTGGGAACGACGCACGCGACGAGTCGACTCTGCGTGTGTGTGGTGGGGCGCCGCCGCTCCGCGAGCTGCCATTGGACGTGGGCCTCTGGCAGCGTGGCCCGTCACACATGACACGTCATTTGGGGGTGCCCAGGGTACGTAGTTACATTTATCTACAACCCGAAACGGCTAGCGTCGGTCTCCGAGGCCGTTCATCGTCGTCCATCTTTTAACAAACCCGTTTCTCGGTAGAGTTGCTCCCCATCAATACGGCTAGCATTCTTGTTATATTCATGCTAAACTAAGAGATGTTCTACTTTTTCCTTTTATTTTTTTTTGAAAAAAAAAAAAAAAGTAAAAAAAAAAAATCTTTTTTAGAAGACAACCGATGCCGACGCTATGCCAAGTAACTATTCCAAGACACACACGCCACCTGCAAAAAATAAATAAATAAAACAAATAAAATCCAAGTCGCTTGCCCTCACGAAGCGAGTGTCTGTTGTGCGCCCTGCCTGCCATCAGGTATCATGAAGCCACCCTTGCAAAAGAAAAAAGAAAAGAAAAGAAAAAAGGACCGTCTAGTGGTCTTCGACGTCCTCGTCCCTACCGGGGTACATAATGTCCTGGGTAATGACGGCCTTGATGTTGCAGAACAAGACGAAAAGGTACATGCCCAGCAAGCAGATGCTCAGACCAGTGGCAAACCACAAGACGCCCTCGTTGTCCAGCTCCTTGCCAATGGCTATGGTTGCCAGGACGAAGCCGGTGTTGGGAAAGACCATGGCCCACCAGCCCAGGTGGAAGTACTTGGGGACGGCCTGGACGACGGCGACGACGGCGATGCCGAACCACCAGAGGCTCAGGGACCACAGGAAGATGGCGCTGATGAGGGCCAGGGTCCGGATGGTGGTCAGGTCGACGGGCATGCCGAGGTGGTCCTGGTTGGCCGAGGCGGGGATGCCCTTGGCCATGCCGATGATGGCCAAGGCCGTAAAGGCCGGCGGCCCCACGCACATGAAGAGCCCCGGCCGGTGCTCCCGGTTCGGCAGGCCGGACTGCATGAGCCGGCCGACCATGTGGGCGTACATGAGGACGGCGACGGCGAAGCCCAGGCCCTGGCACGACAGGCCGGCCACGAGGATGGACATGGCGGCGGCGGCGGGCTGCGTCTCGGCAATGACGGACGCGATGGTGCCCGAGAGCATGATGGGGAAGATGGGCAGGATCCACGTCGGCATCATGGTCTGCAGGCCGTAGCTGTGCGCCGCGAAGATGTAACTGTACTGGCCGATGGCGAGGACCAGCGTCACGGCCACGTAGGCCCAGAAGGCGCCCTGCACCGCCCACACGAGCCCGACGTCGTTTTTGGGGATGGCGTACCGGTCCGAGCTGGTGATGACCGTCGCCGTCGCCAGGAACAGCGTCGGCACGAACAAGGCCTCACGCGGGTGCTTGAGGGACTTGGACATGTCGCCCGAGTGGATGACGAAACGCGCCACCATGAGCGCCAGCAGCGACAGGTAAATCACAATGTTGATGGCGTACACCACCGTCCCCATGGCCCGGAGGCCGGGGAACTGGTGCGGCTGCGCATATATGAGCAGCGACAGCCCCCCCGTGCTCATGGGCAGCGTAAACCAGGCCCAGGTGAGGTGGTGCAGGCGCTGCTTGGGCCCCAGCTTGGGCCGGTTGGGGTCGTAGATGTCGACGCCGCCGTCGTGGTCGTGGCCGACGCCGTGGTTGTTGCCGCTGCCCTTGCCGCCGCCCTTGCCCTCCTCCTGGGCCTCGAGCGTCGGCGTCGACGCCATGCTTTCAAACTTGTTGGCTTTCTCGTCAAGTGCCATCGGGTAGCTTCGATCGACGTCGGTCCTCAATGGCGGTAGGTGGTGGTTTTGGAATGATTCGAGCGAATTATGCCTCGTGAGCCTGCCCGAGTAGTTGGGCGAGGCTTTTGCCCGTAAGTTGCTGTCCATGTTGGCTGCTTCTTCTTCTCCCCAAACGTACATACTATTAATATAGAGAAGAGGAAGAAAGGAGAAAGAAAAAGGCAAAAAGCAACAAAAAAAAAGTGAATATCCCAGAGGGGGCCCAGTGTTAAAAGGAGAGAGAAGCTCCAAGACGGAAGACAAGACTTTGGGGGGGGGGGGGTTTCCTGCTTGGGGACACGGGTAGGCACAAATCAATTCTGGGGTAACT